ATAGGGTCAGGAACACAAACATGTATTCCTGACCCTATAGTGTTAAAACCACCATCTAGCCCCCCTGGGCCCCTCATACCTCCATAAATATAGCAAAATCTTACTGTATTCAAGCTAGAAGATGTAGATCTGCATGCTGTTTGCCTAAAAAAAAATAAAACAGTCTGCTGACATCATCAGATGTGGTAGCCTGATCCAATCACAGTGCTTACCCATAGGATTGGCTGAGACTGACAAAGAGGCAGATCAGGGGCAGAGCCAGCATGATTCAAACACAGCCCTGGCCAATCAGCATCTCCTCATAGAGATTAATTGAATCAATGAATCTCTATGAGGAAAGTACAGTGTCTGCATGCAGAGGGAGGAGACACAGTGCTGCCATCAGGGCCGGATTAACATAGGGGCTGATGGAGCTGCAGCTCCAGGCCCAGGCGCATGGAATAGGCCCATTGATTTAAAAAAAAAAAAAATGTTTTACATTTTTTTTATTTTTTTTTACATTTTTTTATTTCACACACTACTCTTAGGGATTCCACCTGGCTTTTATTTTATTGGCACAACCAGTATTTGAGGCTGCCTGGCTGGTGACAATATTGCAGTGATATTGGCAATACAAATGCTGGTATTTTTCTCAGTATAAACAAGAGATTACTATGCAATACCAGCACTGGCCAGTAGGGGTCGCTGTGTGTGGAGACAGGCAGGGATAGGAAGTTCCAGCATATCCCTCCCTGCCTATCTATACTCACTGATCTGCAGGGGTGCAGCTACAGAGAGTCCAGACAGCAACTCCCACCCTGCAGAGACAGCCTACAGCTCAGGGAAGTAAGGGATGGGGAAAAGGCTGCAAGGAGACATACACTGAGACACTAAGGGACATTGGGAGACATTATGACACAGACACATGGGGACACAGTGTCCCCATGTCTCCCAGCCAGTGTCCCTGGTGTCTCAGTGCCCCCTAGTCTCCCAGTGACCCCTAGTCTCCCAGTGTCTCACTGTCCCCATGTCTCCTAGTGCCTCCATGTCTCCCAGTGCCTCAAGTGTCTCAATGTCCCCATGTCTCCAAGCTAGTGTCTGTGGCCGTGGTGTCTCAGTGTCCCCATGTCTTCCAGTGCCCCCATGTCTCAATGTCCCCATGTCCCCCAGCCAGTGTCTCTAGTGTCTGTGTCCCCATGTATTTAAGTGTCCCCTATTTCCCCAGTGTCCCCATGTGTCCCAGCCAGTGTCCCCTAGTTTCCCAGTGTCACTGGTGTCTCTGTGTCCCTAGGTCTCCCCAGGTCTCCCCGTCTTCCTAGTGTCCTAATGACACATACATGGGGACATAGACACATGGGAATACTGGAGGACACAGGAAGACGTGGGACATTGAGACACTGTGATACATAGGGCCACTGTGATACATAGGGTCACTGGAAGACCTAGGGACACGACACTAGGGGACACTGGGAGACATGGGGCACTGAGACACTGATACATAGGAACGCTGAGACCTGGAGTAATCGACACATGGGGGCACTGGGAAACATGGGGGCACTGGGAGGAATCCATCTATACAGCATAATCAAACTAAGTAGTTTTTGGGTGATTTTACAGCATTTTCTCTTATGTCACTCCTTGTGATTTACATCATGTGATGTCACCCATACATATTTAATTATGCAAATTAGTAAGGCCGGTATGTTTTTCCAAGAAAGGTGGCAACCCTAACTACTTTTCACATACTCTTACTTAAGTATGGAAACTTAAGAGGGATGTATGGGAACAAAACTTGTGTGGACTGGCTGACAATGAATATAGTTAAAGGGACACTATAGTCATCAGAACAACTACGGCTTATTGAATTTGTTCTGGTTAGTAGAATCATTACCTTCAGGCCTTTTGCTGTAAACACTGTCTTTTCAGAGAAAATGCAGTCTTTACATTACAGCCTAGTGATAACTTCACCGGCCACTCCTTGGATGGCTGTTAGAGATCCTTCCTGGGTCATGGCTGCCTAAAATGCATCCAAACATTCAGTGTCTCCTCCCTCTGCATGCAGACACTGAACTTTCCTCATAGACATTAATTTATTCAATTCATCTTTATGAGGAAATGCTGATTGTCCAGGGCTGTGTTTGAATCATGCTGGCTCTGCCCCTGATCTGCCGTTTTGTCAGCCAATCCTATGGGGAAGCACTGTGATTGGATCAGGCCACCACTTCTAATGATGTAACTCTGCATGAGTCTAACAGCATGCAGAGCTACAGCTTCAGGCTTGAATACAGTAAGATTTTTACTATATTTATGGAGGCATGAGGGGCCCAGAGGGGGTTAGATGGTGGTGTTAACACTATAGGGTCATGAATTCATGTTTGTGTTCCTGACCCTATAGTGATCCTTTAAGGTAATGCTGACTTTGGTCTCTGTGGCATGTTCCCTTTCTTCTACACTCACTACGTACAACTTTTCTCTGTCCCGGACTATATACCAGGAGCGTCTGCCTGCTAGTAAGAAGTTAAGGAGACAAGTGGACCAGCGAGTGCTAGGGGACAGTCCTTTAGAAAGCGTTGAGCGAGCGCATCATTCGATGCATTTATGCCAAGCTCAGGGTGCTGTCTGCATAGTATGCCCTTAGTTGGCCAGCTGCATGATTGGCAGGCAGCCTGACATGCATTCATACCAGGATGGCCTTCTAATTCTTTGGGCAGATATGTCCTCTTTTTGGGCATGTTCGCCCCTTTTGGCAGGTTACGTGATTTGTGTCAGTGGCACACCCTTTTACCATGCCCATTGACTTCCTGCTTGACTGGACACTGCTGTTAGGGGTTATGGATTTACTTGAAAGATGAAAACATAAGTTAAAGGGAGATTAGCATAAGGTATGTGTTTTCTTATAGATGCTGTATTCTTTCTCTCCAGCACCATCTCCATCAGATTTATGACGCTTGGGAGTGTTTTAGTGTTTTTGGTCGATATGACTCTGTAATTAGGCCCGTCATAATTGTCAGCACCAGGCCCACTGGGCTGTTAATCTGGCCCTGGCTGCCATGTGCTCTGCTGACAGCAGATCTGAGTGGATTGAGGAGTTTTATGCCTCAATCAACTTGGAAGTCCCTCTGGTTCACTCTGAGTGACTGCAACTGGAGGTGTTCCTAGCTTTCAATGTAAACACTGTATTTTCTCAGAAAATACAGTGTTTACATGAGAAAGGCTGCAGTGAGCTTTAGTTCTCACCTGAACAACCTCATTAAGCTGAAGTTGTTCAGGTGACCATAGTGTCCCTTTAAGATAACATATATGCCAGCTTCTATAGGCTTGGAATACTATTTTGTATTCCTAGCCTATAGTTTCCCTTTAACACATCTTATGATAGACCTATGAAGTTTGTTCACTAGTGAATTGAAAAATGAATTAAAAGATTTACACTAAAATAGTCAATCTTGGACCTTAGTTCAAAAGGAGAACTTTCATTTTTTATTAATCTATTTTCCTCTGTACTTGACAATTGAGTTTCCACTCAATCCAATTCAACATTTAATTCCTATCCGTCTGTTCAAAGCTTGACATCTACCAGTTTATTTTCCACTAAAGTCAGAATTCCAAGTAAGTGTAAAATTTAAGATCAAAGTAGCCCAACCAGAAAAATGATCTAATTGAACCTTGACTCCAGTTCAACTTATTTTTCCTTAAATTTGAATATCCCTTTAAATCTGTAAAAAATAAATAAAAAAATTCACAAATACTTAATTTATACAAAAAAATGCATAGTTTCAATTTTCTTAGGATAATCCATCAGGTTATATTATGGCCATTGGTTAGAACAGAAATTCCCAAGAGCAATCAGCTATATATTTGCTGATAAGCTAATATGTGTTTTTCTTTATTTACTTCCCACCCTGTGAAATATGATCAGTAATAAGAGTAGACAGTATTATGCCTTGAGCTCTGTGACAATGCTGAAGCTGTGTTGGTGTTTTATTTATCAGCAATATATATGAGAAGACATTGTCTGCATGTGTGGAGTGTAAACATTAGTACAGAGAGCTACTTGGAAACAGTTACTATTTCCAAGCTGTAAAATTTAATGACAGTTGTATCAGGAACAAAGCAAGGATAGTGAGTGTCCATTCATCATTTCAATGGTCTAATTCCTCTCTTACTGAAGATGCTATTTAGATCATGTAGGATAGAACTGAAAATCTACTATACTGTTTCAAAACCTACTTTTTAAAATATATTTTACACACATTATTACAGTTAATTCTTGTTCCAAACACACAATGCTGTGTTATTCAACGAAGAGTAAATTAAAAATTTTAGGTCAAAATTGAAAAATTATTTAAATAAAAACAAAAAACAAGACAGCTATGGATTTGAATGTGGCACACAATTTCAATGTATCTTTGAATTCACTATGTATTGTCTACAATTCACACATTAGTGGATAATAGTTCATTTGTGTGTTTTTTTTTTCCTAAACTTGGAATTGTAGCAAATGAAATTCTAACTAAGGATACAATAACTGATATGTTACAAAACGTCCAATTTGTCTATAAACACTACTTGGCTATTGTTGTCTTAATTTTGTACTTCAAATTTTAATTTGCTACAGTTTGAAGGTTATTGAATAATCCAGGATGTGCAAATTGGTGGGATTCCGTATTGATCTCAAACTGAAAATGTGACATTCCTTATGAATTAATTTTCATTTCCAAACAATTCACAGTTTAGTTACAGAAGTCCTACATTTCCATTCACCACAGTTATTTGTATCTACTAACCGATAGAAAAATATAAAACAACTGCAGCTACAAAAGTTTTATCTAAGTGCTATTAATTCAGCAAAATGTAAAGTACTCCATGGGATAAACATGGCCAGCAAGCATTCTAGCACTAGGAGTTTAATGCCTGTATTTTGGGATTGTACTAAGCCACCTCTTTGGTGGATTACTCTCTAGGCGCAGGTAGGTGTGAAACCAGAGCAACCTCTCCAAGGAACAAACACAGAGCCACACACACAGACACACACAGACAGAGAGGGAGGGGGCGGGCTGGCAGAGACTGGGAGAGGGGTTACAGGATACTTGCAGGGTCCTCTCACTGCAGAACCCTCCCTGTGTGAGTACTCTGCCAGCAGCCTAGAGTGAACCCAGCACATGCCCCCTCAGTGCCATCCCAGGGACAGTCCAGCCGGCATTTAAAGTGACCATGTCAGGAAGGAGGAAGGTGAGAGCCAGCTCTGCGCTGGGCAGACTGGAGACATACAATGTGCCCAGGTAAGGACTAAACAAGATACTTTTTACGGGTTTGGAATAATAATATTTGACATGATGTTTTCAGAGCTGTTTACTGTTACCAAGTAACGTTACTCAGCGTGCAACACGTAGAGCAGATACAGATAATATATACAATACAGCAATACTGCTAGATCTGTACCAACTGGCAGGGACCTGATATATTATTATATTTTACTAATAGACCTAATGTACTATTATACTGTATAGACAGGAGTATTAAAGGACCTGATATACTATTATACTGTATAGACAGGAGTGCTAATGGACCTGATATACTATTATACTGTATAGACAGGAGTACTAATGGACCTGATATACTATTATACTGTATAGACAGGAGTACTAATGGACCTGATATACTATTATACTGTATAGACAGGAGTACTAATGGACCTGATATACTATTATACTGTATAGACAGGAGTACTAATGGACCTGATATACTATTATACTGTATAGACAGGAGTACTAATGGACCTGATATACTATTATACTGTATAGACAGGAGTACTAATGGACCTGATATACTATTATACTGTATAGACAGGAGTACTAATGGACCTGATATACTATTATACTGTATAGACAGGAGTACTAATGGACCTGATATACTATTATACTGTATAGACAGGAGTACTAATGGACCTGATATACTATTATACTGTATAGACAGGAGTACTAATGGACCTGATATACTATTATACTGTATAGACAGGAGTACTAATGGACCTGATATACTATTATACTGTATAGACAGGAGTGCTAAAGGACCCAATATGCTATTATACTGTATATACAGGAGTACTAATGGACCTGATATACTATTATACTGTATATACAGGAGTGCTAAAGGACCCAATATGCTATTATACTGTATAGACAGGAGTACTAATGGACCTGGTATGCTATTATACTGTATAGACAGGAGTGCTAAAGGACCCAATATGCTATTATACTGTATAGACAGGAGTACTAATGGACCTGATATACTATTATACTGTATAGACAGGAGTGCTAAAGGACCCAATATGCTATTATACTGTATAGACAGGAGTGCTAATGGACCTGGTATGCTATTAAACTGTATAGACAGGGGTACTGCTGGACCTGCTGCTCTATTATACTGTATAGACACTGACAGGAGTACTGCAATAGCTACCCAGTCTCTAGTTTTTATTACAGTATTTAGTGTCCATCCAAAGACAGGAGGTGGGGAAATAATGGCTGCACTTTAACCTTTTTAGTATTGGGATAATTTAAATAACTGAATAATGTAAACCAGCTTTAATGGCAATTTGAAGCCAGCCATTTTTGCACACTTTTTAAAAAAATTAATCAGGACTGAGGTTTCCAATTGGGTTATATTTAATCTGCAGCTCAGGTTGGGCATAGTAAATCAAGGTTAAAATAATATCTTGCAATAATTCACTAACATAAGCTATCTGTCACCTGTCACATGGGAGTAAGAGACATTTAGCTCTCCTTAGATTCGCAGGGTCCTTTGTGTCCTTGCTATAGTCATAGCTTTGTAATTTATTGATATTTCACTTTGAACACCTGGCTCCTGTTCCATCCTGGTTATCAGGAATAGTACGCTTGGTTTGTTTTATTCTTTTAGGATTCTTGTTCATGTGTTGAATTGAAATCCTTAGATTTCCACAACATTTTTCAGCTTGATGACTTCATAGGAAATTTAACTTACAATGTGTCAGTTAACAGGTAGCTTAAAACTGCTATATTGGCAGTTGAGCTTATTTTTCAACAAAACAGAATTGTCTTAAATTACAGAAGCAAATCCAGGTAAATCACTGAATTTGCATACCATGTCATATAATGAACTTAAACAGCACAAATTATCACGAGTGTTGAGAACATCTTCCGCACTTTCCTTTCACATAAAAACCTGTATACAAGGATGGGTCGTGTGAGAGTCGAAGTGAAAGAGTTGTTCAAAGGAGAACTAAAGTGTATGAGACATGTTGGATACACTGTTTCAGCAGGCTAAGAATGTGGTCTCCAAAGTCCCTGGAGCTCTGTGAGGGACTAAGAGAAGAGACAAGAGGATTTAAGAGGCTGTTCAAAGGACAGCCATGATTTCTAAGAGGGTGTAAACATCATTTCAGCAGTTTTGGAGTATGGCGAAGTTGGTTATAGTTTGTGTAATCGCAGCTGGTTCCACTATTTACCACTATAAGGTCTTAAAGCATAGAATTTAGCAGGGCTATTTAAAATATATAAATAATTGAGAATACAATAAAAATAGGGATTTTAAAAAATATTTTATTTAATAAAAATATAAATATAGACATATAAAAATGTAATAATCCATTACAATAATTTGTAGCAGAGTTTATAAGATTAAACTAAATGCTTGTGATCAGTAATATAGAATAATATACCCTCTTGAACATGTCAACATATCAGTTATGATAAAATGCATCCAAAATTCTCTGTCCTTCTAATATCCTCCTGAGACCCAGCTCATTAACTTGTGTCCTCTGTACTGGACATTTCGTTCACAGGCATCTCCTTTTATTCTTTTGAGCTACTCTATCAATCCTTGATGTATTGTAAAGAGTGTCACAGCAAGGGTGAATTATTATTATTATTATCTCCATTTATATTGCGCCAACAGATTCCGTTTCACTTTGCAATATTATGAGAGGGGGGATTTAACTATAAATAGGACAATTAGAAGAAAACTTACAGGAAGATAGGTTGAAGAGGGCTCTGCTCAACCGAGCTTACAGTCTACAGTGAAGCAGAGCTGGAGGAGAGAGTAAAGTGCTGCCCTTTAGGAGAGAGCAAGAGACAGGTATGTGAGGTAGAGATTACTCTGTGAGGCCTAAAGTTTCCTAAAGCACTTCTTAAACAATTGAAGACTAGGGAAGAGTCTGATGGCGGTAGGCAGGCTATTCCATAGGAAGGGAGCCACCCGCAAGAAGTCCTGCAAGCGTGAGTTGGGCGTACGGGTGCGAGCAGCGGACAGGAGAAAGTCACGGGCAGAGCGGAGAGACCAAGAAGGGACATACCTATGGATCTGTGAAGTGATATAAGAGGGGCTAGAATTGTTCAGTGCTTTATAGGTATGGGTTAGCATTTTAAATTGACTCCTATAGGATACAGGAAGCCAATATATGGACTTACAGAGGGGTAAGGGGTGAGAGGACCGACTAGAGAGGAATTAGGACCAATTAGGAGAGGGTTACAATAATCCATGCAGGAAATTACTAGAGCATGGACAAGCACCTTGGTAGCATCTTGCGTAAGAAAGGGGTGGATGCAGACTATGTTTTTAAGATGGAATCTACAGGATTTGGCAACATACTGGATGCCAAAATCATGTATGACGCCAAGACAGCGTGCTTGCAAGGATGGACTTATGTGGATAACACTAACTTGAAGGAAGAGCAAAAGAGGAGGATCAGTATTAGGAGGAAGAAAGACAAGGAGCTCAGTTTTAGAGCGATTGAGTTTCAGAAAGCAGGAGGACATCCAGTCAGAGATGGAAGAAAGGCAAGCAGTGATGCATTGCAGGACGGTAGGGGAGAAGTCTGGGGAGGAGAGATATAACTGGGTGTCATCAGGTGGTGTGGAATCCAAATGAGGTAATAAGTTTGCCAAGAGAGGCAGAATAAAGAGAAAATAGAAGGGGACTTCAACCGAGACAGGACGAGGGGAGGAGGTATCATTAGAAAAGGAGACACTGAATGAGCATTGGGAGAGATAAGAGGAAAACCACAAAAGGACAGAGTCATAGAGACTGAGTAATTGAAGAGTTTGAAGAAGGAGAGCATGATCAACGGTGTCAAAGACAGCAGAGAGGTCAAGAAGAATTAGTAAGGAGTAGTGGCCTTTGGATTTAGCTGCAATTAGGTCATTAGTAACTTTGATAAGAGCAGTCTCAGTAGAGTGGAGAGGGAAGAAGCCAGATTGAAGAGGGTCAAGGTTAGAGTTGGAATTGAGGAAGTGAGACATACGGGTAAACAAGTTTTTCGAGAAGCTTTAAGGAAAAAGGGAGCATAGATATGGGACGATAGTTAGAGGGGGAGGACAGGTCAAGAGATGATTTCTTCAGGATAGGTACTACAGTGGCATGTTTAAGGTCAGCAGGGACAATGCCAGAAGAGAAAGAGCAGCTGAAGATGTGTGTTAAGGAAGGCACAAGACAGTGGGAGAGAGATCTGATAAGGTGAGATGGGACAGGATCAAGTGGTGGGGCGAGTGGAAAGGAGAAGCTCTGCCACCTCTTGTTCAGTAGCCGGGGAGAAAGTCTGAAGGCTAGGAAAGGCATGATCAACGTGTGGTTGAGAAAGAGAATGGCAAGGTGGGGAGAATTCTTTCCTTAGCTGTTTAAACTTGTCAGTAAAGTAGCATGCAAAGCCATCTGCTGTAAGGTTAGTCTGGAGGGTGGCCACAGCAGGGCGAAAAAGAGAGTTAAAGGTGTCAAAGAGTTGCCTGGGATTGTGGGAGCATGAACTAATGAGAGAGGAAAAGTATGACTGTTTGGAGAGGGCAAGGGCTGCACTGTATGAACACAATATGAATTTATAATGGCGATAGTCTGCCAGGGTGCAAGACTTCCTCCAGGAGCATTCAGCACAACGGGAGCATCTTTGCAGGTAGCGTGTTGATTTAGTATGCCACTGTTGGGGCCTGTCCTCTTTAAGGTGCATGTTTGGAGCGGGGCTGCAGCATTCAAGCAGAGTTGAGGGTAGTGTTATATGTGGAGATGGCCAGTGAGGGACAGGAGAGGGAAGGGATGGATAGCAGTTGTGAATCAATATCAGCTGACAGCTGATATTCAATAGAATTAAGGTTCCTCCTGAGTTGAAAGGGGTTAGGCTGAGGTTGGGTGAGGGGGTACTTGAGAGCAAACGATAAGAGGTGGTGATCAGAGAGAGGAAATGGAGTGTTGCAGATATTAGATACTGTACATGCATAAGAGAAAATGAGGTTGAGGATATTGCCAGCTACATGGGTGGGATAATTAGCACTCTGCAATAGCCTGAGGGAGGAAGTAATCAAAAGTAGTTTAGAGGCTGTTGAGGTCAAAGGTGGGTTAATGGGAATATTGAAGTCCCCGAAAATTTGGTATGGAATATTAGAAGAGAGGAAGTAACTCATTATTGCACTATGGAATATTGTCCTTTAATGTAATTTTTGTAGTGCATAGATAATCTGCTTGCCTGGTAGAGGTGGTACTGTCAGTGTCAAAATAAGTTAATTTGATTGTGTGGAAGGTTTATAGCCTTAATTCCTTTTGAAGCTGGGACCCCCACAGAGGTCAGATGACAGAAGGGGTAATGTAAATTGCATAGGAATGTGAAAGCTGCAAGGTATGAGATTCTACACGTGAAAAGCTTGAATGTCTGACTTCAGTCATATGTCCTGTACCTCTTAATTGATGAGTCAATCTCTTTGATTTGCTAATTGATTTTAACCTTGTTCCAGTATCATAGGGGAAGGAATTGTGATGTCTGCCATATTGGGTCGCAAGTACGCTGTACAACATCGATAGAATGGAAAAATAATAACAAATTTGTAGATGCAATTATTATTTCTATGGCAGGTACATAAGAGAAGATAGAACCAAATGTTTCCATTTGGATTGATATTGGTCTGGAACACAAGGGGGTGGTCACTCATTATCTCTATAGATACGCCTTAACTCCACCTCTAGACCAGGCATGGTAATCCACAGGGTATATCCAATATCCAATGATACTGAAATGTCTTGGTACTTGCTCTGGGCCAGAATCTAATTCTAAGTGAGCCACCATCTTTCCTACCAGAGACCCCCTGGGGCAGAAGTATTTACTTTGAAGAGCTGAGTAAGTGATTAGGACTTTCTGTTATTTTATCCCTTTTGTTTTTATCAGTTGTTGGTGTAAATAATTTTGATTGTCATCTATATTTTTGTATGCACTGTGACTATTTTTTTCTCATAATAAATATTCCTTTATTAAGTTCTGCCTTTGTCTGGTAAAGCATCACGTTACCTGAAGAGACTAATTAGTATTTTGTAATTACATAGATATTGTGCTAAGTTACATTTGGTAGTTTTTATTATTGATTTATATGGGGGACCAAGGTGTTATGGACAGATGAATTAAAATAAAATGGCTATTTACTAATGTCTATTTATTCTGTGTACGCTATGTTAAAACTGGCTGCTAGAGTAAATATTCCCTTCCCCCCCTACAATGTGTTCAGTTGCTGTTTCCTCTGTAAATTCCTCACATCCTGCTAAGCATCCCCCTTCCCATCAAGCAAACCTCGTGTAACCAAAATTCCTGTGTTAACAGCTTCCTTTACTAACTCCTCCCCCACTTCCTTTGTGCCAGTTACCAGCTATATGCCACGTGTAACAAAATGGAGAATCACTGTTAAAGTAACTGAAAGAGACTACTCACTCCCCCTGTCATCGTGTATGCAGGAGCTGGAATATAGGCGGGAGAAGTCTGTAATGACGACACTACATCCTGTAGGGGGGGTTTAGACAAGACCCCTTAGACTGTTAACCAATTGTTGAATGTATACTGTATGTTTAAACTGTGACGTATTTTTGCTTTAAGAAGGAGCCCCCACTCCGGGGAATAAAGCATTCCTTGGTTTTTCACTGATCAGAAACTTTGTCTCCGGTGTGAATTACTTCTAGGGAAAGCATGCACACATTAATTAATCAATTTGGAAGGAGTAGATAGACAAATAATCAAAGTTTTCTTTGATCCAAAACAAAGGCACCCCATTTATAAATTGTCTTGGTGGTGGCAGCGTTAAAATAGTAATAGTTATATTATTATGTTTAAGTGTGGGTGGTGTTAATGGGGATTTTGTCATTATTTCCGGTCTAGTGCAGACAAATAGTCAACTATGTCACGCACACTCTTGAAGTAGGGTGCGTTCGTGACAAAGAGGACATCCTGTACTTTCCAGTGATATGTCATGTAATAAGCTCGGATGCTGGGAACTTCCTCCTCCTTTTCACCAAAAATGGATGGCACATTGGAAGGCAATTTTTTCTTTGGTTCCTGGGAGGATATTGAAATAAATACATATATGTATACCTTAGATTTTAAATTAGGTAATGTTAGGAACTACCTTAACTTGGGAAAGATATAAGGTCATGAGCATTAAATGACATTGCCTTGACTTGGTCACCTCACATGGGAACATCCTAAACAGTCTATTGTCATGACCTTATCTATGTTTAGACTAAAATGTAAGGGTACACAAACATAGGCAATGCTTGATTTGTTCTTACATTAACCTAGGACAAAATGGCATCCTAAATTCTAAACACCATATTCAATGAAAATGGGTAAGAGGTCATTTATTAAAGAAACATTGAATGAAATACAATATTTCCTTCTCTAACAAATTGTCAGTTTGCAAAATCTGTACACAGTTTAAGAAATACAACTTTTCATTCTAATAACTTGTAATATTTGCATATGTCCATAACAGTGGCAAAATCAAGAATCACCAGGTCTCTTTGGCATTTAATGAAGGTGACTTGATATGTGATCATTTGCTTATTCAGACATCACCAGGGGCTTTAGCACAAGGTTACATTTTATGACCGTTCACCCTAATTTGTTTTTTTTAAACTTTACGTCAAGCATAATTATATAATTTCTAATTATATAGCTGAGAGGATCAGTAGAAAAAGGCACTTGGAGCTTTTAAGAAGACTTGGGGCTAACAATGAGGAAGTGCTCTAATTAGACTGGGGACTTTACAGGAGCCAACTCTAGATTGTAAGCTTGTTTGAGCAGGGTCCTCATAAATCTATTGTTCCTGTGAAATTATGTAATTGTCTAATTTATCATAAAAATGTCACCCTTGTAGTAAGTTGCCATTATATAAATGTCAATAAACAATAGTAATAACTTGGGCGCTTCAGCCCAGGCCAACCCTTCCCTTGCAATGCATGTAAGTGTTCACACAAATATACATTTTATGCAGTAGTAATTCTATCACAAGGCATAGAACATTGTTTTATTGATGGTAAGACGATACGTGTTTTTTATCCGAGTTATCAGGCTTATTTCTTGTTGCTGCGTGTCACTGGTATACAGTTTCTTATAATAATGATGTATATTAATAACTGCATTATGTTTTATTTGCAGTCTTTTTAGTGAACTAAGACAAACAACAGTAAAAACTCAGCCAATCCATCAACGAGCAAAAACAGCAGGGGGAGCCCCTAGGGTCCGGACACAATCTAATACTATTTACTTTGAAGAATCTGAAGAAGAAGAAGATCAAATCCCTCCAGAATGGCTGGAGAAGGAGCTAATCAGGAGACAGCAGAGAAGACATTCTTTAGGGCTACTAGAGAATTTAACACAAAAGGAAAATCTACAAAACAACTCAGATCCAACCAGAAACCTCAGAAAAGAGAAGGTAACAGTATGCAGTATAATGGCAGTAATAGCGGCTATGCTTGGGTTACATATCACCTTCCTGGTAAAATATTTTAGAAATAAATTATCTATTATTATTATGTAAAGTGAATTTAACCCCTTAACGACCGCAGACTAATGCAATAAAATAATCAAATTAATATATTATATAGTCATTAAAGCATTTTATAATATATTATATATATATAATGCGCATAAATGATTGCATTATAAATGTACTTTGAAATATATATATGTTGCCTTTGAGAGCGTATGGTAGCCCAGGAACGAGAATTACTACCATGATGGCATACCATTTGCAAAAGAAAACAACCAAAGGTATTGCAAATAAGGGAATGTCCAGTCTTTTTTAGTAGCCACTAAGTCACAAACACTGGCCAAAGTTAGCGTTCATAATAGTTTTTTTTGAATTTTTAACACAAACAAATAGAAATGCTAAATTTGGACAGTGTTTCTGACTAAGTGGCTACTAAAAAGACTGGACATACCACATACTTGGGTTGTCTACTTTATGTCATATGAGGTGTGATTCAGAGATTTATGACTGATAACAGTGTTGCAATGCCACTACTGATACATTTTAAAAAGATATATTTTGAAACAACAATGTCTTACTTGTACAAATAGCCATGTAACTTGCAAAAAAGGCTAAGAACATGTTAACATTGGGTATTTCTAAACTCAGGACAAAATTTAGAAACTATTTAGCTTGGGTGGTTTTTTTTTGTTTTTTTAATTCTTTATTTTTGTAGTGCGTAAGTTTGTAGCAGTCGCTTGTGAGGTACCCCAAAGGCAATCCTCTAGCGCATTTCAAACAGTAAGGCATAGAGGTACTTGTTAAGGCTAGCACATTTTTATACATATATATGATTACGTCGTGTAATAAACAGTGTGTATTATCATTACTTAGTCTCTTCCATAACATAAAATAACTTCGTTGATAATGGGGGTAACAATCAGGCTAGGGCGAGGCAGTATGTAACTGGGGTAGACTGGGTTAAACACTCCCTTCCTAGATTCTGGCTACACATGGTTATGCAGTAAATGTAGTTATAAGTGCGCTAAGCTAGAAGACAGTGGAGTAAAATTAAGTTAAATCTCGAGAGGGAGCAGGCTAGTTCCACATGTCCAAGCTGGAATATACATTTAAGTTAACTCAGGGAGGCTAGCTAGGCATGGGGATTGAAGTATAGTAAAGTGTCACTAACTTATGTGAAGCAGGCTAGTGTTGTAAGTTACTTGCCTATGTAGCATGTTAAGGTAAAAGAGAAACAGTGTTAAATTAATGTTAAACTATTCGTTTTGCCTGGCAGATCAGGGTGTGAGTAGGACTTCACTTGAGCTTACGCTTCCAACTCATAGCTCGCCAACAGCATATGTGGTTTTATAGAGAGAGAGGAGTCTGTGAGGCAGTATAGCCCGGTGCCCAGAGAGTCAGTGCTATTGCTCAGGAATCCACTCCGGGGCCCGGGAGAGTTGTCTGGGCCTCAGCTTGTGGGGTCTTCCGTGGTCAGCCGATGCCTGCCCTGCTGGGCTGTTGGTGCTGAGTGTGAGTCTCTTGGGTGCTATGTGCACTTGTGCGGCATGGTAGGTGCCCCCTCGGGGTTGGCCATTGTGGGTAAGTAGTCTCAGTGGTCTGCATGGAGTCCCTTTTTGTGGGCCCAGCTCTAGCTGGGTTCTGCTTAGTTTTCGCCTGTGCTGCGGTGTGATGCTCCGCTTTAGCCCTGGAATGCAGAGTGGTTACATGCTGGCCTGGGGTTCTGTACTTGGGTATGTTGCTTGGACTTTGGGTTTGCCCGGCGGTCTCTGTCCTGTGTGTGTGGGAGCGAGCGTGTGCGCCCGGGTCGCTTGAGTCCCTTTCCAGCCATTGTGGTCGTCGATGCTTGCGTGGCTGGATGGCCGCTTTGAAGGTCTGCAGTGGGAGTCCATAATGGTGCCGGCGGGTCGCAGGATGAATCCATGAGGCCACCACACAGGTTGCTTGACGGTATGGCATTCTGCCGTCACATAGTATCGCGCATAGGCTCGAGCAGAGCCGGTCAAGGGCCTCCAGGGAGTAAGCGTGTGAATGGCTGCCCATGCTCCCTCTCTCTGGCCTTAGCTTGACGGCCATCTTGGATGAGCTCCGGCTGATTCGTGTTTCTGCAGGCTGTGTAGCCATGGTTGCTCGTTTGCAGCTTTACCAAGGTGAGTGTTAACATGGTGGGGTCCGGGATAACCCCCACTGGACCACAGGGGGGGTGCAGGGCCCTTGTCGCACTCCTGGTGTGCCCGGCCAGGTCCGGTCGGAGGATCGGCCGCCTCCCCCGCCAGGCCCTAGACCAGGCCTCAAGTGTTGCCTGTCGGCTGCCGCAAGTCAGCTCCAGATCCCTAATTGCTTCTCGAGATGCCCAGGAGCCTCCGGTCATAGGTTTTCAGACTGAAAGGGCTACCGAGCAGTGAGTTTAGGCATTAATGTGAATTTTGGTCCGGAGCTGATGTGTAGTGCGTCCACTCGGTTTGGCGGTCAGGCCCAGCCCCCCAGCTTGGGTGTTTTTTGGCGGTTGTAGATGCGTAACAGATTTTGGGGGTCAAAGTTAGAAAAAGTGTGTTTTGTTTTAAATTTTTTCATCATAGTTTATATTTTTTGTTATAGTAAATTATATGATATGATGAAAGTAATGGTATCTTTAGAAAGACCATTTAATGGTGAGAAAAACTGCATATAATATGTGTGGGTACAGTAAATGAGTAAGAGGAAAATTATAGCTAAACACAAACACAGCAGAAATGTAAAAACAACCCTGGTCCTTAACGGTAAGAAAATTGAAAAACGGTCTGATCACTAAGGGGTTAAAGGATATTTAGGCCAGATTAGCCAAACTGAATTAGCCAATTTTCTAGAATGGAAGGAATCTCCATGGAAACATAAGCAATGTTACAGTTGAATCATCTACTTATAGATTGCTCAGAATTTTTCAGCATGCATTCCCTCCCCCCCCCCCCTGTTAAAACAACACATATGTCCAATTCTTATGTAAATTGCAATAGTTAACAATTTTTTGGTGTGTCACTGCCACCTAGGATATATTGTATAAATGCGCTAGAAATATGCTCTTGTATAGAACTGGACATAAGGGCCCAGATGCACCAAATGTTTGCACCCAAAAATAACCTCACATATACTATAAAAGCTATACCTATATGAGGATTTGCTGATATCAAGTTGTATTTTTGAGGATTAATTTTATTATTGAACAACAACCATGTTCTCAATGAACCCAAAAAACTCATTAATATCAAAGCTGAATATTTTTGTCAGTAGTTTTTAGTTTGTTTTTAGTTATAGCTATGTTAGGGGGATATCTGTGTGTGCAGGTGACTATTACTGTGCATAATTATTAGGCAACTTAACAAAAAACAAATATATACCCATTTCAATTATTTATTATTACCAGTGAAACCAATATAACATCTCAACATTCACAAATATACATTTCTGACATTCAAAAACAAAACAAAAACAAATCAGTGACCAATATAGCCACCTTTCTTTGCAAGGACACTCAAAAGCCTGCCATCCATGGATTCTGTCAGTGTTTTGATCTGTTCACCATCAACATTGCGTGCAGCAGCAACCACAGCCTCCCAGACACTGTTCAGAGAGGTGTACTGTTTTCCCTCCTTGTAAATCTCATATTTGATGATGGACCACAGGTTCTCAATGGGGTTCAGATCAGGTGAACAAGGAGGCCATGTCATTAGATTTTCTTCTTTTATACCCTTTCTTGCCAGCCACGCTGTGGAGTACTTGGACGCGTGTGATGGAGCATTGTCCTGCATGAAAATCATGTTTTTCTTGAAGGATGCAGACTTCTTCCTGTACCACTGCTTGAAGAAGGTGTCTTCCAGGAACTGGCAGTAGGACTGGGAGTTGAGCTTGACTCCATCCTCAACCCGAAAAGGCCCCACAAGCTCATCTTTGATGATACCAGCCCAAATCAGTACTCCACCTCCACCTTGCTGGCGTCTGAGTCGGACTGGAGCTCTCTGCCCTTTACCAATCCAGCCACGGGCCCATCCATCTGGCCCATCAAGACTCACTCTCATTTCATCAGTCCATAAAACCTTAGAAAAATCAGTCTTGAGATATTTCTTGGCCCAGTCTTGACGTTTCAGCTTGTGTGTCTTGTTCAGTGGTGGTCGTCTTTCAGCCTTTCTTACCTTGGCCATGTCTCTGAGTATTGCACACCTTGTGCTTTTGGGCACTCCAGTGATGTTGCAGCTCTGAAATATGGCCAAACTGGTGGCAAGTGGCATCGTGGCAGCTGCACGCTTGACTTTTCTCAGTTCATGGGCAGTTATTTTGCGCCTTGGTTTTTCCACACGCTTCTTGCGACCCTGTTGACTATTTTGAATGAAACGCTTGATTGTTCGATGATCACGCTTCAGAAGCTTTGCAATTTTAAGAGTGCTGCATCCCTCTGCAAGATATCTCACTATTTTTGACTTTTCTGAGCCTGTCAAGTCCTTCTTTTGACCCATTTTGCCAAAGGAAAGGAAGTTGCCTAATAATTATGCACACCTGATATAGGGTGTTGATGTCATTAGACCACACCCCTTCTCATTACAGAGATGCACATCACCTAATATGCTTAATTGGTAGTAGGCTTTCGAGCCTATACAGCTTGGAGTAAGACAACATGCATAAAGAGGATGATGTGGTCAAAATACTCATTTGCCTAATAATTCTGCACTCCCTGTAGCTTGCTTGACCCTGCAGGAGCATCTTGTGTGTGATTAAAGTTACATTTACAGAGCAGGAGATAAAATCTTATAAAGTAAGTTAATATCTGATTTAAAATAATAAAAAAAAATTTCCATGCATGCTATATGAGTTACACATCACCTAAACACAGAGTTTGTTTTGGTTCACTTTGTATATAGTGGAATTGGGATATCCACTGAGTGTTTTCAGCAGCTAATTATCCACATCACCTAAACATAGAGTTTGTTTTGGTTCACTGTATGAGTTACAGCCAGTGGAGATGTGACTAGGGCTGCATGGAGAAAAACAAAAGTGATTTAACTCCTAAATGGCAGTGACTTGGGCAGTGAGACTGCAGGAGCATGATCTATTCACTAAAACTGCTTTAATAAAGGAACACTATAGGGTCAGGAACACAAACATATGTTTCTGACCCTATAGTGTTAAAACCACAATCTAGCCCCCCTGGCCCTCTCTTGCCACCCTAAATATAGTAAAATCTTATCTATCAAGTCTGGAGCTGCTACCTCTGACCCTGTCTGTTGAAATCCACAGAAGTGATGGTCTGAGCCAATCACAATGCTTCCCAATAGGATTGGCTGAGACTGTGAAGGAGGCAGATCAAAGGCAGAGCCAACACAAGTCAAACACAGCCCTGGCCAATCAGCATCTCCTCATAGAGATGAATTGAACTAATGCATCTCTATGAGGAATGTTCAATGTCTGCATGCAGAGGGTGGAGACGCCAAATGGTAGTGCTGCACATTAGGCAGGACTGCCCCAGGAAGCACCTGTAGTAGCCATCTGAGGAGTGGCCAGTTGAGTTATCACTAGGCTGTAATGTAAACACTGCATTTTCTCTGAAAAGACAGCGTTTACTGCAAAAAGCCTGAAGGAAATGATTCTACTTACCAGAACAAATGCAATAAGCTGTAGTTGCTCTGGTTACTATATTGTCCCTTTAGGCTAATTGGTGACTACAGTGTAAATTTAAATTATGTGTACTAAATTATTTGAATGGCCTAATAGTATGCACATCCTTTTAGAATTAGTGAGTGTTGATTTTTAAAAGCACACTTTTGATGAATACTCAAGCAACTCTACACAACAGGGATCCCTTTCATATCCTCCACCACGTTATGTCTCACATAAAAAAAATATGGGCTTCACTACTTCCCATAATCCTGCTTTTTTCCCCCACAATTCCCCTGTAACTCATTATTCCTAAATATCTAAATGTAACTATACACATATTTGCACAGTGACCCAGGTGAAAGCAGAAAATGGTTCGCCCTGTATTTATAAAAACACAAATCAGACAACATTTTATAGAAATTATCAGAAATAGCAAAGCATATATTAATAATAAACACATAGTAACTTTTTTTTGTTTTATTAAACATCAGTTTATATTAATAAATTATGTCACAGAGCAGCCATTATCTAACATGCATGTAAAGCGCTGCGGAATTTGACGGCGCTCTATAAATATCATAATAATAATAATGCATGCATTAAATGGATATCACAGAATGCACATATAAACTATAAACATTATAAAATTCGATGTAAAAAAAATGATATACTGGAAAAACACATAAGACCAACAGGTCTCCTATTTCATAAAACCTCAGTTTGCTGTTAAGGATTATAAGATCTAATCTACTTAGGTCTCGGTTGACAACCTTTTTCTTTGTAGAACTAAATGTACATGTCAACATTGAAATGTACATATAAGCACTAATGGATTTGTATACAGTTACCAGGGCTATTATATACATCTACTCATAATGTAAATAATCACACGTTTTGTCAGCCTTTGCTAAAATCTTCCATTCCCTTTATCATTTGTTTTGTGGTCTCTACAATTATTATTTTTTTCTTCATAATATCAGCTTGTTTTCTTTTATGTTTGTCTTTTATTTACTTATTAACTTTTTTTTATTTTGAGAAACTGACCTTAAGACGTAGTCAAGGTGGATTAAGACCAAGGATTATATTGTGTTTTTCTGTTGTACAGGTTTAGCTCAATCAGTTCTACAAATTCTACATGTTCTTCCATGACTGCTATAGCTCCCTAGGTATTCTGAAATTCATAAATGTGTTGTTGTTGTTTTTTTTTTATAATGCTTTATAAAAGGTACACACAGAAATACACACAAATATGAGCAATGATATTTGAGTTAGAAACATAATGAGAGAGAGCAGGCTTTATAACTAGAACAGGAAATGTCATGAGAAGCTGCACATGTTAAGGTTTAAGAAGTATATAACTTCAGGTAATTTATAATCAAATAGAGACCACTGGGTCTAAAGAGTTAACACTGGCAAATAGTCCCATAGAGGTTAAGAACCGTATAAAAAAGAAAATAGACTTTGCAGATGAATTGCAGTGTGTGGCCACGAATGACACAGCCTAGTTGCAGACACGGATTGAGGATCACTCAGCCAATGCCTAATGAGGGAGAGTTCCAGTCTCCCTCACTGTTAGCTATAACAATGGAGTTTCTCCACTGTGCCCAAGCACACAGACCATCTGGGAACTTCCTCCGCCGTTAGACAACCCCACCTCCAGCCGAGGCTTGTGTTTGCCGACCACGGTGTCTTTGCATCAGGTAACATGGGTGGCAGGCCTCCGAAACTTGTAGGTTGCATCTGGAGTGTGGCTGTTCACTTGTCCTGTATCTATGCGAGATGCAGCAAGTGTGGGAGCCATATCGATCAATAAATGACCACCGCCGCAGCAGCCTCTTACGCCGTCTCCACTGCAGCCTCCAACCAGGAATACGTGGGAGAGGCCCACTCAAGCAGTGTCGTTTCTAGCAGGATGGACTGTGGGAGCAACTGAAGGAGTGGAGGTAAGTCCCCCTGCACTAGGTAAAGCATGGGCCCGTTCTTCCACAGCGCTCAATTAGTTGCTCAAGCTTCGTCAGGGAACTTGCGATGGCACCGGGTGGTGTGCACAAGGGAAGATTATGTCTGCCATCTTGGCAAGATCTGCTTTGTAGTTTGGTAGTAAAGACAAGGTCGGGCCATCTGCAAGCCACACACAAAGTATATAGATTGACCCAGAGGGGACTGGGATACCCCCACCAGCTCAGGGGGAGGGGGGAACAAGGCAGCATTGAGACTCGCTGCTGGGGCTGTGGTGTACAGAGCAGGAGAGAGGCCGTCTCCCCCGCCCGACATTTTCCCTAGGCCTTGTCTGGGCCTTCAGCAGAAACAGGCAGTCAGTGCTTCATGGGTTGTCAGGTATACCCCGTTAGGCTCAGAGAGTAGGTAAGTCTCAAAGAGGTGCTGAAGGTATGTACCCAAGATAAAAAAATGAGTCAGGATTCAATCAGTAGCTGAGGAGCAATTGTGAGATGCGTCCTGCTGCCATGAAGCCCCATTTTGTTTTGTTTTTAAATAAAAAAATCAAAATAAAAATATGGTCCCTCCACTTAGCTGTTAGCTCATTCTTGGCATCCACGTTAATACCGGTGGAAGAGAAATATCATTCAGATTGACAAGTTTTCGTAGAATTCTGATCTAATAATAATATGCATAGAATCTTAGAAAGCGTTCTCATCTTCTCAGCAATTACTCTACCAAACCAAAAAAATTCTCACGTTTACTGTTCAAACAATTGTTTGTGGGGTTTTGTGCAAGCTCGTTTTAGATGAGCTGTGTCCATTTTTAAACAAGTTCCTGCCACTTTCATAATTTTGTTAATATGAGATACTGCATTCTTTGTCCCAAATAAAATTTGGTTCATGTCAATAGTATAATTATTACTTTATTATTTATAAAGCAAATTCCGTAGCGCTGTACAATAGGTGGCCTAACAGACATGTAATTGTAAGACAAGTTGGACGCACAGGAACAGAGGGGTTGAGGGCCCTATCTTACATGCTAGAGGTAGTGGGACATAGTGACACAAAGGGTAAAAGTATGGGTAGAAAAGTAGGTTGCTAGAAAAGTATTAACTGATGGCTTAGTAGGTTATTTTTAGCAGCTGCAGGAGAAGAGTCATAGTGTGGGAATAGAAAGCTGTTAACAGTTTGATACACGCTCCCTAAGAAGTGATTTTTTTTATTATTTTTTTAAGGAATGAAGACTAATGCAGAAGGAAAGTGAGTCCACGTGTGCGTAGTTTATTTTACATATGCTTAAATCTTAAGAATCTTTACTTAAATGAGTAAGAATCATTAGAAGAAACATGCTTTTCAATTTGGGAAAGTCTGTATCAAACTTTGAAATGTACCCTCCAGGCTGAACATAAACCTAATTTTTAAAGCATTATACATAATGCTCACAATGTACAATACATTATTTTTAAAGTGTCTGAATTTGCTGCAAATTCCCTTGGCTTTACAGCATCTGCAGTGAGCTCTCATTGATCCGGGAAAAGGTTAGCTCATCAGGAGCCTTCTTTTCTGTTCATTGGAGTTTAAACTTATCCCAAATAACACCCAGCAAAGCTTTACAGAGAAAGTAGTCCAGCACTTGCCAGCACCTGACCAAACAGATTTTATTTCTAAGCTGCTAGCAGCTTCCCCACAGCTCTGCTCACAGCTTTGTGAACAGAGATGTACACTGTGGTCATCTGCCTTTATTGCTCAGCATGTCTATAGCTTACTCCTCTGACATCATGTATTTTATAAATTTGAAATTGCAGTATTTATAAACAACCTATTTTTTAACGGGAACTGTCTGTTCTTCAATTTTAGCAAAATCAAACAACTAAAATTTAGTTAAATTTATTATCATTGATCTGCTTTGCCATGCAAAGCCAGTCAAAGGGTGCAAATGTGTTAATTGTTGCTGTGCTGTATGTTTGTCGTTTTTGCATATGTACAGCACCTGTATGAAATGCCTAGGGTATGGTATGTCTCCATTAGAGGCTCAAACATACAGGTGTGAGTCCAACATTGACGAGATGGCAAATTTGCTGCAATGTGTAAGTGCTGTGGAGGTAAGTCATTTTTTTAATTTACCTACATTTGGTTTAATGAAAAAGCATTTACTGGAGTAAAGGAACATGTAACTGTCACTTCTCTGGAAACAAAAATGTCTTTCTAATTTATAATAGGATTGCATATGTATGGGTAACACTGCTACGTGAGGCTTGATAGCAGTTGATCATCTACAAGAGATACTGCAGCTCTGATAAGAGAAATACACTATATAGTAAGTAAAATATAGACCTTTTATTCTTGCAGATTGAACAGCAAGTGACACTGGAGCAGCTGTGTAAATTAAAGAAAGCATTCGAGGTATGTCACTAATCTAATACTATCCTTACCTTTTTGTGTCATTTTACCCCACTCCCTCTAGCATGTAAGCTCATTGAGCAGGGCCCTCAACCCCTCTGTTCCTGTGTGTCCAACTTGTCTGGTTACAACTACATGTCTGTTCGTCCACCCATTGTAAAGCGCTGCGGAATTTGACGGCGCTCTATAAATATCAATAATAATAATAATAATAATAATAATGTCTTTGTTATAATTTTAGAAAAAAAAATCAGCATTTGCTATTTTCTGTCAATCATTTTCATCATAAGCAAAGGTTATACATAAGATATTTTTGTGCATAAATAGCCAGAGGAACATTGTATGCATTGAATGTGCCGTGTTTTTCATCCTGTGAATATGTAACTTTCCCAGTTTCTTTATTCTGTATTTTTTATTATAAACATTAGCCTGCTAATATGGAAAACACAGTTAGGATTGCGAACATGTCTTCTTGTGAATTGTATTTTATATAGTAAATCTAAATATAGACATGGAGGTTCATTCAATAGTGAATTGAAAATGAAATTTCAGAATTTAGATAAAAAGAACTGATTTGGAAAAAAAAGATTCCAACACATCGGTAATCACAGTTTGACTATTTCAGCCCAAAGCTTGCTATTCGATTGTAAATTCACCACAATTTAAACTTTAGTGAATAAATGCCATAGTTTTTGTTACACAGAATGTTTGCAAGTTTAGGAATTCATTCTTACATATAATTTAAATATAATTATCAGCCAAGTTTGTGCTTGTGAACTTGTTTACTTATATAACTCCTTCCTTACCTGCATTTGGAAGAAGGCAAGTATGGGTAGCGGCTATATTCAGCTTTGAGGCTAAAAGAGAGAACTGAGTTTACACCAAAATCTGGAGATCGGAGCATCTTCATGTAATCATTGCCTTCACTCAGTTATTCTGCATATTAAGAAACCCACCCCATTGAGTAGATGAGGATTTCACTCTAAATAACCACTGTCAAAATAATAGCTAACATATGATAAACTCTGCTGCTGTAATGTCTTAGTCATGTGTAGGTTCTGAAGAACTACAAACACAGTCTACATATGCTCAGCCTACAACACCCACCCACCAATGGCTTTGGTAAATCATACCTTGTGTCCCACAAAATGGTTGGTGCACAATGTTGGGTCCCTTGGTGTAGGTAGCATTACCCTCATCGTCTTTATTTTGTAAACCATTTGTATGAAATTGTTCCATTCTCTTCTAAAAAGCTGCTGTAGCTCAACACGGATATCCCTCAGATGTTAATGCTTGCTAATTTTTACTGCTCTCCATAATCGACCAATTACAGAGTTTTGAATCTGGGCCTGTTGCTTTTCCTGCTGACTGATGACTGACTATTGAGGAAGAGTCGCTGGAAAACACATTGCTTTGAAAATGGCTACAGGTGTAAAGCTTAGTAAATTAATACATCTTAGTTCTGAAAAGTTTACCTGTTCCCCTCTTGTTATAGAGGTTTGGCATAGGGCTCTTACCCTTTGGGCCATGAGTTTCTATCCATTCTTCTTACTCTATGACAGTAGGCAATCCACGGCTCCTAGATTTTCCATTCCCATAGTCTTGGACCCTGGCTTGTACTTTAATAAAAACTCACAATTGAATAGTGCTGCTAACCACTGGTGTCCTGTAGCATCACAATTGGTGGTGGTCAAAAGGTATGTAAGGGGGTTATTATCTCTTTTCACTTCAAACTTGGTACTGTTCAAATAATCATGCAATGTATCCAAAATGACCCATTTCAATGCAAGCAAGGATAAGCCTGGGGAAGAACACTCCCCAATCCTTCCAAACTTGCATCTACATGAAGGACATATGCTTCAGTCATTTTCTTTTTTAGGAGTAAAAGGGCCTCTTCACACTTTTCTCCAAAATGTTTCTTGGGATGAGGACTCTTCTGCCCTTTCTCCCCAGGTTTCACCTTCAGAAGATTGTGAAGACTTCATGCTATCTTAGAGTAATCTTTCAGAAAATGATGGTAAAAACCACAGAACCCCCAAAATCAATGCAACTCTTTAATGTTTTTGGCCTAGATCGGTTGACAACATTTTCAATTTTGGACGGGTCTGTGGCTACACCCTCAACAGACACAAATCGTCCAACATATGTCACTGAACTCTGAGCAAATTTACACTTATCCAAACAATCAAGCACTTGCAATAGCCACTTTTCATTCTCTGCCAAACACAATTAAATAAAATTAAAAAAAAATTCATGCTCTTCAGGGGACTTGACAAACATAATTAAATTGTCCAGATAGACCAGGCCCTCCCTGGGGCTTATATCTCCTAGGGTTTTCTACATTAATCGCTGAAAGCTTGCAGGAGTTTCCACAATACCTTGAGGCATTCAAATCACTTGAAAGAATCCTAAGGGGCATATAAAAGCAGTTTTCTCCTGAATTACTATTTTCATTGTAGTACCCAGAACAGAGGTCCAATACACTAAGCCACTTGCTTTCAGACAAAACATTCTGGAGATCTTCTGTTTGCAACAGAGTATATTGATCAGCAATAGTTTTCTTATTTAAAGTTGTATAGTCAATGCATAATCCTACTAAACCATTCTTTTTTTCACCACCACTTTTGGTGAGGTATATGGACTCCTTGACTCTTGAAGGAGCCCAGCTTCCTTCATTTCATGAAATCTACTCTAGAATCATCTGTAAATGTACAGCCTTATGGTATTTTGATAAGTCAGGTAATTTGACATCGAGCTAAAAATGCTCAATTCTTGTATGATGGCTGGAAGAGTTAGGCTCCATAATCATGAAAAGCAGGCCATCTGCATAAGCAAAGATCTTACAATACACCTTGCCTGCTTGAATACCTGAGATTTCTGTGTTTACCCTGACCGAAGGTTCCACACTGAAAACAAAAAGGAGTGAAGACAGCAGGCAGCCTTGTCTGGTGCCATTGTTAATTTCAATGGAGGCAAGAACACACTTTAGACAGACCAATATACACTGTTGAACATCTTTTCATCATCCATAGAGAGCAGAAGAGAAGGGGCGTACTGCTAACAAGCAGCATATGTCAAGTTAAGAACCTTAATTGTGTTGTCTCCCAATATCCTCCCTTGGAAAAAAACCCCACCTGATCCAAATAGATCAAGTGAGGTAAGAGAGGTGCCAGCTGTCACGGCCCCCGGCTCGCTGCGAGGTGCCATCGTGCCCAACCGGCACGACTGTGCTGACAGACTGATCTTACCTGCTCAGCAGTGAGTCGGGAGCCACTCTGCTGGGTTCTCCTGGCCGTCTGCCCAAAATAAAGATGGTGCCAACCATGCAGTCGCGGCCATCGATGGCTTCGCCCCCAGGGGGACACAAACATGCGTGTGACGTCACAATGCCGATGCACACGCACATTCATAGGTCACCCTCTAACCAATTACAGTCAAAGGAGGCTTATTTAAATCCCTGAAGCTTCCCAGTTCATTGCCCTGTCGTGGTTTCCTGTCCTGGTTCCCGAGAGTGCGTTTTCTGTTCCTATTATTGGTACTCCAGGTATATTGACTTTGGCTATTCCTGACTACTCTGATTTCTGGTTCTCCTGACTTGGCTTGTTTAACGGTATTGTGTATTTCTGACTTCCTTGATCTCGGCTATCCCTTGACCATTTTCTGTCTTTAACGTATTAGTCTGGCCATTCTAAGGACCGGTTTACGTTCTGTCTTTTTCTGTTCTGTCTACGTAGATGTTACATAGTTCTGCGTGCTGGACCACAGTAGCAGTCGTGACACCAGTAATTTAGCAAATAATTTCAGATCATCATTCCACAGGGAGAATGGTCAGTTACTAGAACACAAAGAGGGATCTTTCTCTTTTTACAGAATAACAACGTTGGCCGCAATGGTGCTCTGGTGAAGGATGTCTCCCTCGTGGATGACTTTGGCCAAACAAAACAAATGCTCTGCTAGGCTGTAGAAATATGTCTTAAAGTATTTAATGGAAAAGCCATCAGGTCTTGGGCTTTTATCAGGTTTGGCTAGCTTAACTGGTTCTTTTGGTTTGCATAGAGTGCCTTCATCAAGGGTTTGGTGGAGATACTTTTCAAAGTAGGTAGTGAAAAACAATGTTTTTTTTCTTCTCCTCATTTGCAATGTTTTCCCTGTCTTTGCGTGGCCAAACTGGATTATGATATTGTTTGCTAAATAATATAAATTTGAAAGAAAACAAAGCATCTCATTAAAAAAAAGAAATGTTTTGGATGGTTTTCAATTTTGTAAATTCAGTGTTGTAAATTTCAGAAGAATAACAGTTCCCTTTTAAATTACTTACTTAAATTATTCAGCCCACATGAAGCTTAGCTTGTCATCCATTCTGTTATTGTGTTCACATGTATAGTAAATAAATAAATAAATTGTATGCAAATTGCAGCTTGATGGAAAAAAATACACCAGCATTGTACAGTTATATGAATCATCAGATTAATCCTTGCTAAACTTGCTCTGATTAAGGCCCTGATTTAAAATATCTTAGATAAATTTTAAAATGAATTTTTTTTCAAAATATTAAAATATCAAAATAAATCACATAAAAAAATTATCAAAATATTTTTTAAATATATCACAATATATGAAATGTTTATACAAAAAATAATTAATAATTTGAAAAGCATATCCAAAAATATTTAATCAGGGTCCAAGATAAGATATGATGACTAATATTTTCTCTTTGAGCTTGTGCAATGGCTGTAACTGTGACTAGTTTATCTTGAAATTCAGGATCTGTATAAATGACAGCATTCCAAATATTCAACTTAAACGCTTGCTAATCCGTGTGAAATTGTGTTAAGGGTGAATATATGTCCCATGGACTTTTCAGATAATACAACACAAACCAAAAACTTTAACTATATACTTACTTGCGACACTGTAAAGCAGAAATTCGGAACTGTGTCGTCCTCCACAGTGTTGTTTTGAAATTACTGCAATAAATGATTCAAGAGACCAACAATATTTTACTGTCCTTCTGATTGAAAGCAGGGTTGAGCAAAGTGATGCATTTTGGCTGATGGTGTAGTGATATGGGCAGTCACAAATCATTTTGGGGATTGTATGAGCTCAGAATAGGATAAGATAGAATAGGACAGTCATTTTTTATTATAAAAGTTGTACACCAATGTGGTCAGCAACACTGAATCATCTCTCAATTGTGAATAGTACACATGAGAAAGTGAGATAACCAAACGTACAAATGGATTTACTGAGTGCATAAGTGTTGCCTGAAATTTAGCAGAGGTACAGAGAATTTACAGATATTTCTGGCAAAACACCTTTTTCTGTTAGGGTTATGTATAAAGAGAGAATTGTCAGAAATTCAATGTAAATTTTAAACTTTAGACCAAAGTAGCTAAACTGAGAGTTTAGCTGATTGGGGAAATTTGTCCAATTCAGCTATTTTTACCGAAACATTAAAATTCACTTTGAATTCACAACAATTCTCACTTTAGTGAATAATCCATCCACAATATTAAAGAGACACTCGCCTGCCCAAGTACTAAAAAATATTCCTTTTTTCATTGCGGGGATAAGTAATTATATAAAAAAAAGTGCTTCCTTCTCTGGTGCCTTTGCAAGCTCTCCCTTCTAAACCCACCTAAACGTCTGACCTCTCTGTGGCTGTCCAATCACAGACTTCCCAATGCAGCTCAATGAGAAGGCAGGTGCTCTGTGCAATTGTAGCATCTCGAGTTTAGCTCCACTGAGTTAACAAAACCAGAAAGTTTGAAAGCCAGGGGGATGTAACCAGTGGTGTATTTTGGAATTGTGCTGCCCTAGGCACAAATAAATTTGGGCACCCTAAAGTCTAAATTTGCCTCACCAATTTATGTCAGGGCCACTTTTTTGACTGATAGACACACACACATTGATAAATGCACTGACATATACTCACTGACAGATACACAATCATTGGCACACGTATGCAGTTATTGGCGCACACACTGTTTAACCATACACACTTTCACTGAGACACACACTGACACGCTCACTGACAGACACATACTCTCAGATGCACATACACTGACAGACACAGACACACACATCCTCACTGATTTGACACACTCTGATAGACACACACACATTCACTCACTCAGACACACAATGACAGCTGCATGCACTCACTCACAGACATACACACACACAATGACACTCACACTCACTGACAGACACACAGACTCACAATGACAGACACACACTCACTGACAGACACAAACACACATTCACTGACAGGCACACACACACACACACACACACACATTCACTGACAGGCATACACACACATTCACTGAAAGACACACACACACACACGCTGACAGACACAAACACACACACACACTTTTTCTCATACACTCATTACACTCACAAATTATTAATATTTCTTAAATTGAAATCCACCCAGCTTCCCTACTTTTGGGAGAGCTGAAGTGAATGCTGTCCCTGACAGTTGCTGTGCTGGCTCGGCAGGCTCCTTGTTGGCTCCTGCTGACTAGGCTGGCTATAATGGGACTGCTGGCTGGACTGGCTCTGCTGGGGTCGCTGGCTTTGTTGGGGCTGCTGGCTGGGCTAGCTCTGCTCGGGCTGCTGGCACTCAATGGAGGTGGTGAGGGAACTGAGCTCTTATTGCTCAGCTCCCTCTGTACTGCTTAGTGATGCTGGGGCCAGAGTGACATCATATTCTGGCTCCCATATTACAGAAGAGAGCAAGAACAGCGCTCCTTCACCACCCGGATAGAATATTAGTAGTTTAACATCACGGGGGGGGGAGGGGGCTAAGGTAGCCAGCCAGCCAGCTCTTGGGCCCATCAGGACACAAGGCAAACAAGGCATTTGCCTGGGGTTTTGGGGTGGTGTTTTTTTCCGCCCCCCCTGAAAGTACCGCTCTAGGCAAATGCCTTGTTTGCCTTGTGGTAAATACAGCCCTGGGTGTAACCAGGTAAATTTATAAAACTGTCAATTCCTATTGAAATCTGAACTTTTTGTAAAATGTAAAAGGAAGACACAAGCTTCACAAAGTGCCTTAGGGATTCAGAGTTTAACACATAAAGCATTTTCAGAATCACTGATAAACATTCTTTCTTTGTTTTCGCTCAGCATTAATTCAGGCAGTAACACATGAATTTGTGATGATGTTTATGTATCATTTTGCAAACATGTCTGGAATTATATTGCAATTCTGAAAAACACATGGGCAGGGCCGGATTAACATGCAAGCTGATGGAGCTGCAGCTCCAGGCCCATGCCTATGGAATAAGCTCATTGATTTAAAAAAAGAAAAAGAAAATCTATTTTTTTACACTACTATTCACATGCTCTTGCTTAAGTATGGAAACTTAAGACTGGCGTAGGAGAACAAAACTGGTGTGGACCAGCTGACAATGAAATTAGTTAAGGTAAAGCTGACTTTGCGCACTATGCGAATGCTCTTGCTGCTTCAGTCTCTCTAACACTGTGGCATGTTCCCTTTCTTCTACACTCACTACATACACCTTTCTCTGTCCCAGACTGTGTAACAGGAACTTCTGCCTGCTAGTATGAAGGTTAGGACATGAGAGGACTAGCGAGTGCTAGGGGACAGTCCGTTGAAAGTGTAGACCCAGCGCATCATTACACACATTTATGCCAAGCTCAGGGGGCTGTCTGCATAGTATGCCCTTGGTTGGTTATCCTACATGATTGGCAGGCAGCTTGACGTGCATTCACGCCAGGCTGACCATCTAATTCTTCATGCAGACACGCCCCCTTTTTGGGGATGTTCTCCCCTCTGGGCGGTTCTGTTTTTTTTAATTCGCATCAGTGGCCCACCCTTTTACCCCACCTATTGACATCCTGCTTCACCATACACTGCTGTTAGGGGGTATAGATTTACTTGAAAGATGAAAGTGAGAGATTAGCATAAGGTGTGTGTTTTCTGATAGCTATATCCTGGGAGTTTCCCTCCACCACCACCTCCACCACATACATGACTCTTGGGAGGTATAACTGTTTTAGTGTTTTCTGTCAATAGGCCCATCATAATTGTCAGCACCAGGCTCAATGAGCTCTTAATCTGGCCCTGCACATGGGAGAGAAACATTCAATTCCTAAATAATTATAAGAGATAAGCATGTGTCAGTACAGATGTGTAACTGCCAACTGGGTGAATATTTGGGTATTTGGGTATGATTAGTATGTGGGGTAACAGCTTCCCGATCCCAGGAGAGATCTGACTGCCATTCTGGGTCTGAGAAGGAATATTTCCTAGTTTGTTGCAAAATCGAAAAAGCATTTGAAACTGGTTTTTGTTTTTGTTTTTTCTTTTGCCTTCTTTTGGAACAATAGCAAAACCAGATCATGGTAAAAAAACAAAAATAAAATCTAAGTTATGTGATGGATATACTCACTATCAGAATGTTCAGAGCAAGCTAAAGAAGTATTGTAAATAAAGTCCATAAGTTAATTAAGGGAAAAGATTATAGATCTCATTGTATCCTAAACATGAAAATACAATTGTGCCTAATGCATACAGGAGAGTTTAATTCTCATAAGAGTCCTGACAGTGACCATAGTGTATATCTAGCATTATGCTTCGTGGGCTCATAAAGGGAGAAGCTCAAGGGGACAATCATTTTCGATACTTATGAAAGTAAACGTCCATATAAATAAATATACTCATTAACAATAAGAATAATTTAGACCAGATAATGGTCGAAAGCATAATTGATTTATTTCCAATGTAAAGGTAACCTTTAAAACCCAAACAAGTCTCAATAGCCATCACATAAGTTTATGAATAGGGTATACAAAAGTAATACTGCTAGTCCATAAAGCGAACCAAAAAAGTCCAAAATGGGTAAATTCGATTGAAGTAGTTAAAAAAATCAAATGCCCAATAATGTTAGAAAGTCTAACGTATAAACTGTGTGTATGAAAAAAAAACTTTAAACGAAGAGGATTGAGGGTTCTCAGTTGGTAAATCCGGGAACAATCCTTCCTCCTTAGGAGTGGATCTAAGTCACCTTTCCTATGGTCAGGTTTTACTTACTCAATACCCCAGAATCTCAGTCCCGAGGCAGAGACATTGTGGTAAATCCAAGCATCACGTGAAATACGGTGTCTTTCTTGTTAATAACAGATCTGATGTGATCTCTGATTCTTTCTTTTAAGGGCCGTATAGTCATTTTATACAAATTCTGCCCTTTGCATCTGACAGTCAGTAAACAGAGATCATGCAGAGGAAAAAAAAAAACATGTTTCTCTTTATCCTCTTTATTTATTTCCCTGGTTTTGCCTTGGCTGAGTTGGATTCGATTTAATTTACTAAATCTTTAATATAAATTTAAAAGAAAACAGAGCATCTCATGAAAACCAATGTTAATACAAGTTTTAAAAAAATGTATTAGATGATATAAATACCAGATAAGCAACTGTTCCCCTTTGAATATTTTCAATTAGGATTTTTCATTACATTTAGGGATGACCTGATAGAGCATTATGGGAGATGCAGTCCACAGCCTTAGTAGTGATTGAGGTCCCCTTTTGTTTCCTTGAGTGTAATTTGATAATTAAACTGTGCAATTTATTACTGTAGCTTACTTTCACTCTGTTTTAGGAACTTGAAAAGAACGGCCAAAAATCACTAGATTTAGATAAATTCAAATGGATTATGAAGAAAAGTACAGGATTACGAGGCATTGTGAGTATTTGTCAAATGTAGTCCTTCTCTGACCTTTTTAGTGTATACAATAGATAACTTTGGTACGTTTATAAACTTTCTCTAAAGACCCGTTTGAAATCTTTATATATATATGTCTGGTCGGTTTTGGTCAGTATGGTACTTGAGTTACTCAGAATGGCAATCTACTGTTTCACCCAACTTAGAATACCCACTTACACTTGGTGGTTTAATTCATGCCAGTATCTATTGCTGTTATTATCATCTTACAGGCTGGAGATATGGTTTACTCAAATATTACTAAACTTTGTTTAATGACTCTCATATAACATTAAACCCATGGTACCCATAGACAAATCTATATTCATGGCTGGAATACTAAGGTCTAAGCTGGGCTGTTCTTCATCCAGTTGTAGAGGGGTGGGATACGAAACTCAAGATGTATACTGTCATTTTATTCTGTTTCTATGTGTAGGGTATGAGACACCATCAGTCCCACACAATGAGGGACACTCTGTTATCAGTCCATTGATAGGGGCTTCAACCCACAAAACCTTGAGTAAGGAATTTAGGTTCCTACATCTAGATCTGTGAGTACCTTATATATTTCTTTACTCTGCCCCACTCTCTACTACAAATTGCAAATGCCTAAGTGGGAGCTACAACTAATGCCCATGACCTTGAGAGGTAATACTAATAATTCTAATAATTTGCAACAATGCGTCCATGTTCTGGACTCCGTGAGCCCAGGTGATCCAAGAGCCTGTTTATTTTTTTGCAAAAAAAAATAAAAATCATTATATTGTATGCAACATAACACAGAAGAAACGGAGATAAACACAGAGTAAGATTGAATAACACATATGGTATCTTCAACAACCCATAATGCAAAGACAGTGTAGAAAATTAGAAAATAAGGAAACAAAAAGTATAAGATAAATGAGGAGAGAAGAGAGATGAATTGAGGAGAGTAAAGATAGAAATAATGAGGAGAGAAGAGAGAAAAAAATGAGGAGGGAAGAGATAAAAAAAATGAGGAGAGAAGAGAAGAGGTGAAAAAGAAGAAAAGAGGAGAAACAAAATGAGAGATGGGAAAGTCCAATCTGCCCCATGAGGTATACCCATCCTATAGCTGGATGTGAGCCTCCAGAATCCAATTTCTGGACTGATCCCACTTGTATCTTGCTTTGAAAAAAATTAATTAAATGTGTGGTCTATCCTTAACCCCTTAAGGACACATGACATGTGTGACATGTCATGATTCCCTTTTATTCCAGAAGTTTGGTCCTTAAGGGGTTAAAGGTGGTTGACTCTCTAATCTGCAACTTAAACTTGAATTAAAGACTCGGGGCACTTTTGGCAGGAAGAGTCCAAGCATAGGAACTCAGTTAAAGCTTCTGATAAGCTGTGAAATTGAACAAGCAATAAAGGGAAGGGGTGACTAAATTTATCAAAACTGTAGGAGTCTCCCAATGTCCCTGTCCATTTTTGGTAACACAGACAGATATATTGAAATATTGCCTCAGTTGTTCTACATTATTTATGCTCCAACAATATCTGGGTGACTTGAGTCCAATGTCCAGGTTGCAATATTACAAGTACAAAGTACAAAAAGTACAAAACTCCAGTTTTATGACATTTGTTAAAGCAAATACACCCAAAAAGTTTGATAAAATTTTTACCAAGTTATATATATTTTTTTCTTATCAATACTTTCCCCTTGTTTTTGTGCAGTACATATTGAATAAACAATCTCATTGCCTTTCAGAGTGATGAACTGATTGAAAAATTCTTTATGAAAATAGATTTTACCGCAAAGGGTAAAATCCAGTGGGTAAGTTACATTAGATTAATAAATTATTTACAGAAATATTTGCAGAGTTGCAAAATTACTTTGATGAGGTCTGGTAAGAGAAAACAAACACATTTTTGTCTTACTTGATTCCATGTTTTACGTTTCAAAAAACAAAAATATTTTTTGTAAGCCAGAAACTCTCACTAATCATTAATACAGCCTCTCTATATGTGATTTTGCTAGCCATTTCAGTGCTTTAGATGAGAGCAGAAATTCTGTGCCCTCTGCTGTAGCATTGAAATAGAGCACAACAATATGTAAATGGGTAAACAAAATGCGTTGGATTGTCCAGAATCTTCATATTAGTAGATGGTCTGCTCTCTGAAGAAAATGAGGCAGAATCCCACATTGGTGCAATGGAATAGAGTGGTAACACTGTAGAAATGGTCTGGGGGTTCCCATGCGTTTCACCACAAACAGTTCGACTCCCCCACAGAGAGGATCAGTCAGGCTTCAATCTTCTCTTTCTAGGTTGAAAGGTCTTGATGCTTTTACTTTGACCTAAAGGAGCTAAGTTACTTTCTTTTTGTTATTTTTTTTTTATCACATCAGACCTATTTTTTATTTGTATTCAGAAAATTTGAATTTCAAGGGATTCATTTGATATGAGCATATGGCATTCATGCATTTTAAACCATGCCATTTGTTCACTTGCTTGACTGCTTCCCATTCATATTTTTTCAGAATGAGAGATAGCCAGTGGATCAGTACCCATCTTTACTACTTATCATGGATAACTTATCATGGATAGCTACCACCTAGTATGGAGGTTGTATGTATCCCATCACTCCTCCTGCTAGGCAGAAGCTTCTGGGACCTAACATCTCCCTCAATGAAATCAACAAGAAATATTCAGACACGTTCTGGCTCCACAAAAAAAAATCTCTTTTAAAAAGGGAACTTCCGTAGAAATTTTTATTATATATGTGTGACTCCTTAAGTCTGTTAGATGTGAGACAGCTGATTTTTTTTTTTTGCTCAAAATGATATTGTTAACTTTATTATCTTATCTGTATTTTTTTGGGGGGGAGGGGGTATTTGCTTGTTTACATATTTTGTGTGTCTGAAGAATAATGCTTAGTATGTTTATAGCTTATATGTGTATACCAATATATATATAAAAATAATAGCCATAGGGAGCATTAACTAAAAATAAAAATGAAATGTATCTATTTTTTTTTGCTGTGTATTTTATCATAAAACTAATTGCAATGTAATTGCATTTGTATTTTATTGTAATAAAATTGAAAATGTCAATACTGAAAAATTCCAAATTAATGTCTTTTTATTATCGGCTTGTATGTTTTACCCTTATATTACAAAGCCATGTTTATTTTTAGGAAGAATTTTGCACATTTATGCAGCTCGACTATTCTGAACTGGAAAAATTAAGCTTGAGACGTAAAAAGATCAGTTTTATTTTGCCAGCTACTATCCAGGAGATAATACACGGAGATCCCATTCTGCGTGTATTTCCCATGACCGACAACACCTTGATAATGGTCAGAGAAGATGGTCATATCTACTTTTGGTCCACACATCTTAAACTGAAAAGAGACAAGATGATATTTGTATGTACAATATTACATTGTTTTAAATATTATTTTGCGTAAGAGATAATTGGCATTTGTTGAAATAATAATAAACTCTGTGTTTACATTGACTCAAAAGGTAATGTAAAACTGGAACCTGAAAACATTATGGCAGCTGATACTTACTGTCGGTGCCCAAAGAGAGTATATAGTTAGAGGGACACTGTAGGCACCCATACCACTTCAGCTCATTGAAGTGGTCTGGGTGCAACGTCCCATGCCCCTAACTCTACAGGGGTAATTATTGCAGTTTCTGAGAAACAACAATAATTACCTCTGAGGATTAACTCCTCCTCACTTCCGGAATTCAAACGGACCTTTGGTCCATTATCTGACGCTACACGTTCTCACGCTATGCATGAGGACCTCCAGTGTCCATTTTTCCCCATAGGAAAGCATGTTGCGCATGCGCATTAGGTCTCCACCGCTGACTAACTGACGTCAGCGGGGGAGGAGCATAGGTGGAGCTTGACCCAATGCCGAGGCACATCCTTCAGCCACATGGGAGGGGGGCACGAGGGAGGGGGTAACTGTAGGATTTTACTGTGCCAGGAAAATGGGTTTGTCTTTTGGGCACTAGAGAATCCCTTTAATCAGAGAGAAAATAGCCACAGATCAATAGTTCACACCTATATAACCAGAGGAATCTGACATAGGTTCCTCTCACTCACAGCCCTTCCAACTGGATTGAAGGAAAATTCATAAATGGTACTGAAATGTGGCATTCCACTACTTTTGTCACTATGAGGAAGTATTGTGATGGCAATAAACACTAGTTTTTATAAAGCAATGTGTTAAATGTTGAGTCCTGCTCACCATTTGCCCAGCAAATCAATGTCTGAAGTAGTAGAGGTGGAGTGTGGTGCCCGGCAGACCCAAGTAATAGGTACAACCATACTAAAACAGTTTAAACATACCCAGGGCATCACTACATCATGCTGCTTATGTAACTTAGAGTGTTCCTTTAACAAAAATAAGTTTAAAAAAAAATTAGGCTTACATGTAATCCATTGCAGGTAGAGTCTCCTCTCAATAGCTCAATCCACCTATGTTGTGATCATCCATCATCTTTGTTACAACTAGGTGTTTCTTATAGTGAAACAAAGCATTGTATGTAGCATTTGCAGCAATCATTGCAGTTCGCCAATTGAATGCTCATCATAGAGAAGCATTTTAATACAATGATTATCATCAAGTTATGTGTGCTAATATGTGATAATACTGAACATGAAGACCTTCAAAAATTAAGAAGTGGCTTTAGTCATGGACAGTCTGAGAGCCACCAGAAGTGTGATTTCGGCCAATTGTAAACATGTCTGTTTCTCAGAAAAAGCAATGTTTTACGTTCCCAGAGAATTGACTGAACTTTCATAAACTGACCCTTATTTTGTATTGGACACATGCTACTATCTATCAATGTAGAATACTGTATATTTTTTTTCACTGTGAAAAACTTTAAATAATTAATTGAAAGAGCTTTACATTTTTAATTACACTAACCTTGATCATGTTTCAGGAAAAGAGTGCAAAAAAGATGTCAAAGTGGGTGACCGACTTCACTGTCATGCTGCAATATAACAAGCTGGTCTTGGGAACAGGGTAAATAAATGCATTTTTGTTTGTAAATGTATTCGTTGTTTCTCTGATATGACAAAGTTTGAAAAAAAATGTTTGTCATGAGTGGAAAGTCAAGTGCTTGATAAGTAAAATAATCTATGAATACCAAATAAAGTGATGTACTTGTTGCTCAAGCCAAAACCCATGCCGTACCTTGTTATGCGCTTTGCCCCAACCAACTGGGGCTGATATGATTGTGGAGAAACCCCGTAGGAGGTTGGTCCAAGAACCATCAAATGCTTGGAGTAATATGGAACACAGAGAACTCGAGTGCATAACTTTATTTGGTATTTTTCTTTTTACATATATATATATATATATATATATATTAAAGTGTCACACACTTGTCTGTGTTATTTGTGAAAATGATCTATGCCATGCAATTCTACAGTGTCTCTTAGCACACAACATTTTTGGTACAGAATATACAATTTTGAATTCCTGAGTTCTATTTCAAGCTTCCCATGGATTTTTACCAATCTATTCTTTTCACCATCCAAATTACTATCCTCTCTCTCTTTTTTTGTCTTATTAATGTTCCTCTTATTTTTCTCCCCATTATTATTATTATTTTTCCTATTTCCGTTTACTGTGTGTTTTTCATGATTCTTTCTGTTCCCATGTGTCTCCCTATTTTCTCACTATTTTGCTCCATATTTGTCATCATTATTTTGTCCCTGTAAACGTTTGTCCTACATCATATAATTGATGTTTCTCGTGGTATTTAATGTCTCACATTGTCCCTCACAGTAACTTCATTGTCCCCATTGCCCATCTGGTGTAAATGTCATATGTTTATCTGTCATCCTGAAGTCAACCTACGTCCCTTCAGCATTTACAAAGTGCACCTGGTTCTATTTGGCCAATTACTGTCCCCAGATATTCCTCCAATAACCCTACTGTCCTCATCGGTTCCTCGATTGCCCTTGACAGTTTCTTTGGTGTGTATCCCAGTCCATATGTTGTGACTCCAATGTCTACCTATTGTCACACAATATACCTATTGAGTTTCAGCTGTCACTTTTGTATCCCCAATGTTCATTTAGCCTTTCCATCTGTCCCTTTAGAGTTTTATCCATTCTCTCCAGTATCCCACATTTAACCCGCCTCCCCCCACCACCATAGAATTCTCTACTGTGTCTCACTTGACACATCAATAGCGCGGCTACGATCCCATAAATCCCCCACATTTGTTATAGTAAATAAATTCCTGAGTCTCATCTTTTCCATCCAATACCAGTAAGATTTCCATGTGGTGTTTTTACTGCTTACTGAAGAACTATATTGTATTCATTTATGATGTTCTCTCTGTAAAATGGTTTACTGATATATTACTGCAATATTTAGTTTGAAAACGTTATGTCTTTCATAGGGACAGGGAGATCCAGCTTTATGAACTATCAAACCTAGAACCGTACTGCCAAGTCACTGGACTGGAAACTATGCCTTTAAGATTAGACTACTGGTAAAGTACAATTCTTACATCCATTGTGATATCCATTGTGAAATAAATAGATAAACTAATACAGTCAACTTACTTTAGTATGTGTCTTTGACATGCCTTATCAGACCGTTACTTAAAGGGAAACTTTACATTCTCAAGATTAGTAATTTAATTAATTTTTTTAACATTTGTTCTATTTTTGTAGATATACAATACAGGTAAAATGGCAAGGGTTGTATGGGAACATACAGGGTTGTACATTGATGACAATAAATGTAATTGTCACATCTGAACATTGGTTATATGTCATAACAATAAATTTAAGCAAAACATCACATCATCAATTATATTGCAGGGTATGGGTAACATCATTTTCCAAAAGAGGTATCATAGATATGGTGACTCGTTTGGTCTGAGTGATAGGGCTACCTCCTCTAAATGAAGAGCTATATCGGCAGCATGCCTGTCACCTGGGCACTCCCCGTGTGCTTTAGGCCTGGCCCCGGTTCCAGGACACGCCTCCTTAACCAAAGTGGAGGGGGATGACCTGGACTTATCTCTTCTGTACTTTATGGTTAAGGACTCACCTACAGGACCGCTAGTGCAGATCTGATTCCCAAGTTTTTGTGCTGGGTTTCATGTCTTATTCTGCCTGCTTTGTCTTTCCAATGTACTGGTGCGTAGGTTTGAAAGGAATGGAGGTGAGTGTGACGTATTCATGGTGGAATGGTGAGTGGGGGGGGAGGTTTTAATTGACATGCCGGTCGGGCTGCTGGACAGGCGGCGCTGGCGAGGGAGCACTTTCCCCTGAGCGCTCTGCTCAGTTCCCTCACGTGCCGCCCGCAGAGTGAGGCTGGGAGCCGGAATATGACGTCATGGGACAGAGTCCGCATGATTGCGAAACAACTTCGTTAAGGCCTCCAATTTACAAGCTGCATGTTTGCCGGCCTAACTCTGTGTCAAGTGGGAGCATTTGGAGTGTCCCATTTGAGCTGTGGATACCCGATATAGATGGATTGTGTGCAAGTTAACACGGAGGGCCGTTAGAATGTGGCCATTCAGCCCCAAGGTTGGCTCATCCCCTCCAGGATTAGTAATTTTATGTTCAGCTACTCCCTATATTTAGAAAATATGTTTTTGTGAAGATTAAATATTAAAATGAAATGTAGAAATTTACACAACAGTCCTAGAACTGGGAACCTCCATCTTAGAGCCTTGTCAATCATCATTCTAAATGTTGCTTTTTTTCTGCCATTGAGCACATTGGAACAGGAAAAAAACAAAACAATATTGTGTGTGCTGGTTGTGCCTGAACTGAACATTATTGTGAGTTGATTTGCTAAATCTTTAATATGCATTTGAAAAGAAAATCGAACACCGCAAGAAAAGAAGGCTTACACTAATATCAGCACAAGTTATGAGTGATGTTTAATGTTTTGGTATTCCTAGAATTGACAGTTTCTTTAAAAATGAGAAATATAATAAATACTTTTAACAGGGTTATTGGATACACTAGCACATATGTACCTTAGAGCGAACCACAACCTGAAGGAACGCAGGTTTAATCACAGAAATATCTTCTGTAGCATCTGACTCTCCTAAGTGCTCAAATCAGAGACCGGTGATAAACTAGTGCATCTATTGTCTCACTTCAAAGTGACAGATGTCATAATGTGACTCACGTTTATTGTTTCAGATTTTTTCTACAGAATTTCCTTGTAAATAACTGTGAGACCCATTATCTTATCATGAGTGAATTAATCTGTTCAACATATAAACCTGTTAAGCAGCTCTGAAAGTCTAGATAAAAGAAGACTGTGTAACCAGAGTTTATTGTACATAATGATAGGTGCAGCCTCATTAACCATACTGGTCCTCAATAGTTCTATTTACAAGATTCTCTACTATAGTATTTGTTCATTCAATTTTAGTCATGATGAACACACAAATTCTGGAGTCCTACCCTGCACTTTCTTGTCACCTTGAGGCATGGAGCAGAGATGTGATAGAATACGTGACCTTCTTAATTTATGATTGACATAGATAAATCCATGTGATTCATGTCAAAGTCCAGGAAGCAACATCTCCTTAGTTCTGCAGGATTTACTGTTCAAAATGTTTAATAACGTACCAGAACCATAAAAATATATATATATATAATCTCTAGTGGACCATTACTACATTATGGTGTTAAGCGTTCTTTAACAAAAATTAAAATGGTGGTCTAAACACCTGTTATTTCAACAGACCTGATTGCAGGTACAGCAAACTAACTGTAGCACTTTATTGTCCTAGAGTGTCCTCTTTAGAGACCTCTCTAAAGTGCCACCTGGCCCCAAACACATCAAGCATATTTTTATGCCATTCCCATCCACCCTGATATTATGGAATAAATGTATCTTTGTATTATTTAAAGTTTGTGGTAGGTATATATTCCCCAGGATGGGATATAACATTGTGCACTTTATATAGCTGTTGTTGGAAGATAGTCTACCCTTACCTCTCAATTTTTAACCCAGAGCAAGGTCCATAAATACAATTTGTCTCATGTGCTGTGCTGCCCTCTAAGTTGCGTGAATAGTATTTTCATGCCATTCATTTTTGATAGTTATAGCACAAACATTTCAAGCTTTTAACACAACCTATATATCCTACACAATTCTGTATGGGTAAAAGGAACCATAACTTTATTTAATGTAACAAGAAGCTTTTCCTTGCATCAGCATCCTTGATCAGCGTACCTGGGAAGGTATTGGGCTTGCTCACAGTTATTAGGTGTTTGGGTATTTCTGTTTAAATTTTGATTCACTTCCATTTTCTCTGAGACCTTGAAATCATATCCACTTGCAAGTAACAGAAAAGTTTTCAGCTATCTCAAGATTGGTTTACTAAAAGGTAAAAATAGATTGTCTTTGTCTTAAAAATGAATCTGGCACGCAGAGCAGTGTGCTGAAACTAGGAAGTCGTCAAGTGTCACTGGTGGACTGACTCATGATCTTGTAGCCAGTTTCTTGGCGGATGGTGCCAAGCTACTGGTTTAACTTCATATTTCTTCTCTAATTAGCAGCCAAAATATCTATAGGATAAATTAGGATAAAAGTCTAACAATATAAAAAAATTTAAGGTGGAGTATTTGTCTTTCAACTAAGACACACAATTGCCAGGTATACTGATATGTGACTGTAATCACATTACTTCCTGAGATCAGTTAACTCCTGAATAAAGAATGTTGCTCAATTGTACAACTATATCATACTCAATGGTGCAATCACATGGGGTTTGTCTTCCTCATGTTTAGTAGAATGATGAGTTTCATTTCTGACTTAATTGTCTGAAATAAAGGTGATTTAAAGGAACACTCCGGGCACCATAAACATTTCATTGAAATAAAGTGGTCGTGTTGCCTGGACTGTTTTTTTTAAATAATCGAGAACAGCTTCTCCCATTAAGGATGTTACGATTGGCGAACGTTGCTTTCAATCTTAGTATCGGACTCTCATTGGCCTCCGACCTAACCAATGAGTGTCAATAGAGCGCTATTTAAACAATTTATTTTCTAGACACTGTTCTCCATTGAAGAGGCTCTCCTCTGTTTATTGCTTGATGAGATGCACAGATTCTGATACCTCTCATCCTGCATTTTATTGAATATAATGGCCACATATGCCGAGCAATTTTCAGTCCGTTCATCAGTTATCATCAGCTAACTAGTTATTCTAATTCTTCTGATAGCGCAGGTGCCCTTGAAAGCACAGTTTAGCTATAGATGTGATTGGTTACCCTTATCCTACTTTGAATGTTTATTGGGATTATTTACTGTCCGTCATTTTCAAATTAATAATTTATTTATTTATTTATGATTTTACCCTTATTTTATGGGAACAAGGTAGTACTGAGCTAGCAGATGCTCTAGCAGACCAGCAGCCTCTTTTTGCATTGGTAAATCTAGACTTTTGACCTCAAACAGGGTTTTGAGCATTTAGTAAAACACTGTTTAGTAGTTATCTATCTTTGTTATACTTGTCAGCCTAGTCTCTCCATTATATTTGGATCTTACCCTCAAGGGATTATTATGAGATAAGACGGTAGAAACTTTGTTGCTTTGTGATTCTAAAGATACAATTCTGCTACCCTGTATTTAACAAGCTTATTGCGGTTTTTGGTGCAGTATCTGTATTATATGTTAGAGTATATTTATCTCTCCATACACGTGCAGATACTTTAGTTTTCAAGTTTTTTTCTTTGTATATTTCTCTTTTAGTACATATTTTTGTGGATGCACAATTCATTTTATTTATATCATATTCAAAGTTAAGTTTTATTTCAAACTACTCTTAGATCTGGAATAGTGCCTGTTTCTCTTTCCATAATTTCTCATTTATCAGAGTTACCCGCTATTCCTATCCATAGATTGTCGCCCTAGATTATCTGGCTCCTACATTAATATTTTGTTTACTTAACCCTAATACATAGGCAATAAGACTAACCCTAAAAAATAAGTCACACTCAGAATGCTGTGGAATGTGACATCAATTAAAAGTTGAGATTTGGAACATAACTCTCTAAAACTAGCATTTCTAATAGTAATAGGATACATTGCCAGCCCAGCCCTCCAGCTAAGGGAATATTTATCAAAGTGATCTGAAAACCATTGGTTACATTCTGTCTTTATTTTTGTTGTATTTACTAATGTGATCAAAAAAAGGTGATGGTTTTCTTTATAGTAAATAATACCATTTCAGAAAACTGACCAATTTATAGTAGTGGAAAAATACCACCAGTTTTCGGAAGTGGTGGAAGTAGTGGGAAACAAAAAATCATAAATCTGCTGTACTTAAGAAAGAGAAATATTGAGAAATGATGTTTAAGGGCAAAAAAGCAATAGATGGAAAAAATAGCAATAGATTTAATAAATTGCACCAAATATTTACTGTAAACTCGATGGAAAAGTGTTGGTGACATTTAGACAAATCTCCCATGTTGTTTGTATATTTGTACACCTCCCAAACTTTTAAATGGACAAGGAGGGACACTTTAATGTGAGGAGTGTAGTTAGGGGATTGGCTAGTGGCAAGGACTGTTCTGAGAAACTTTAAAGGGAAACTCCAGTGCCAGGAAAACAATCCGGGGAATTTCTATTCAATAGGGCTGAATTGGTGAGTGGGGATTTTGAGTCCTGACCAGTGGGGTTTGTTCATTAAACTGTGACAAATTAAAATATAGTGTTCAAGTAGGGATTGTAGCCGTATTAGTCCAGTGCTAAATATACATATATGTGACAAATTATCTAAAGTGGACAATACTGGAACTCTGTGATATTTCTAAATAAGCAGGTTTGTCTAAAAATTGCTTTATTAAAAACACTCCTGTGTGTGGAAACCTTCAGAATGTTTAGTGAATTCAGTTTTTAATTTAGCTTCTGTTAGGCAACAATTAGCGATTTCACCACCATGGACTAGCGTACTACATATTATAATTCTAACAAATTTTTTAAAGTAAAATGAATTATGCATTTTTCACTCTTGTTTTTCAGTGGAACAGACACTGACGAGTGTATGATTTTGTACGGTGATGATCAGGTGGGTACAACATATCTAAATGTGTAAATATTCAATTGTTTCAAAAAAATTGTTTCGGTGTATATATTCTGGCATATACAGTATATCACAAAGGTGAGTGCCCCCCTCACATTTTTGTAAATATTTTATTATATCTTTTCATGTGACAACACTGAAGAAATGGCACTCTGCTACAATGTAAAGTAGTAAGTGTACAGCCTGTATAACAGTGTACATTTGCTGTCCCCTCAAAATAACTCAACACACAGCCATTAATGTCTAAACTGTTGGCAACAATTAAATGGGCACAATGCACCTTCTTCTAACAGGAAAAAATGTTCTGATTAGTTTATTGTATATATCTTTTCTTGCAGGGATGTGTGAATATTCTATTTCTGAAATCAGTGGGAGAAATGCTAAGGTACGAAGAAGAAAGCCTTGAATACAGGAATAGGAAATCCTGGAGTATCTGATTATTAATCAAGTATCTTGTATGAATATATGAATACATACAATATACCCTGCTAGGACACAGTGATTTAATCATTTCACCTATGCAGCAGAGATGGTTTGATGTTGATGTCTGTCTTGTTTCTAGTTTCACAATGTTACTTCAAACAAGCATGCCTGAGGTGCCCCAAAGGCAATCCCCATGCGATCATGATGTTTTACATAATGAGGCAAATGATTAACGTGCACAATTTTTTAGATGTATAGGTATAAGTAGTTGTGTCTTTAAAGCTTCGGTGTTGGAAGTAGGTAAACATGCAGCAAACAGAGTTATGTCAGATATCAAGTATAGCAGTAATCACATTTTAGACATAGTAGATTATGTGAGAAAGGCATGGTGTTTGCATGAAAAAAACGAGGAAAGCATGCCACTATGATTAGAGAACCCCGGGCCCCCGAACAGAGACTCTCATCCCAGTGATAAGGTGACCCTGATAATTACTACTCCGAAGTCAGAGAGGAGGCGACCCAAGTCCCTATGCAGGTAGCAGTCTACTCCCATCACTGGCAGGATACAGTCCTTCTCCTCACAGTTTCCTCTGATGCTGTGGTAGGGTTTATCAGGTGGTGTCAGCCGTTAGCGGTTGGGAGCTGGATATATGCGGGGACCCCGCAGTGATCCACCGCTGTCGGGTGTGTGTCTTGGCATCGTGGGTCCGTCCCTGCTTGTAGCTTGAGTGTCTCGGGAGCTGCTCCGCCCTTCAGTTGGTCTCTGCACAAGGTCCGCAGTGTCGATTGAAAGCACCCCAGGCCGGGTCTCGGGATAGATGAGTCGCTCAGGTGATATCTCCCAGAGTTGCCCGCTGTGAGAGCCAAGAGCCCTGGGGGAGCACCTTCTCCACAGTGCCGGTCAGGTTCAGCCGCCATCTTGAAGATTAGGCAAGGTCTCCGCTCTGAGTAGGGCCATAATTCAAACATTTTACTGACTTTTTAAAAATTGATAGCAGAGCTGTAGATGGAAGAAAAGAATTTTAGAAAAAGATGGGGCAATAAATGCTTTCACATAGGGCTGTACTTAATATAAAAGAAAGTCCAAACCCGTTTTATTCATATAAGAGAGAGATAGAACAATGTAAAGGGATTGTACTAATATATATACAACATGTAAAATGCCTTCTTTAGATTCTGGAAGAAGATGCCACGAACAGACAGCGGCATGCCAACAATCAGTATTGACAAGGCTGTTTCATCACCTCATGTATCTTTTATTCGCTGGAAAGTTCACAATGATTGGGTTACCCAGGTACGAGTACATTGTCTTAATACAAAACATTGTTGCATTTCTTAAACTAGCGAATGGGAGCTATGCTCTTTGCCAATGAATGTCGATCATCATGGAAGTGTGTTACTGGGCCACCAGGGAGCATTGGTTAGAGCCAAGGTCAGAGTAATGGGGAGGCAGAATAAACAAATTACTAGCCAGGTTCAGGAATACAGAATGGCTGGGAGAAGAATAAACTAGCCATATCAGGGTTACAGAAATAGTAAATATCAGGAACTAGCCAAGGTCAATTCCCAAAACAACAGACATGAGTAAAGAATGCACTAAATTAGTCCTGGAAACAGAAACGATAATAGGGCACAGTAAATATGGCCAAAAAACTTTAAATAGTGTTAGTGGTGAACACATTGGTACACATCACACCCACAACCCCAAATGTGCGTGAATGGGGACTCTAGCATGACGTGGACCATGTTGAACTGGAAGTGACATTTACCCTCTGTGCCTTTATGGATGTGCTCTGTACGCGAGCAGCATCCTCCTTGTTGATGGAAGGCTTACCCGATCGGTGCTCGCAGCCCCCAAGTAGCCCTCTAAGTAACATCACAATGATCTGTACACTAAAACTACTTCATTAAGCTACAATTGGTTTGGTGCTTTGAGTACCCAATCCAGTCTTTGGCCAATTCCGTCAGGTTCTAATTATGCTTTGTAACAAATTATCAGGGTACTTTCTAGAGGCTGGTATACTTCCAACTCCCCCCAAACAGGGTCTGTGTTAAGGCCTTACTGCCAAACAACTTTTATCTACAGTGTTGCCTGGGTTGTGTACACAGAAATACCGATGGCCTTTTCTCACAAGAGAACTATTAAACAAGAATAAAAAAATGCATTTCACAACTACTGGTGGAGTGCAAACTTCGGCACTCCAGATGTTGTGAACTACATCTCCTCTGATGCTTAGCCAGAATTACGGCTACAAGAGCACTGTGGGAATTATAGTCCACAGCATCTGGAGTGCTGACGGTTGCCTACCCCTATTTTTGAACATTAAGTATTTTATCCTTCCATTATGTCTTTTAAGTATTTCATCCTTTATTGATCTACTAGTGACATCTATTGGTTGAATTGTGTATTGCTTTGCTAAGCCAAATGTATGTGACCACATTGCTTCCCCTGCACTATGTATAAAGTAGTTGTGTTGTCAAAATGTAAACTTCATGGAGGCTGTTTAGTGTACATTCACTGTTTATCCTTAGTTATGGAATATGAAGTGCGATGTATGTTGTACATGTTGTGTCCCTAGTCATTCCATCTATTTATATATTTGCTACATTATGTTCACTTAAATTTACCTTTTGAGCTGTAAAATCTTTCCCTAGTTAATTTATGTCATGAGTTCAATTCACTTTTATGAAGAGTTAATAGGGAAAAGAAAACAAGTTAAAATAAAATGAATTTAATTTTGATTTTGGGTACTGCAGTAACTATTCCTCTGTGTGGTAACAGTGTATGTTAGAAAGAAGGACACACTAAAATTCACAATCACAGTTAATTGATAAAGGCGGAGTGCTAAAACGTTGGGGGGATTGTTATATTATTATTATATTACTTGTTATCTATTTGCACTCTCCTCTCACGTCTCTCTCTTGTCTTGTGGTATGTAGTTTTATTGCTCTTCTATACTATTTATCATTTAGTGGTCTGTTAGTGGTCTTCAATCGGGGAACAACGATTTGTTGTTCCCTGATTGAAGATGCTTGGTAAATATCAACCCCCCTTTGCATTTTACAATATTTACTTACTCAATGGTTATATAAATAATTTCTGCATATAATGTTTTTGCGATTTTTGTAATGATTACGGTATTTGTAATTAAGTTCTAGTTATGTATTTTATCTAAATGTTGTGGTCCTGTGTTAAAGTTTATACAATTTGTGCAACCCCATGTGGCAGTCCCACGGCAGGTCCAGATGGGATTGTGATACTTCATGGGATTTACTAAAAGTGACAATTGTCAGGAATTCAGATAGAATTCTATCAGGGTTATTCACTAAATTGAGAATTTAAATTGAACTGCATTATAGCAGGCCTTAAGACATCTTTCCGTTCGGCTATTTTGACCTTAAATTTGAAATTCACTTTGAATACATCTTGAATCTACACTTAAGTTAATAACCCTGTAAGTGAATTTCAAGGTCAAGGTCAAAGTAGCCAAAATTGAAGCATAGCTGACTCAAATAACCCGGGGAGTGTGGACATGGGTTTCAATATAACACTTTGCAGTATTTAACACTGACTTATATAAAAAGTTCTTCTGCACCATCTGTAAGAGAATAATTTAATGATCGCAGACTGTATGAAAATCTGTCTTTGGTACTGGTAGTTTTATTTTACAGAAATATATCTAATTTAATGTTGATCTTGTTAAATGTTTAACTGTCTCTTTCTAACTTACTCTCCCCTATAGATGAAGTACTATGACTCCATTAAATCTGTTGTTTCTGCCTCGAATGATGAATCTACAGCTTTAGTAATAGGTAATATTATCTTGCATTGAATAGAAAAATCTTTCAATATATGCATGCTTTTCACAATATTCTTGAATGCCATGCTGCAGTTGATGGTTTTAAAGGAACACTAACCACCAAATCTCTTTAGTTCAAAGTTTAGCTTAGCGGCCAACTTTGAGCACCAGACAGACCTCCAGTGTTTGTCAAGCAGCTCAATAATGATTTGACAAAAAACAATGGGTAGGCACACATAGACGCATAGCACCATAACCACTACAGTGAGCTGTAAGATTACAGCATATAGAGGACCCTTTAAGCATGCAACAGATACATACTCAAAAAAATACATGTAAAACAAAACAGAACATCTAGTTTATAGGCCATAGCTTATTGTTACTCACAGCACAAAAAGAGTTGCAACCTTCCTCAAGCAATATGACAAAGCAAAAGACAGTCACTTCTTGACATACTCAGTATGTTTTTTTTCCAAAATCTCCAAATGAGCTGCCAAATTGTTGCCAGCCCAGACCACGAAATATCCCCGGTCATGTCAAATGGTTCTGTTGGTATTCCTCCATGGAACAAAACAAAAAGGAATACAGAAATCAAGCGATGAATCTATCGATTCAGAGCTGTAAGATCCTTATTGGAATGTTCAGATTAAAAAGTTGTACAATGCAAGGATCATAAAGATAACAAAGGTGAACAGGATCCCTGTGATCCACAGCAACACATCAAAGCCAATGCTATTAATCCCTAAATACCAACAATCCCAAAAATATTGTAGAAAATGGTCAACATTGTCTTCAAACTCTACAAACAAAATGCCTCTTCCCAAAACCTTCCCAAGTTGCATCCTGTATAATGAAACGAAACTTGCAAAACCGCATCTCAGTGTCATTCAGATGTTCAGTTTTCGGTGCATTGGTTATCTAGTAAGAGGCCGGTCTCTGGCATTGGTGTACTCTTCTATAATTTAGGAAGATTAAACCTTTTAAATAAAAATGGGTGGCAGCAGAAATGGCTGCTCGTTGGCTTGAGGTTACTAAGTATTAGGAATACTGTTACATAGCGTATCACTAATCCTTTTCTTCAATGTGTTCTTTTAGGTTGTACAGTTGGGACAACAAATGTTGAACAGCAAATGAAAGATATAAAAGAACATGGGAAGGACACAAAGAGCCGACGAGCACTGGTTACACTTGGACCAGCGCAAAAGAGAGCATCCGGAGATCAGACTGTGTTCCGTGTCTACAAAGGAGTGAAAACATTTGCCCTGTGTAAGAAGAACAGTCTTATTGCAACTGGAGGAATGGACCGGATTATTCGCATGTGGAATCTATACGTACCAACGTAAGGTTATTAATCCCCGTAAGGAAAACTAAAATCCGATAATAGCTAATCATACAAATGTGTTCATTTGTACTATATGCAACACTAATCCTGGCTTTAGTGAAGTAAACACTGTTAGCTTGTTATTTAAACACTGTTATCAAATTACACCTCGAGCATATTATATGGATTCCACTGAAAAACAGGTTTGGAGCAAAAGGTCAAAGCATTGTAACGTTAAGCTTTTAAAATAACATGGTTACAAATTAAATAGATTTTTTTTCTTGAATACAGGCACTCCTCACTTACCGATCGAGTTCCGTTCCTACGACCCGGTCGTAGAACGAATTGGTCAGTAAGTGAGGAGTTAAGGGATTCCCTGCTCTGGTGCGTTCCTCTATGTTCTGGGAAACTTCCCTGAACATAGATTAGAGTGATTCCCTGCTCTGCTGCATTCGTCTATGTACGGGGAAGTTTCCAGAGCAGGGAAACTCCCACCCCACCCCCCCGCCACGGCTTGCACTAACCACTGGTCGTAAGTGTGAGCCGTCGTAAAACAGGTAGGTCACAAAACGAGGACCACCTGTACTATTAAGACATTAAGATGGAGAATACAGAGAGCTGCAGAGCTTAGCTGGAGTTAAAGGGACACTCCATTGCTCAAATACAAAGATAAATACATTTGAAAATCACTACTTAGTAAATGTGCTCTGAATGAAAACATGCATGCATGCATTTTATAATGCTTTTTTTTCATTGAGGTATAAACACAGTCTACAAAAGCTACAGTTCTCTTGTCTGCAGCCTTTCATAGGCGTGCGCACGGGGTGTGCCGGGTGTGCCTGGGCACACCCTAATCCCGCGGCACGCCTATGTATATTGAGACCGGCAGGGGAGATCTCAGGATCTCCCCTGTCGGCTCATGCAGAGCCGGCGCTATCCGAGCGCCGGCTCTGCTCTCAGCCTCCCTCCCCACTGACCCACATGCAGGGAGGGAGGCAGGAGAGGACCGGCGGAGCTCTTGCCGGCAGCTCCGCCGGGTTCCTCTCGCGAGATATGAGCGTTGCCACGGCAACACTCAAATCTCGCGAGAGTGAACTCTAGCCCCACCAGGGAAGGAATCAGCAGCACTATCCCCCCTCCCTACAAAAGGTAAGAAGGGAGGAGGGACATCAAGTAAAGTACCCCCACCCCCACAATCACCCACACACATACACAGCACCAACACACATACAGCACACACACAGCACCCACAGACATACAACACCCACACAGACAGCACCCACACACATACAGCACCCACACACATACACAGCACCCACACACATACACAGCACCTACACACATACAGCACCCACACACATACACAGCACCCACACCCACACAGCACCCACAGACATACACAGCACCCACAGACATACACAGCACCCACACAGCACCCACAGACATACACAGCACCCACAGACATACACAGCACCCACAGACACACACAGCACCCACAGACATACACAGCACCCACAGACATACACAGCACCCACACACAGCACCCACACACAGCACCCATACACAGCACACCATACTCAGCACCCACACACACACACACAGCACCCACAGACACACACAGCACCCACAGACATACACAGCACCCACAGACATACACAGCACCCACACACAGCACCCACACACAGCACCCATACACAGCACCCATACACAGCACCCATACACAGCACACATACAGCACCCACAGACACAGCACCCACAGACACAGCACCTACAGACACAGCACCCACAGACACAGCACCTACAGACACAGCACCCACACACATACAGCACCCACACACACACAGCACCCTCACAAACACACACAGCACCCTCACACACAGCACACAAACAGCACCCTCTCACACACAGCACACTAACAGTACCCTCACAAACACAAACAGGACCCTAACAAACACACACACAGCACACTACCAGCACCCTCACACACAAACAGCACCCTCACACACAGTACATTAACAGCACCCTCACAAGCACACACACACACACAAACAGCATCCTCAAACACAGTACATTAACAGCATCCTCACAAGCACGCACACACAAACACCCTCACCCACATAGCACACTACCAGCACCCTCACACACACACATCACACTAACAGCACCCTCACACAGCGCACACACACACACAGCAGTGTGTGTATGTGTGTGTATATATATATATATATATATATATATATATATATATATACACACATACATATATATATATATATACATACATACATATATACATATATATATATATATACACATATACATACATACATATATATATGCGGCGTGTGCATGTGCTTTAGGGTGCACACCCTAATGCAATAGGCTGCGCACGCCTATGCAGCCTTTACAAACTCTTCCTTCCTTTTCCAACCCAAACTTTCTCTGGCTGTCCAATCACAGACTTCCCAATGCAGCCCAATGAGATGTCTTTGTAAGGCTTCCTCTGCTGCCTCTCAAACCAGGAAGTAACAAGGCTGGTTGCCTGATTGACAACCAGGGGGTGAAACAAGGTTAATTTATTAAAGTGCCAATTTGTATTGAAATCTGCACCTTTTGTAAAAAAGAAAAAAGAGAAAGCTAAAGGGTTTTTTGTCTTTGGAGTATTTCTTTAATAAAGGTTCTTTTTTGGCTTCTTCTTTGTACTAACACAAATAATCAGAATTAGTACATGCAAAGCAGGACTTGTGGGAGACATATTCTCATGTACCGAGGCAAATTCTGCTTAAATTAAAAAACTTGATGATGGAGTTTTGTGAATAGCTGATGTTACTGTTCCAGAATTCGATAGCATTCTTTTTTAAACCTTCAAGCAACACTTTAAGCTCCAAAACAACTTTAGTTTAATGAAGTGGGTTTTGTTTGTAGATCATGCCCCTGCAGTCTGACTGCTCAATTCTCTGCCATTCAGGAGCTAAATCACTTTACATAGACCTAGCCACAACTCTCCTGGCTCCGACTCAAACAGCCTGCCTAGAGACTTCATGAAAAAGAGTGTACATTTGTCTACAAGAGAAAAGAACTCTCTAGAAGAGTGGGAATACCAGGAGCTGGCTAGGTGACTAATGGCTAAAATACTAATACATAGAGATAAATATAAATACAAAAATATATATATGGTACTATGCCTTTAAATCTGGAATGGACAAAGTATCCCTATAAATGTGCAAAAATGTGAATAAAGGTGCTATGAGTGGAGATCTCAAATAAACGGGATATCCCTTTAAATATGCAAAAATACAAAGAGAATGCTGCTATACCTTTAAATGTCCTTTAAGAGTGTGCAAACATGCAAAGCAGTGCTATATAGGGGGGGTGATAAATAAAAAAAAAACGTATATATATATATAAATAAATAAATAAATACAAAAATGCAAAAAGGGGAAAGATGAGAGACCAAATTCTCTGCTGGATGACCAAAAAATATGTATGAAACTGGTGTCTATATCCCAAACAACATGAGGGATAAATGATACCTGTTGCAAATAATATACTTAGTAAAAGATAGAAGTAAAAAATAATAAGCTATACAGTACAAGGAACTGTTAGCTTTAGGCAATAAAAATGAAAACAATATATCGCTGGAAAACTGAAGCATAAAACTGGATCACTTCATATAAGAAAAAAATGCCAGTTTATTGAATATATTAAAATAACTTTGGAAAAAGTTAAATATAAAAATACAGGTCACACTAGATTCAGAAATGCATTACCAGACTGATGCATTGAGAAATAACAGCAAGGACCTTCGGATTGTTAAGGATGGATATGGATTGTGATGATTCAATATACAGCTGCCGGTGAGGATGGCTTGTGTCTGTGAGCACGTCCCGAGCAGGAGCCTCACTTCAGGGGACGTGCAGGACAGATGCCTCCGGTGGCGGTACTTTCCAAACAGGTCCTGCGTGTGGAGATTAGTGGTGCTGCTGGTACATGCGTCTGATCCCGTGTGTTGCTGGAATGCCTGTCTTACGCGTTTCGTAGGGAATGGGCCCTACTTCATCAGAGACATAATAGTTTCTAGTGCTTCAGTTCTTCTTTATATACATTGCCTAATTATCAATCACATTTAGGTGTTAAAACCAATATATTCTATACTAATAAAAACAGTATTTGTACCTGCATAAAACGATACATACATATACATAAAATGCAAATCATTGCCACTAGGGTAAAAACAATATTTATAAAGTCTCATAAAATGTAGACAAATACATAAGACCGGTAAATGTAAAAATACATAAAAGCAATATATGAATGTTCCAAATGGAAGGAACATATATAATGAATCAATTAGAGATAATGAAATGCTGGACATAAATTGGTATATATACATGAAGATAGGTGGATAAAATCATAATAGTATATTGACTACATATGGATAACCAATACTAGATAGGTACCATATAGTTATAGTGTGAATCCTTCCTTCTAGGAGAAAACAGGAGAAAAATAATAGTTAATATATACAAAATAGATAATAAATAAATAATCCCTGGTGGTGGTCTGTAACTATAAATAAAGATGAAAAAAAAAAAGGGGGGGGACTATAAATAAAGGTGAAAAAAAATATATATGTATAGATTATAGGAAAGCATTAAGCTCAAAATCTACATTGAGTCCCTTAGGGACCCTAAGGGACTCAATGTAGATTTTGAGCTTAATGCTTTCCTATAATCTATACATATATATATTTTTTTATTTTTTTTATTTATCACCCCCCCTATATAGCACTGCTTTGCATGTTTGCACACTCTTAAAGGACATTTAAAGGTGTAGCAGCATTCTCTTTGTATTTTTGCATATTTAAAGGGATATCCCGTTTGAGATCTCCACTCATAGCACCTTTATTCACATTTTTGCACATTTATAGGGATACTTTGTCCATTCCAGATTTAAAGGCATAGTACCATATATATATTTTTATATTTTTATTCTCTATGTAGTAGTATTTTAGCCATTAGTCACCTAGCCAGCTCCTGGTATTCCCACTCTTCTAGAGAGTTCTTTTCCCTTGTTCTATATAGGTTTTTAGTGAATCCCTATCATTACCAGTTTTCGAGCAGCTTAGTGCTAGTCTGTCTCCCTCTCTCCTGCGTGGTACATTAGGTACACCAGAACCGTTCTACTATTTGTCTACAAGAGTCTACACAAGCTTCCCATATTGCACCGTGTATTTAATTTAGAAGTTCTTATCTCCTGCTCTGTTAATAGCTTGATAGAACCTGCAATTGCCTCCTGTATGATTCATGTTCAATAAGGCAATAATATATTCTAAAGTAAACTGATTGTGCTGTAAGACTGGGTTGTAAATTAAACAATTTTTTTCACGCAGGCTGTGTGAGTCTCAGTCTGGGGAGGTGTGACTAGGGTTCCATAAACAAAGAGATTTAACTCCTACATGGAAGGAAACTGAGCGGTGAGATTGCAGAGGCATGATCTATACACCAACAGGGTTATTCACTAAGGTGAGAATTCAAAGTGAATTTCAAATTTAAGGTAAAAATAGCCAAATTGGAAGAATTCTTTGTCCGCTATGATTCACTTTGAATTCACCTTGAATATGTTGTGACTTCTATGTCTGAGTAGTTATGCTCTTTAGAATAATATGATTAAGATAGTTAACCTTTTAGTGTTGCAGTTTTAAACCTCTGAGTCAGGACGCAAAATTGGATCCCCATGTTATTTTAGTAGGTCCTCAAATGTAGGAACAGACCCATCATATTCCTCAGCTCCAAGTCTACTGCCTATAATTAAGTGTTTACTGTCATGGGAATAGCTTGTTCTGTGTTACATAACAGTGAAGGAATGGATCACCGAGCAATTTTACAATTACAGAATGAGATGCCAAGCTAATGCTATTTATGTCACATGAAGCCATGTCAAAAAAGAAGATTTTTCCCTACATTGCTCTGTATTCCTGATTTCAAAGGGTTAATCACTTTGTTGTTTCTTTAAAGAATGAAAATATTTCCTTGTTATAATAAAGTTAATAGCTTGCTTATCTATTATTTAGACGTGCCATTGGGATGCTAAGAGGCCACACTGCTCCAATTTTTTCCCTTGAAATCTCTTCAGAAGACAACAAAATATTTTCTGTTGCCGTTGACACTACTATAAAGGTATATCAATAATATGTATTGCAATGTCCGCTGTAGTTTCTCAGTTTTAACAGAATTAAAAAATAGGTTTCAGATTTGTTATATGTTACAGTAAAACGAGACATGCTGTAAATGGTTAGTATTTCCATCTGGTCTTACATGAAATAAAACAAATCAAACACTCTCCCAAATATGAAAAAGATACTGTGCATATATTGTTGTTTATGTTGCTAAATCACAGCTATCTGACAGTTCTATCGCAAGCAGTTGCAGAACACTAAATACAAAACCTGTCTGAATGCGTTTACATCTAAAGCTACCAAAAGTCTAGTTAAAAAATCCATAGCTTCTGACCAAGGTATCAACCTAGAGCCTCTATCACAGGGGTTCTCAACCCAGTCCTCAAGGACCCCACTACCAGTCTAGGATTTAGGGATTACCTGGTTGTGTCTAAGGTGTTTAGAAAAAGGAAAAAAAACACCTTAGACTCTAAGGTGCTTTTTTACCCAGGTAATCCCTAAATCCTAGACTGGTAGGGGGTCCTTGAGGACTGGGTTGAGAACCCCTGCTCTCACCTAAAACAAATTCACTTCACACAGGCAGGTAGCCTTAGTGAGTACTTGGACTTGTTTTGGCCCAAGGTTACATGTATTTTGGCCCCCACACACCAAACTGAAATTATTATTTTTTTTTTAGGTCTCCTTCTGCACCATGCACAACCACGTTTTGTTAGGAAAATTACTCCCACATTTTTATATGCATATACATGTATGTATTCAGATTCACATGTATTTATATTCATGAACACATATATGGACATATACAGTATCTCACAAAAGTGAGTACACCTCTCACATTTTTGTAAATATCTTATATCTTTTCATGTGACAACACTGAAGAAATGACACTCTGCTACAATGTAAAGTAGTGTACAGTCTGTACAACAGTGTACATTTTCTGTCCCCTCAAAATAACTCAACACACAGCCATTAATGTCTAAACCGTTGGCAACAAAAGTGAGTACACCCCTAAGTGGAAATGTCCAAATTGGGTCCAATTAGCCATTTTCCCTTCCCGGTGTCATGTGACTCGTTAGTGTTACAAGGTCTCAGGTGTAATTGGAGAACAGGTGTGTTAAATTTGGTGTTATCGCTGTCACACTCACTCATACGGATCACTGGAAGTTCAACATGGCACCTCGTGGCAAAGAACTCTCTGAGGATCTGAAAAAAAGAATTGTTGCTTCACATAAAGATGGCCTAGGCTATAAGAAGATTGCCAAGACCCTGAAACTGAGCTGCAGCACATTAGGCAAGACCATATAGCAGTTTCTCAGGACAGGCTCCACTCAGAACAGGCCTCGCCATGGTCAACCAAAGAAGTTGAGTGCACATGCTCAGCATCATATCCAGAGGTTGACTTTGGGAAATAGATGTATGATTGCTGCCAGCATTGCTGCAGAGGTTGAAGGGGTGGGGGTCAGCCTATCAGTGCTCAGACCATACACCGCACACTGCATCAAATTGGTCTGCATGGCTGTCGTCCCAGAAGGAAGCCCATTCTAAAGATGATGCACAAGTAAGCCCGCAAACAGTTTGCTGAAGACAAGCAGGATTACTTGAACCATGTCCTGTGGTCCGATGAGATCAAGATAAGCTTATTTGGTTCAGATGGTGTCAAGCGTGTGTGGCGGCAACCAGGTGAGGAGTACAAAGACAAGTGTGTCTTGCCTACAGTCAAGCATGGTGGTGGGAGTGTCTGGGCCTGTATGAGTGCTGCTGGCACTGGGGAGCTACAGTTCATTGAGGGAACCATGAATGCCAACATGTACTGTGATATACTGAAGCAGAGCATGATCCCCTCCCTTCGGAGACTGGGCCGCAATTCAGTATTCCAACATGATAATGACCCCAAACACACCTCCAAGAGGACCACTGCTTTGCTAAGAAAGCTGAAGGTAAAGGTGATGGACTGGCCAAGCCTTTCTCCAGACCTAAACCCTATTGAGCATCTGTGGGGCATCTTCAAACAGAAGGTGGGGGAGCGCAAGGTCTCTAACATCCACCAGCTCTGTGATGTCATCATGGAGGAGTGGAAGAGGACTCCAGTGGCAACCTGTGAAAATCTGGTAAACTCCATGCCCATGAGGGTTAAGGCAGTGCTGGAAAATAATGATGGCCACACAAAATATTTACACTTTGGGCCCAATTTGGACATTTCCACTTAGGGATGTACTCACTTTTGTTGCCAACGGTTTAGACATGTTGAGTTATTTTGAGGGGACTGCAAATGTACACTGTTATACATGCTGTACACTTACTACTTTACATTGTAGCAGAGTGTCATTTCTTCAGTGTTGTCGCATGAAAAGATATAATAAAATATTTACAAAAATGTGAGGGGTGTTATCACTTTTGTGAGATACTCTATATACGCAGACACACTCATTGATATACATTCACACACACATGCATTCACACAAGGACTCATACACACAGACTCATATGTACGCAAAGACATTCATATACACACTGTTACATCCATAGATATACACACCGACTTCGTTTTTAGTTTATTAAATAATGAAATAAAGTTTTTATACAGTGAAGTCCACACAGCCTCCCTGTTCTTACTTTGACCGTGAGAACTGGAGTGAAACCTCATCCCTGGGGTCCAGTTGAGTGCTACTGGTATCAGTCTCGGTGTGCTGACTTCCCAGCTCCCCGCTTTTCTGTACTTTTGTCAAGGCAGGAATGACGTCATATTCCAGCAAGTAACCTGCAATGTAATTTTGTATAAAATAGCCAAAGTGACAATATTTTTTCAATGTTACAATTTATCACCACTGCTAAAGGATGATATTTTTTGCAACAAATGATGCTCTCCAGTTGCTTGTCTTAAGGCTTAGCATGGTAAACAAAGATGCATTTTATTGTAGATTATTTAATGGGTGTTTCTGTCTGATGCAGACCAGGTCTAAACTATTATCATATGAACTCAACAGGAACTTCATATGCATTAGAACAACTTGAATGGTTTTATATCAATATAAATAGAAAGATTAAACCATGTCGTGTTACACTGATGCCAGGAATAAAACATGTGGTGGTTTCTGCCCCTTTAAGTACATCTACTGAAAAACAGTAAAATATGATGTTAAATAACACTTTTATTTCTAATTTATATAACATAGTGGTTTTATTTATTCAGATTTGGGATATACAAAATCAAACCTGTTTGTTCACTGCCTGTTCAAAATCCAGCGGGATTAGAGGAGAGCTTACTGCGTGTGTATATATCCCCGACGTTAAAGCACTTTGTGTTACAACAGATTCCATCGCACTTCTTCAGCTCAAGCTAAAGTAAGAATTATAGTTTATCTTTAGACTGTTATTAAAATCCACTAAAACCTGGTGGGTTTAAGGTAAATCCTTCAGCAGAATTAATGTTTCAAAAGTGTGTCTATGCCATTTATTCATATTTTAACATCTAACATTTAAAGGGTTACTCCACCCACCATGACCACTTCAGTGATTTGACATGGTAAGGGGGCTTGGTTGTGCTTTATTTCCCTTTGAAATGCTGTGAGTACAGAGTTAAAGCCCTTTGCTGCTTGAGGTGTAACACCAATTCTGGCAGTGTCTTCAGGTTATAACCAGAGTTATGGGCTGGCTAAATCGCAATTCAATTAAAACCAATTGCACAAGTATAATTTCTAAACACACTTTTTGTAGTTAAAAGACACATTATTGTGAACATTATTGCTGCAGAGCTTTGTTATACACTCAGACACATCAACAGTACGGAGGTCCTAGAAAAGAGGGAAGACACAATTGGGATTTGGACCCAAAATAGGGAATGTCCCTCCTAAATAGGGGAGGTATGCCTGCCTGTGTGCCCTCTTTGTCTAATGCAGACTCCTTTGTTTATATGAATGTGATCGTGGGTTTTCTCTTACTTAAAGGGCTATTGATTAGGATAACTAATAAAGAGCACTCCAGGTATAATTTCTCTAGGATTTTCCTAAATTAGCAAGTTATTATGTGATAAAACATCTGAAGACATTTACTGAACAGCATATTATTGTAGACAAAAATTCTTCAATATCCTTATAAAAATTATGAAATCAATTTTAATATATCCAGACTCACACGACAATGGTTAATTATGTGAGCATACAATAAAATACATTTGTTCTTGATAGTAACAAAAAATAAATCTTTGTATATATAAAGTGATATCTGCTAACAGTTCATAATGAGAGCGCCATAGTTCTGGCGTTGCCATATTAATTCAGTGATGTCAATGCAAAATAATGTTGCAGAATTTTATACAATATTGAAATGCTAGACATTTCAAAAACAAAAATTTCCCAAGGGAGTTGTAACACGAGTGCCAGGAGTATAATAATTACAAGTTATTTACTTACCACCAGTTTTCTCAAATTAGGTTAAATGGCAAAAGTAGCAGTTTTGCTATCTGGATTAATGCTATTTACTCATCCCCTATCCTTTAATCAGTATGTATTTGTAGTATGTTAAAAATAAAATTAGAATGTAGAAATATGCAGCTCTTTATGCTGGAACAGGGTGTCTTCATCTTGCAGGACTAAGACTTCCTCTAGTGACTGTCTATCAGACAGCCATGAGAGACACTTCCTGGATTCTAGCAAACTCTAGGTCCCTTAAACAACTCACCCTCTGCCTTAGAGTCCTCACCCACTGCCTGAAGACATCCAGTGTCAGTGAAATTCCTAAAGGAAAGCATTGAGACAATGTTTTACCATGGGGAGTATCTCATGTGCACACAGCGCTCTCCGCATATGCGAATTAGATCCCCCCACCGGATGACGTCAGGGGAGGTGGAGCATTGACCCAGTGCCGAAGGAAATTAGCACTGGAATAAGGTAATTAAATAAAGGTGTATTTAGCCATTAATCTGCTATCTGCTATGGGGGAGAGGGGAACCAGAGGCACTGTAGTGTTAGGAAACAGATTTGTATTCCTAACACTATAGAATCCTTTTAACATGTATTGTCTATACTGTTCTGTATAAAGTTTATTTAGTGAATGGTTTGTCTTGCTTTTATTATAACTTTTTAGTCTTATAACCACTTATGTATCACTTAGATGTTCAGATGTTAATGGATTAATTTAACAGTTGCATAAAGAAAAAAACAATAAATAAAGGCCTCATGAAAAGTGGCATGTGTGACCGGTATATAATGAAAATATGTATATTACTGTAGCAAAGTTTTTTTCTTTTTATTATAAAAAGGTCACTCACTCAGCCTCACTTGGACTTCACTCACAAGGAGCCGGTTTTGTGTTGCAAATATAACAAAGCCTTTAAACAGGTGATCACCTGCTCAGAAGGATCTGTAAGTGTTTACCAATATTTTATTATATGAACTACTTACTGTCTTACCAATGCAGACCAATACAGATGAATGACAAAAATCATTGCTAGGTGACAAAAATCATTGCTAGGTGACAAAAATATCAAGGGTAAATCTTATGGCCCCTCCTACATATAGACCCCCAAAACCCCAACCTTTACACACCCTATGTCCAACCCTAAACATGGTCTATGCATCACATTGCGACAACTAGTTGTTGCATGAATTAAAATTAATGATCATGTATTTTAACAGTTGCAAATTAAATTTGTTTGTTGCACTTAGTACAGGTCTGCACCTTTGACTGGTTGCAGATGACTGCTGTTGTTCCATCCTGGTCAAAAAAATAAAGTGTGGGAAGGCTTAAAGAACCACTATAGTGCCAGGAAAACATACTAGTTTTCCTGGCACTATAGTGCCCTGAGGGTGCCCCCACCCTCAGGGACCCCCTCCCACCGGGCTCTGGGGAGAGGAAGGGGTTAAACACTCACCTTTCTCCAGCACCGGGCGGGGATCTCTCCTCTCCGCCTCTTCTCCTCTTCTTCGGCTGAATGCGCATGCGCGGCAGGAGCTACGCGCGCATTCAGCCAGTCTCATAGGAAAGCATTCATAATGCTTTCCTATGGACGCTTGCGTCTTCTCACTGTGATTTTCACAGTGAGAAGCACGCAAACGCCTCTAGCGGCTGTCAATGAGACAGCCACTAGAGGCTTTAGAGGCTGGATTAACCTATTAAACATAGCAGTTTCCCTGAAACTGCTATGTTTATAAAAAAAAATGGGTTAACCCTAGCTGGACCAGGCACCCAGACCACTTCATTAAGCTGAAGTGGTCTGGGTGCCTAGAGTGGTCCTTTAACACAGATATGAAGCCTCCCAACACAACCACCGAACTCACCAAGCTGCTATATTTAAACCCTCACTCACATTCACAGCACATTTACCTCCAAAACTCACACTGCTACAGTGAGGGAAAAAAGTATTTGATCCCCTGCTGATTTTGAACGTTTACCCACTCACAAAGAAATGATCAGTCTATAATTTTAATGGTAGGTGTATTTTAACAGTGAGAGACAGAATAAAAAAAAAAAATCCAGAAAAACGCATGTCAAAAAAGTTATAAATTGATTTGCAATTTGCATGTCAATGAGTGAAATAAGTAATTAACCCCTTCGACTGGCAAAAACCTTGTCAGCAATCGCAGAGGTCAGATGTTTCTGGTAATTGGCCACCAGGTTTGCACACATCTCAGGAGGGATTTTGTCCCACTCCTCTTTGCAGATCCTCTCCAAGTCATTAAGGTTTAGAGGCTGACGTTTGGCAACTCGAACCTTCAGCTCCCTCCACAGATATTCTATATAATTAAGGTCTGGAGACTGACTAGGCCACTCCAGGACCTTAATGTGCTTCTTCTTGAACCACTCCTTTGTTGCTTTGGCTGTGTGTCATTATCATGATGGAATACCTATCCACAACCCATTTTCAATGCCCTGGCTGAGGGAAGGAGGTTCTCACCCAAGACATGGCCCTGTTCATTGTCCCTTTGATGCGGTGCAGTTGTCCTGTCCCCTTAGCAGAAAAACATCCCCAAAGCATAATGTTTCCTCCTCCATGTTTCATGGTAGGGATGGTGTTTTAGGGGTCATAGGCAGCATTCCTCCTCCTCCAAACACAGCAAGTTGAGTTGATGCCAAAGAGCTCGATTTTGGTCTCATCTGACCACAACACTTTCACCCAGTTCTCCTCTGAACCATTCAGATGTTCATTGGCAAACTTCAGACAGGGGGACCTTGCGGGCACTGCAGGGTTTCATTCCTTTACAGTGTAGTGTGCTACCAATTGTTTTCTTGGTGACTATGGTCCTAGCTGCCTTGAGATCATTAACAAGATCCTCCCATTTAGTTCTGTATGTATGCAAACAAAGGAGGATACAGCTGCAGATCTACAAAATGGATACAAAACAAAATAATAGTGTAACACTGTTTGATAAGATATAAATGCACTATGTGGAATATAACTCAAAAGAAGGATGAAATAATATCGCCCAAAGGTGCCTCCCCTGATGTGGGTGGGGCAGTGTGTATATGGGGTGGCAACGTGTATATGGGGGTGCAGTGTGTATATGGGGGCTGTGTGTACATAAGGGGGCCGTGTGTGGTGGGGTAGTGTATATATGGGGGGTTGTGGGGGCAGTGTGTATGGGGGCTGTGTGTATATGGGGGCAGTGTGTGGTGGGGCAAACCGCGGCAACATTCCGTGCTCGAGAGAGGAGACCCGGCGGAGCTGCAAGCTAGAGCTCCCGGGTCTTCTCTCCCTCCTCTCTCCGTACCGGCCGCCCAGCAATGTGCCTGCGGACCGAGGAGGGAGATCTATGATCTCCCCTATGGTCTGTGAAGGCACTTAGCAGGGCCGGTGCTATCCAAGGAGAGAGCATCGGCTCTCGCAGGATCCGCCACTGCCACATAGTCACCCTGCACAAACCTCCCCACACTCACCCTGCCACAGTCACACTGTCACACTCACCCTGTTACAAAATTTGAAATGTACATTCTCTGAAATGTCATTCAGTTAAACTCATACACAAACAGTCATACTTCACACACGAAACACAGCTTCACCACAATGCACACATCCAGACCGGAAAGCAGACTCCCCATTCACAAAACACAATGCAAGCAGCTCCCCCAGACACATACACTTCAAAACACAGGGATACACACACTCACAAACACAGAGATGCAACCAAAAACACAGGCACAGATATACCATTATCCTTTAGACTGAAGGCTAAGCAGCGAGAGGGTAAGCAGAGACACTGGATCATGGGAACCCAAGTTGTAACTTTGCAAACTGCAAACTACTTTATTCATTTCACTGCTGACACCTCCCAAAGTGGGACCCGACAATGACCCGTGTTTGATATCAATGCAGGCAAAACGGTACATTCATTCCCAGCTCCTACCAACAGATATCTCAGCAAGCTGAGGAATTGTTATACAATTCAATAAGCACTTGCCATTTTCTATAATTATATGTTTTTCTTTTACTTCTATAAAAACATTCTTACAATGCAGTGACATTAAATGGTAGTCTTAAATAAAATTCTGATGTATGGTACGGTACATTTGTACAGAAAACATTTCAACAATATGACATTTTGGAAGGAATAAGGTTACATAATTATGTAGCTTTGAGTTAAAAAAAAATAAAACAAAGGATTAAAACGCTATTTGAAAGGAGACACAGAGTAATTTCATTCAAGTGGAATTATTGTGCTAAGCTCTTAGAAGTACATTTGGTGCACTCCCACGCACTAAATCCAGCTATATCTTCATTTATTACGGAACGTTGCATGGACTTTGTGCTATTATGATAGACCCCAATGTTGAGGGTGCAGGAGGTAATACATCTACATTGCTATGTAAAAGCTGAAATCAAACAACTAGCCTTTACTCATACAGGGTGAGCCAAAATTCAGAGCAGGATTTGTCAGGTAAAAAAACTTATTTGTTAGTAGTTCAATTGTTTTGTTGCAGGTACATATTATAATTAATTCTTAGGAGATTCATCATGGGTGATTTCAAAAAGGAGCCACAAGTAAAAATAGTGGAATTTTTTTTCCAAATGGCAGATCCATTATTTTTCTGCAAATAAGACAAATCATCCTGTTTAGAGTATTAGCATGTTATATATTCACAAATGGCTCTCAGAACTTGTAGTAAAATAGAACTTCTCTTTACTTCAATACACACACATAATGACATAACACAAGAGAGACTAACACAACAGAACAAGTGCATAACTTCACTATGCTGCCTTCTACTGGAAGGTGGACTGCATAAACCCCAATACATGACATTCTGGAATATCATTTCAACAGGATGGGGCTGCTGCCCATGCAGCCAGGGCCACAATGGACCTCCTGAGACAACTGTTATCGAGCGGATAATTTCAAGAAATTCCCAGATTAATTGCTAAGGGTACCAAATTAGGGAGGAAGCTGTTTACTAGATAGCTCCCTTACTTGGTATCAAATTGATATAAGATGGAAAAAACAGAATCACTTTTTTGGCAGGAGCTTTGGAAATTTAATTATAGGATCTTTCAAAAGATTTAAAAAAAAAAAAGAAAAGAGAGAGAGAGAGTGAAAGAGAAAGAAATATGGGAAAGGATGAAAGTGGAACAGGGGGTAAATGGGCAATTTATGACTCATTCACTTCCTGCCCTTTTGGTCCTTGTCTTGGGGAGCAAACTACCAGAGTGCCAAGGCATTGCAGCGGACTGTCGGTGGGGGGAGAAACACTCTACCACTTGAGGAAAGAGATATTGTATTGTTGAAAATGTCACAGAGAAACAACAAGAAAAATGTGTAAATGGGATTTAAGTCACCACAAACAGTGACAAAAAACCCAAAGTGGAAGCAGGGGAGAGTGATGGGGCAGTTGACAAAGTTTCAGGGCAAAGCCTTTTGCACTTTTTCAGTGCTTAGCTGACAGTGGACCTACAGACTGTAAAAGCAGTTCCCTAGCAATTAACTGGCTGTGTGGCAGAAGGTAAGCAGGCATAGCCACACCACTCAATACAAAAGGGAAAAAGGATAAGCGCTAGATAACTAAACCAAGCTAAAAAAGTAGGCAGCTCATCTAAGGCTAGGGGTTCCCTCAAACCCATGAAACAAGTAACTTGGAAGACAGGTAACAGGTAGCACCCAAGATATGTTAATAACCACACAGGAAAATATAATGAAAATAGAACAATAACTAAACAGTGATATAATATTACAAATAGGTCAATCAAAAGGTGGCAATAAGTCTGAAAAAGTGTGTCCTTTTCTTATCAGTAGAGTCAGATAAGGCTTCTTTTCAAGGTGTGGATTTGTTTATAAATGTAAAAGGAATCAAAGACACAGGAAAACACCAATATTGTAATATGTCAGCTTAAATGGAGCACAGATGACACAAAGGTAAGTGATTGCCAATTCACATTTTTTTAGAGCAAGGACCAGCTCTGGTATGAACAGAATGCAGTGATATAGAACCCCACTTGCTGGTTATGCAGATATATTGAACCTCTTCATTTGCTGCAGAATATTGACCACATAGATCATCCAGAAAAGAAAAGTACCACACTAGTGCTCTCTATAGGTAAGTATAGGGATAGATAGACAAAGATAAAATCCTACTTACAATTTTTGTAAGTAGAAAGAAATATGGGAAAGGATGAAAGTGGAACAGGGGGTAAATGGGCAATTTATGACTCATTCACTTCCTGCCCTTTTGGTCCTTGTCTTGGGGAGCAAACTACCAGAGTGCCAAGGCATTGCAGCGGACTGTCGGTGGGGGGAGAAACACTCTACCACTTGAGGAAAGAGATATTGTATTGTTGAAAATGTCACAGAGAAACAACAAGAAAAATGTGTAAATGGGATTTAAGTCACCACAAACAGTGACAAAAAACCCAAAGTGGAAGCAGGGGAGAGTGATGGGGCAGTTGACAAAGTTTCAGGGCAAAGCCTTTTGCACTTTTTCAGTGCTTAGCTGACAGTGGACCTACAGACTGTAAAAGCAGTTCCCTAGCAATTAACTGGCTGTGTGGCAGAAGGTAAGCAGGCATAGCCACACCACTCAATACAAAAGGGAAAAAGGATAAGCGCTAGATAACTAAACCAAGCTAAAAAAGTAGGCAGCTCATCTAAGGCTAGGGGTTCCCTCAAACCCATGAAACAAGTAACTTGGAAGACAGGTAACAGGTAGCACCCAAGATATGTTAATAACCACACAGGAAAATATAATGAAAATAGAACAATAACTAAACAGTGATATAATATTACAAATAGGTCAATCAAAAGGTGGCAATAAGTCTGAAAAAGTGTGTCCTTTTCTTATCAGTAGAGTCAGATAAGGCTTCTTTTCAAGGTGTGGATTTGTTTATAAATGTAAAAGGAATCAAAGACACAGGAAAACACCAATATTGTAATATGTCAGCTTAAATGGAGCACAGATGACACAAAGGTAAGTGATTGCCAATTCACATTTTTTTAGAGCAAGGACCAGCTCTGGTATGAACAGAATGCAGTGATATAGAACCCCACTTGCTGGTTATGCAGATATATTGAACCTCTTCATTTGCTGCAGAATATTGACCACATAGATCATCCAGAAAAGAAAAGTACCACACTAGTGCTCTCTATAGGTAAGTATAGGGATAGATAGACAAAGATAAAATCCTACTTACAATTTTTGGAGCAGGAGGACCGCTCAAGATGTACAGCGTGGGTCGTATTATCCTCTCCTAGGATTCTTTGTCCAGCCTCAGCAGTTTTGTAGTAAAGATGCCAGGTAGAAATACAAGCATAAAAGAGTACAATAATAAAAGTATATGGCTACACAAATTAAAAGTGGCCAAAAGATACTTTATTATTTTAAACACAATTCATGTAATATCCACAACACGTTTCACCAGTTAGGGCTTTATCAAGTGGATCAAAGATAGCCACACTGCTGATGCAGCCATGAGGGGGAAACACTTACTTATTGAACGAATTAACAATAGTTTTTGTTTCTCTAAACCTCCAGTACACACACCCTTTGCAGCTTAATTTTCACACATGTCAACTAAAAGACTAAGAAGAACCCTAACCTCAATTAGAGTCGAACTGTGGAGCTGGGTAGTCCAACTTGGGCAGATTAAACTTTAGAAAGGCATTCTGCTCCATAGGATTAGGTAACATTTGCAAGTGCTGAGAATTCAGTATATATTACCGGTTACAGAAAACACACGCTCACTTTTTACAGTGGTTGGCGGATACAATAGGAGCTCCTGGGCAACCAGAGAGAGTGAAGGCCTCACACTCTTTTAGTCATCCCAGTTGCTAAGAGGGTCAACAAAGGAGGTTCGAAGAGGTAAAATCTGGTAATTTCAGAGCCACTACTCTCTTTTCTGGTGCTTGCTGTTTCAGTGGGTCCAACTACAAACCCAAATGCCTTGCCCAAAATGTAGCTCCACTGTGTTATGATACTACTGTCAGCACTGTTGCTGAGAGTTGAAGGCATCTCAGGCTCCTGCTGCACTTCACCCTCAGACAGAATTTCCCTCTTCAGCTGCAAGTCACGCACCCTACATCTGACTCACGGTGTGTATATGGCTGAAGTATCCATTTATATTCTAAAAGAAGGGATGAGTTTTTATCATTTCTGTTTGCGTATACTTGATTTAAAAAAAATCTATTTCCTTTCATTACTTGATGAAAATATAATTATATAAAAAATTGTTCTGAGGTTGCAGTTCTCCTTCAAGGGGTCCTTAATGGCCAGAAGCATCTAGAGGGTTATCAGGGTCTAGTCAACTCAGCTCAATCCAACCCATTTTAAAATTAGATTTATTTGAATTGTTTTGTAGGCCTTTCAGTTACAAAAAGGTTACAAATCAAATGAACTGTTTAAGAAAGATACACAATAAAGACATTTTCCTGTATAGTTTGTGAATCTTTTTGATCATTTGGTATGTGGAGGTTGATGTTTTTGTTTATCATTGTTACATTTCACTGTGTCTAACATCATTAATTTTATAGCTTTCTGTCTGTGCAGCTCAGAATAGCAGCTCTCAAAAGTAATTTAAATGATGATTGCTTGACTTCTGACATGGCTAATAACTATAATTATGTTTTTTTTTATAATAATTTTCTTCATTTTGTGCTTAAAATACCTCTAATTTTACCATTTCCCATATCTCTTTCCTTACGTGTAGCTGGTGAAAGTATGGGACTTTGAGACAGGAAAACAAGTATTTGAATTTAATGAAGCTCATGGCGATGCAGGCATAACATGTATGGACTTTGACCCTAGTGGAAGAAGGTATCCAGATAACGAGATAGTGTATTTAATTTGAGTGATTCTAAATAAAATAATTGTAGTGAGCCCTCAATATGGTGTGTAATACATTCCAGGTGGGTGCACATTGACTTTAGACGCATAGTCTAGAATAGGCAGATAATAAGGAAATAATAAGGTCTTATATGTCAATTTGCTAAAATTTTCCACTTGCCCACTTGCTTTTGGCGAGTGAACATTTAGCCCTGTCGAGTAGAAATGTACCCCTGGTAATTGTGCCATGGTCTGTCCAGACTTGCAAGGGTAAGTAAGTTTTAAGCCTGTCTGGTGGGGTAGGCCATCCAGTCAGCTGCCACCTTTAACACACTGATTTTTATTTTATTTATGTATTTTTATGGAGACATGCTCTGCTTTCTTTATTATCTATTTAGTTTGGGTTTATTTTGTATCTACAAGACACTGGCTGGAGCGAAGAAAAATACTTCTTCATGCTACTAGTGGAGCATTTATTTTCTAAGATTCCTGAATTCAATTCATTCCAAATCTATAGCATGATCTTTTAACAGTATATACTGACAGAATTATATCCTTATATCAGTGAGGGTTATAATTCTCTGTTAATTATGTAAATCTCAGTTTATAACTTAATGTTAGCAATATTTTAAACATTTCGAGGTCGCAAACAATTCATCACCTTAGTAAATAAAAAATACTACCTACACAAGCCTATAAAAGATTTAAATGGACAGTCCTCTACCCAACTACAAAAAAAATCACCATTTAGTAGATTTACCCCCAATGCATGTATTTTTTTTTTCATTGGGGGTTGTATATAAAAGCAGCTTACAAAAGCTGAAGTTTTCTTGTTTGCAACCTTTGCAAACCCTCGCCTTCTAACCCAGCCTAGACTTTTTGTGACTGTCCAATCACAGACTTCTCAATGCAGCTCAATGAGAACTCTTTGCAAGGCAGGTGCTCTGAGCAAGTTTCTGCCTCTTGAGTTTATGTCCACTGAGCTAACCAAACCAGGAAGTAAAAGAACCGGTTGTCTGATTGGCAGTCCAGGGGGTGTAACAAGGATCATTTATAAAAATGCTGATCTCCATTGAAATTTGCACTTTTTGTAAAATAAAAAGAGGACACACTCTTCAAACATAATGTATTTTAGCAAGCTAATGTGCTTTAGGTGTTTAGAGCGTTCTTTAAAAACACGAATGAGAGTCAGACAAACCGACAGCTATTTACACGATCTACTTTTATACTATAGGTTAATTACTGGAGGAAGAGATGGCTGTTTGAAGATTTGGAATCACAATAACGGACAGTGTTTGCACACACTGAGAAGAGGTAATTTGTTTCCCATGGTAACTTGGTCTCCATAAGGATATATGTAATAAGATTATCTTAGTAAAAAATATATATTTTTTTTAATTATTGAGCATGGGAGCAAAAAATGACAACTGTGCTGATACTGCAGGTTACATAAATTAATAGAATATTCAGATTGTTTTTGACACTTATACAGATGGAGAAATTTTCCACTAGTTATTTGAGATTTTTGTTTACCAGTAGATAATTAGAGATAAAGATATCAATATTTATGTCGCTATATACCTGTATAACTTTTGCTTCACGTCCCAGTTATGCTATCTTTGGTTTAGCCAGTGCTGTACCCAAAGCATTACCTACCTCCAACATTTGCATCTCATGAAGCACATGAATGGGGGCAAAAGTGGACGGACCAGTGATACAAATCGTGCCATTGGTGCCACCCAAATGGAGGGAATCTACTCAAGCAGGCTGGCCCACCACAGTTTCATCGCTGTCTGCATGGTCCTAGTACTCTGAGCAAAGCTCAAGCGCATCCATTTCTGGGGGCAGTTTTCTGGTTTTCCCAAAAGTGATATACCAGGGACTGAAGTCAAAACAGAACCTTAAAATAGGAAAGTTGTAGATGCCTACTTAATGCTGCCTGGGTCCAATGACCTTCCTCTATGTGCTACCTGGGTCCAATGATCCTTCCTTCATGTGCTACCTGGATCCATTGACCTTCCTTCACGTGCTACCTGGATCCATTGACCTTCCTCCATGTGCTACCTGGGTCCAATGACCTTCCTTCATGTGCTACCTGGATCCATTGACCTTCCTTTATTTGCTACCTGGGTCCAATGACCTTCCTTCATGTGCTGCCTGGGTCCAATGACCTTCCTCCATGTGCTACCTGGGTCCAATGACCTTCCTCTATGTGCTACCTGGATCCATTGACCTTCCTCCATGTGCTACCTGGGTCCAATGACCTTTCTTCATGTGCTACCTGGGTCCAATGACCTTCCTTCATGTGCTGCCTGGGTCCAATGACCTTCCTCTATGTGCTACCTGGATCCATTGACCTTCCTCCATGTGCTACCTGGGTCCAATGACCTTTCTTCATGTGCTGCCTGGATCCATTGACCTTCCTTCATTTGCTACCTGGGTCCAATGACCTTCCTTCATGTGCTACCTGGGTCCAATGACCTTTCTCCATGTGCTACCTGGGTCCAATGACCTTCCTTCATGTGCTACCTGGATCCATTGACCTTCCTTCATGTGCTACCTGGATCCATTGACCTTCCTTCATGTGCTACCTGGGTCCAATGACCTTCCTCCATGTGCTGCCTTGGTCCAGTGAACCAATTGGTGGAAGCCCCAAACAGGAGCTTCCAGCTCTCACTCAGGATGAAGAGATTAAGGCATTAAGGCATTAAGCGGCAGCTGGCAGACCCCAGTTGAGAAGTCAAACCATTCTAAAATTATTATTATTATAAATAAATGTATATTTTTTTTTATTGTTTTGTGGGGTTTTTTTTTTTTTTTACTTTTTTTAAATTGCAGTGATTTTTTTCCTGTAAAGTTTTTAAACCTTTGCTGAAATGTTTGTCTTGCAATAGAAATCAATAGAAACTCAATAAAATAAAATGTTTTGTTTTCAGCAAATACATCTGCTGAGATCTGTGACTGTGCACATGTCGAGATAAACAGAAACAAGTAAGATCATATCATAATATCTGTTTGTAAAGCAGAAACAAAAATTGTTTCTGGAAATGGTTGGAATATAAATGTAAAATATGTTCTTTAAAAGCATAATACTTATTTTTGGTGCTTTTTTTTTTATTTCAGATATATTGTTGGTGTTGGATGGGATAGAAGAATAAACATGTTCATTGTGAGCATACATCTTTTTCAATTTTTATCCACTTTGTAATAAGGGGGTTGGTTACAAATGAGAACAGGAATTAGGATAAATGCAGCAGGAGTGGCACTGAAGAGGAACTAAAATAAAGAATAATTCTTGGGTGGGACAGAAAGAGGAAAATTTAATCTGGAATGGACAGGACATTTCTGAGTGGAAAGAAAATAAATGGAAGAGTTAGTGGATTAGGCTGGGAGGAAATTATACATTAGATTGGGGTTATAATGGAGCATTCATACGAGCAAACAAATCCATTTTGATTTGGGGAAATGAATGAGATTTGGTTAGGGTGATTAGTTCAACTGTAATGGTAAAAAGACAGTAGGGGATTTTTACTAAATTTAAACTGGCCTGGCTAATGTTAATTCTATCCATATTGCCATGCATGGAATGTCAATCATTAACGAAGAGCGATAAGCCAACGAATGAGCTGCAGAAGCCGAATGTTGTAAACCAGCTGCAGAGCAGACCCGATGCCTGTTCTGTATTGAAGGATCTTTTTCTTTTGGTTTTTCTATTTCTGTGTATTTTTACACTTTTTGCCTCCCTTATTTGTAGACTGAGATATTTGGATTAGTTATCCCATTGGCAAACTCTTTCTTTACTCTTCCTTTTTCTTTTTCTTTTACTTTCCTAATAAGCAGTGTTTGTTTAAATCCTAGGACTCTGAAGATGATTTACGTCACTTCCAGGAACCCCAGGCATGCTGGCAGGATGATTTAGTAAGAAGCAATCTTGTTTTGGAATATACAGTGTGTAATTAAGGGCACACTTTAGGCACCATAACCACTATAATGTGCCTTAATGATTTTGGTACTAGAAATTAGCTGGTAATCTGTCAACCATTTAGGAGCAGTTTGACACATAGCTTGTGGTGTTGGGTGCCCTTAGTCTTTCCAGTGTGAGTTTTCCTGATAAAGTAGAACCTTTGTACTTCATATTACCATGAACGATTCATACCAGGTTTAAAAAAATATTCACTCTCAACAAGTGCATAATATTTAAACATGGTATGAGTGGGATGAAAACAAACTCCTGGAGTGAACATTACACTTTATCAAGAAAACTCAGTCCAAAATGTGTCCAGAGAAAAATTAAAGGGGAAATGTTACCACATGGGGACTTTGTATACTTTGCAAAGACCCCTGAAGGTGACATTGCCACTGGGGGTCTGGTTCCCTGGGGGGGCAGGCAAAGGTGAGTGTAACTTACCTGAATCTGTCGTTTGGGGGTGCCGCCATCCTCTTTCGGCTGGGCGTCTTCTGCGCATAGCAGCACCCCAATGTCCTGTATGTAATTAGTACTCTGTACACAGGTCCAGAGATAGAAGGAGCCATGAAAGATGTCTACACCAATATAACCACAAATCTTGATGCCCAGTTTCTTTGTAGCTCTTTGCCTTGTTGGGCTCCGCTCCTCTGTAGTTCAGCGAGGCCCTAAAACAGGGGTAGGCAACCTTCGACATTCCAGATATTGTGGACTATATCTCCCCTGATGTTTTGCCTGCTTTATGGCTGTATGATCATTATGGAGAATGTATTCTGTAACATCTGGAGTGCCAAAGGTTGCCTACTCCTGCCCTAGAATATCACTGGTGAGCAGACTTCAACTTGAGTCTTTATTGAGCCTCTTTGTGTTCCAAAGTAGAAAGACAAATGTACAGCTGAGTTATTGTTTAATACAATTCCTGATGACTCCTTGTCCATTGTTCTGTAGAAGCGAGGTCATCGTGAAGACATTTTGTGCATTGCCCAAAATCCACCTAATACCCTTGCCAGCTCCAGTTATGATGGTGAAATTATTGTATGGAACATGATCTCAGGTCACATACACTGCCGTATTAATACTCCTGCTCATATTAATTCCACAGGAGAAACTTGTAAGTATTTCTATGGGGTACCAGTATGTTTTATAAGCATGTTATACAAAGCATTTTGTATATATCATCACATAACATGACCAACTAAATCAAATTAATATATTTATATCTGTCAGTTGAGGGACTGCTCAGTGTAATTCTTTGAATATCACCATGTTAAAACAAAATATCTCTACATGACACTAGGTCTGGGAATAAATGATCATGTTTGATTATAAGTAGCACAAACTCTTATTTATGATTAATTATTCTCCTTATTTAACTTGTGATCTATCAGAAACTTCAGTTTCAAGTAGTCTGGCTTGTATAATCTGCCCTTTAAAAACAATAATATATATATAAATCCATGCAGTGTATATATCTTGATACCAGAAAAGTGTGTATACCCTTGCCCTAGTACAAATATATTACATTATAGGTTTGATTAGTGATGTCACTGGGTCAACCTCTCAATAACGAGAATTGGCTAGTTAAAAGCTGTGATTGGCTAAATTTGAATCTGGCATGAGTGTTGCATTCCACGGCATTAAATAATCAGATGTATAGTCCACCAATTTTATAGGTCCATTTTCTTTTTTTAATTTAAATTCTTTAAGAAAGGGAATTGGGTAGCATGAATGGTGGTACATTTTATCTCCAATACGCAGATTGGTCATGTTTGTCATACCCTTATACAGTTTGTTCTCGTATATCATTTGGGTCGGTGGGGTAAAAAAATGGGGTAGTTGGGTTACAAGTTTCAAGCCAACAGCTATCATTTTGCAAACGTTTATAGTGGTGTTGGAGAGGGTGGTAGTTTGTGCTGGTTGACAGTTTCTTCTTGAGTCTCTCCTGGTGGGTCTGAGTTGTTGTGCGTTTGATGTCCTTTTGAGTAGTATGTCTGGTGTTTGTTTACCTGTGGGGGCCTGGGTGCCCTCTCGGATCAGAAATGTTATTGTGGAGGTTGTTCTGGGGGTTATGTGTAGTTTGTCGGTTGTTGGTTTTGTGCAGGGCAAGCGGTCCCCGTAGTCCTCGGTGTCTACGTTGTTGTTGATCGGTTAGTTTCCCGGTAGTCGTGACAGGTGGTGATTTTGTCTTGGTTGTGCTTGTGTTGTGTTTGCGATGGTAGTCGTGCGTTTAGTGGATGGTCGAGGGTGTTTTGCGTGTTCTCTGTCATGATGGGTTCTGCAGGGTTTCCAGTGGGTGTGGTGTATGCGTGGGTTTACTTTGAGTGACTTGTGGGTTGGGGGGAGGCAGATGGGGGGGGGGTCGCTGCTGTGAGTGAGGGGGGGAGGAGGAAGGTCCCGGAGCGGCCGCACGCCCCGGACAGTCCCCTACACCCCAACTAGGTGCCTCGTAATCCATGGGTCACAGATTTTGTGGAAGTGTTTTGTTGTGTCGTGTAGGATGGCTGAGAGTTTATCCATTTCCATGGTTTCATTAGTTTTTTGGATCATTTTTGCTAGTGTAGGCATGTTGTGGTTTCCCCATTGTTCTGCTATGGTGCGTCTGGTGGCGAGAGCTATCTTCATAGATTTTTGTGGGGATTGTCCTGCTTTTAGAATGTTGGCGCGCGTTTTTCTTTATTTAAACTAAAGTCTCTAGTTAAACTCTCCTCTGTGTGTTCAAACAGAAGAACGTTTGCTATATCAAGGTGGCTAATTCTTTCAAACCCATCTGGTTTGTCAATCTAAACCCCATCTACTGTAACTAATCATCAAATAGGTGTTGTTGCCAAAAAGACAGTTGTACAAGTAGCAACTTTCTGCTTATACACTAGATAGTTACACAGTGCTGTTATTATACATTATAATTATCTTGGTTTATTAATTACAGCTCTGTGTAGTTACTGACGTATCTGTATAAACTACCTGTATTAACTAGGTTGCCATACAACAGATGTCTGTAAAATATCTTTGATAAGTGATTCATATGTTTGCCAAGCTGGACTTGGTACCATGTTCTTTGTGTGAAAAATTAACCAAATCATTCAGTCCATTTTCGTCGCTTACTAAGAGCATATTGTGTCTAAAATATTCACTCAGCTAAAATAAAAGTAGAAATCTAAAGATTACTGTATTCAATTTTAGACATTTGAGTCTATATTTAATTTAAATGAGCAGTGTTACTTAGATGCAAAGCTATTTATCTTTCTATAGAAGAATTCACAGTATTTTTTTATTTTAAAGTGATTTGGCTGAAACGGTCCTTTAACAATCAGCTGCTAAATACACTTGAACGTACTTCAACAATGCACAAGACACCTCTGCACACAACATTTCCTTCTGTGTGTCAAAATCACTTCAAGTAGTATATTAATATGTACCCAACAACACTTACAGCAACTATGGTAGTGTTCCGCCGGGACTGATATCATCTCGTACAATATGGCATTGAGTGGATGTGAGTTCAGGGAGGTGAAGCTGCCTTTCATTCCCAAGTGATTCTTTTATTATCCCGCAGGAGAAACATCAACTGCATAGCAACACTAGCAATACTATTCATTACTCTGTGGACTATTAGTCCGTTTTATAAATTCCAAGTGTATTTCGGGATAAAAAATAAACAAAACCAAAAACAGGCTTAATTAAAAACAATCCATCCATTGCATCAAATTTCTGATTTGTATTTATTGACTCCAAATTGCCCTGAAGTTTATTTTCATATTAGTTATTAGTTCTCAAAGTTGCTTCTAAATTAATTTGACAAAATATTGGAATTTAGATGGTTGTTTACCTAACAGAGAATTATGTAAATCCATAAGGATCAACAAACAAGGTTCTTCCAAAATGCAATGTGTTCAGGAGCTAGGCCTTTTTGGCACCTGTGTGTCACTGTAAATTAACGCGTTCTTTTACAATGCACCCATGCATGCAATTAATTGGGTTTTTTAAGGACAGATAGGGCATTATTCTAATATTTATTCTTAAATTCACCTCATGTGAGCATGCCATAGACACTCTAGGCTTGCAGTAGTTAGTAACTTTTAAGGCCTGGCTAGTATCATAGTCGTGAAAAATAGAAAAATAAATGTTTTTTCACCGGTTTTCACATAATTTATATAGAACTAGTGCAACTACAGAAAAATAACTCAAACTATATTTACTTATTAGTCTTGGTTAAACTCCCCAGTATGTTTAGAACTTACATTAATGTCTGGAAGTTATTGGTTAAATATTGCAAGGAATAAATTACGTTTTTTTAAACTGAATCTTTGCAGAATTTGATCTGCTGAGACTATAATAGCAGACACCGAATCCAAAACTGCTAAACAACAGTATATATTTGTAGAAAGTAGAATCCCCAAATTATTTAACTAAGAACATTTGGATAATTTCCATGTAACTATTTATCACTAACGTCTGCCAAATCTGCTATTTATATTTATTTAGTTTTAGTGTCTGTCTCACTAAATATCCCCTATATAGACCAGATTGTTAATGAGTTACAGGTTAAAATTACAGGCACACTAATTTTAGCTTCCACCTTTCCAATTTTCTCCTATGTCAATTTGGAACATAATAGAGCACTTTACCCCCATCATATACCACTTACATAAGAAAACAAGCTGAGTCTTCCCATTTGGCTGTTTCATCACCAGTTCCTTCCAAGTTTAGCAGTACATTTTATTTTTTGTCACATACATATTGAAATTTAACGGTGCATTTCATGGATCTCCTACTCTTTTAAAAAAAAAAAACAGATTTGTATTCTGTGTTATCTCCAAAGTATTAGTCCAGATGTATACCTTTGCCATATTTGTGTGGACCTTATAAGGTCAAGATGGAGACATGCATGTTCACTTGTTTCCCAGAAAACCTATTTCTTGAAGTGTCACTATCTGTGTCACCATAATGACCAGTGTACAATTGTGATGCTATTTCATTTCTATCTAAGTCTAATTGAAGCAAATCCTTAACCAAGCTAACCTTATCTAACACTAACTAGCCCTATCTTACCTAAACCTAACTAACCATAACTGTAGCTAATCCTAAATCTGTCATTAGCTAAGCCTAATTAACCACAACAACGCACTCTGTAGTAGGCAAATTGATAGCTGTGGAAGCCAATCACAGTCACCACAAGCCTTAGATGATGGTTAGAACTTGTCAGCACAGTGACTGGTTCCTTTTGTGACAATGCCACATCAAGCCCACTGCCTGTTGTCATTATGGACTTAGTGACAAACACTGTACATCCATTGTTATTAAAGGGAAAGGATTCATTCTTACAGATTTGTTTAATCTAAACTAACATGCCTATTTAAAATATACTGGGCATGATTAAAAAAAAACACTAACCTTTGCATATGTTTCAGGTACAGACAGAAGTGTTAGCCAGATTCTTTTTTTGAAAAAGAGAACATTGAAATTGCTGTCAGCATCCCTGGTCTCCAACGGAATTCAAGGTATAATGAAAAACAACAGTGAAGTTTATTAATCTGGCTATTACAACTGCTTTAGTTACTAATTAGAAAGCGCCTGATGTTTTTTTACAGGTACTGTCAATTTTTGGAATTTGCTGCATGGTGGGAAGCTGGCTGCAAGTTTTACCCCAGTAAGTGTAACATGTCTATATTGCTGAATATGTTTCAAATCCTGGTAGAATAGTAACATTGGAGCAGAGCATCCACACACTTTAAAAACATAATCAGATAAAATGTTATGGAATCAAACTCACTGCATTTGAGTCGATTGTGTGCCACTCTCATTTTAAGAGCCCACAATGGATCAAGCTCCTTGAGTTCAGTGGATCCACCAGGCATAAACCGGATGAAATGTGTTTTAAGGAAAGAAATAGAGGAAATGTGATACAGTAGTATATCTAAATATATTTATTGCTATCAGCAAAAAGCAAGAGCCAAGACCTTGTTATTTTTCGAGGGTCACACTAAATACCATCAGTATGACAACTGAACTAAAACTGTTGATCTAATTATCGTTTAAATACACTGTATCTAAGTACCATAACCACCCACTCACAGTGGTCTCAGACATAGAAACATAAAACATAGAATGTGACGGCAGTTAAGAACCATTCGGCCCATCTAGTCTGCCCAGTTTTCTAAATACTTTCATTAGTCCCTGGCCTTATCTTATAGTTAGGATAGCCTTATGCCTATCCCACGCATGCTTAAACTCCTTTACTGTGTTAACCTCTACCACTTCAGCTGGAAGGCTATTCCATGCATCCACCACCCTCTCGGTAAAATAATACTTCCTGAAATTATTTTAAAACCTTTGTCCCTCTAGTTTAAGACTATGTCCTCTTGTTGTGGTAGTTTTTCTTCTTTTAAATAAAGTCTTCTCCTTTACTGTAACAATGTATAGAACGGAACCAGCGCTTATGTGTTCTAATAGTAATATACCACTTTGTGTAGATTTAGTTTAGCTGCTAAACATTCAAGTGATTCCTTACAAATACAGAATAAAGACAAAATAAGAATGTAGCGCTTATATAAAATACAGAAATATATATTAATCACCTTTTTAGCTGTTGTGGAAGATTCATATAAATGCCTATAAAAAACAATCAGACATAGTATGATTCGTACATGATAAAATACTATATATTAAATCCAGTGTATGTACACTCACAAACAGAGAGCTATAGACCCAGCTCTGGTTTGAATTGTGTCTGGGTCCATACTGGCGACCCCCCCTTATTTCCAATGGGGATCTTGTTCTAAACGGAAAAATAAAGGCACAACCAATTGCACAGTATTACTGGAGAATACTCTATGAATGAAATAAAAATCCCAAATGGGTACTCAAAAGTATACAGTCCTATAATAATGACTCAATATTCGAGCGTTGTGCAGATTGAGGACTGCACCACCTGCTATGTATGTAATAGTGCTGGGAACCAGGATCGATGAATTAGAATAAAAAATGTATTAACATAATATAATATACAAATAAAAGGAGCATAAATATGCTAACGTTTTGCCACTGTCAGCGTGGCTACTTCAACCGGGTAAAACAATTCAACATCTTCTGGTTCCCATACAAGTTTAAATATCCAAAAAAGGCGGGTAAAAAGCCGATGAAAATCAACCGCCGCACACCGATACCACCCACAGGTATGGTGTGTATGGTCCAAGCCTCTCTCTCGTGCTGGTATCGTGGAGAAGTCGAGTGTGTTGCGCCTACGTAATCATTTCGGCTTAGTATGTTCCTTCATGCAGTTAAATAAATACATATTGGTTTCACATTGTGCATATTTTTTATAGTCCATAGTCCAGTGATTTGATCAAAATCCTCTTAATAATGTCCTCAAGAGTCCAATTGACGTAAATTGAGCCACATACAAAGAATAGGAAACAAAAAACACACAGTATCAGTCCATATATTTTTGGAAACATATAATTAATTCTTATCAGTGCAATGTTACATTATATTTTATAAGATGCAATTTCTCCGCTAACAAAATAACAAAGTAAGATAAATCTCAATTGTAAATAGACAGATCTAATGTATCAGAACAGTGTGTGTTCGATCATAATAGGAGCAAATTGATACATTAATAATTCCAAATTTGTAACTGGTAAAAACATCAATTTAATAGATACCATCTTAAAATAGCTCAAATACTCTCTATTATAATGTGTTAAAATTGTAATACAAATAATGTGCCGATAGAAATTCGTTATTCTGTTTGAGATATAGTATTGTAAGTTATGCAGACACCCATTTTTAGCTTTATTCTCAAAGCCTACATTAATGAACCTACATCCATTCATTTATAAATTAGTATTGACCTTTAGATTACAGTTTCGTACACTTTCTATTATTTATTTTTAAATTAATTATCAAGTTTAGTGTGGTATCTTATTCATTCTGCGTATTTATACATTTTTTTTAGCCTTAATAAAATAGTCTAAACTTATAGAAATAGTCTAAAAGTAATAAAACTCTATAGAACTGTTACATAAAAATCAATATAAAAAAGAAGAATATAGAAATATAAAAAATATATAAAAAATAATATTATTATTGTAAAAAAAAAAAAAATCGCACAACTCAAAATCAGAATTGAGTCCATAAGGAATCAATGTGTTGAGCTTATAGATCCATTCCATCTCACATTTTCCCAGATCTCTTATAAAATCTCCACCTCTCCAATTTTTATTAACTTTGTTGATCCCTATAAAGGTTAAACCTTCCGGTTTTTTATTGTGGCATAATTTCAAATGATTTGAAACACTATGCTTTTCAAAACCTATTTGAATTTTGTATATATGTGTTCCCTAATCCTAGTGTGTAAGGGTCTTGTCGTTCTCCCCACATACCTTAATCCACACGGGCAGACCAAAAGATAAACCACATTCTTGGTATAACAGGTTATAAATTGTTTAATCTGAATTTCCCTGTTGTCATTAAGATTTATATCCTTTATCACTCTTCGGGTACACCCTAATTTCTTGCAGGCTGTGCATTGTCCACAGCCATAGAAGCCTTTTTCATTATTAAATATAGTGGAGGGATAATTATATTCCTGTAGAGAGCTCCGTACTAGAGTATTCTTGAGGTCTTTTGCACCTCTATAGATCATCCTAGGTTTTGAAGGGAGGATTCATTTTAAAGCTGGGTCTTGTACTATGATCGGCCAATACTTCTTAATAATCTGTCTTACTTCGTAATTATTTGTGTTATAATTACAAATGAAAGGAACATCCTGCATGTTTGTAGAAGTTTTAGTTTTGTAAGATAATAAATCCTTTCTCTCTTGATTCCTAATTTCACTTCTAGATTCTTCTACTTTGGATACATCATAGCCTTTTGTCATAAAGTCAGTTTTTATACATAATGATTGTTCATCATAAGTTGCCAAATCACTACAATTTCGACAGATTCTGAGGAATTGTCCTTTTGGAGCATTCTCCAGCCACGGAGAGTGGTGGCAACTTATACTTTCAATAAAACTATTACAATCCACCTTTTTAAAATGATTCTTAGTCTTAATGTTTCCCCCTTCTATAAAAATATCAAGATCTAAAAAAAGTTACTAATTCTTTGCTCCATGTGCTACTTAATTGAATACCTCAATCATTGGTATTTAAAAATTCTAAAAAACAAATGAGATCACTTTCCTCACCCTTCCAAATTAATAAAATATCATCGAAGTTCTCCCCCCAGCCATGCCCATCATACACAAAGGAGTCTTCCCAAAAAGACATAAACAGATTGGCATAGCTAGGGGCGAACTTGGTCCCCATGGCCATCCCATTAATCTGTAAAAAAAAAAAAAAGGTATCATTGTACCAAAAGAAATTATTTTTCAAAATCAGCTCTATCCCTTCTACGATATATTCAATCTGTTCTTGTTGGAATTCTTTTGTTTCAGTTAAAAAATGTCTCGCTGCTCTACATCCATATGAATGTGGAATATTACTGTAGAGTGCCTCCACATCACATGTGACTAAAATACAGTTGTTGTCCCAAACAATACTTTCTAAACTGCTTAAAATTGCAATAGTATCCTTAATATGTGATCTAGTTTTCAAAACCAGAGGTTGTAACTGAACGTCTATGTATTGGGATAGTCTGCTAGAGATGGAGTCAATACCTGCTATAATGGGTCTACCTGGAGGTTTATTTACATCCTTATGAACCTTGGGTAGGAAATTAAAAAAAACTGAATTTTTGGGAATTTGATATTTAAAAACTGGAATTCTCTTAAATTTAAAATATTTTCATTGAGATCTTTATCAAAAAATTTCGAAAATAGTGCACAGATGTCTTCACTTGGATTCTTTCTTAATTGTTGGTACGTATTGGAGTCTTTTAAAATATTTTCTGCTTCCATATTATAGAATTGCTTAGACATCAGGACTATGCCCCCTCCCTTATCTGCGGGTTTTATAACTAAATTTTTATCTGTCTGAAGATCTTTTAATGCTTTCTTTTCCAATATTGTTAGATTCTGTTTGAACTTATCCTTTGGGGCAATTTTATTAATTTCAGTCATAACCATGGTTTCAAAGGATATTATTTCATCTGATATCATTTGTTTGGGATAAAAGGAGGATCTGTTCTTAAAGGAGGTATGTTTGAATTGCACAGGGTCCTCCAACCTTACCTCTTTATTTAACGGATCCCTATTTAATGGATCTCCAAGAAAAAAATTTTTAAACATAAACTGCGTTTGAAACGATTTAGATCTATATACATACATCAAAATGGTTGAGTCCTATACTTGGGGCAAATTTCAACCCTTTATTTAGTACTGACTTATGATGGGTATCCAAAACTTTGTCACTCAAATTAAAAATACCTTTTATTAATTCCGTAGGTTTAGGTACCTCCTTTTTGACCTGTATCCGTGTTCCTCCCCTAATCCCTGTGTATCTGGAACTCTTCTTTTTTTGGAATTTGTGATGATACCAAATTCTTGATCTGGTTTGTGTCGGTCTTTGGCTTTGGATTGCCGAAAAACCTCCTCTTCCTTATGGTCTGACAGGGTTTCATATCTGTTATACGTGGGGGTTTTTACTCTAGCCTCCTGATGTTGTCTATAACGTCTTTGTTCCCTGTAATTTTGGGGCTCCCTCCCATTCCTATAGTTAGTTTCTTCTCTCCCTAAATTCCTTCCTCGGTATGTATGATTATAATTACCTCTGTTTGAATGTAATCTTGGTCTCCACCTTTCCCTTGTCTCCTTTTGATGATACTTTTTAGGGTAGTTAAATTTGTACTGATTATCCATACAGGTCCTATCCATATAACTTTCATCAATTCCCTCTTGAGGACATTATCAAGAGGATTTTGATCAAATCACTGGACTATGGACTATAAAAAATATGCACGATGTGAAACCATTATGTATTTATTTAACTGCATGAAGGAACATACTAAGCCGAAATGATTAAGTGGGTGCAACACTCTAGACTTCTCCACGATACCGGCACGAGAGAGAAGCTTGGACCGCACACGCCATACCTGTGGGTGGTATTGGCGTACGGCGGTTGATATTCATCGGCTTTTTACCCGCCTTTTTGGGATATTTAAACTTGTATGGGGAACCAGAAGATGTTGAATTGTTTTACCCGGTTGAAGAAGCCACGCTGACAGTGGCGAAACGCATCCCGGATTTTAGCATATTTATGCTCCTTTTATTTGTATATTATATTATGTTAATATTTTTTTTATTTTAATTCATTGATCCTTGTTCTCAGCACTATTACATACATAGCAGGTGGTGCAGTCCTCAATCTGCACAACGCTCGAATATTGAGTCATTATTATAAGACTCTATACTAGTGAGTACCTATTTGGGATTTTTATTTCATTCAGAGTATTCTCCAGCAATACTGCGCAATTGGTTGTGCCTCTATTTTTCCTTTTAGAACAAGATCCACATTGGAAATAAGGGGGGGTCGTCAGTACGGACCCAGACACGATTCAAACCAGAGCTGGGTCTATAGCTCTCTGTTTGTGAGTCTACATACACTGGATTTAATATATAGTATTTTATCATGTATGATCTATACTATGTCTGATTGTTTTTTTTATAGGCATTTATATGAATCTTCCACAACAGCTAAAAAGATGATTAATACATACTTCTGTATTTTATATAAGCGCTACATTCTTATTTTGTCTTCCTCCTTTACTGTGTTGATTCCCTTTATGTATTTAAATGTTTCTATCATATCCCCCCTGTCTCGTCTTTCCTCTGAGCTATACATGTTAAGATCATTTAACCTTTCCTGGTAAGTTTTATCCTGCAATCCATGAACCAGTTTAGTAGCCCTTCTCTGAATTCTCCTAAAGTATCAATATCCTTCTGAAGATACGTTCTCCAGCACTGCGTACAATATTCCAAGTGAGGTCTTACCAGTGTTCTGTACAATGGCATGAGCACTTCCCTCTTTCTACTGCTAATACCTCTCCCTATACAACCAAGCATTCTGCTAGGATTTCCTGCTGCTCTATTACATTGTCTGCCTACCTTTACGTCATCAGAAATAATCACCCCTAAATCCCTTTCCTCAGATGTTGAGGTTAGGACTCTATCAAATATTCTGTACTCTGCCCTTGGGTTTTTACGCCCAAGATGCATTATCTTGTACTTATCCACATTAAATGTCAGCTGCCACAACTCTGACCATTTTTCTAGTTTACCTAAATAATTTGCCATTTGGCTCATCCCTCCTGGAACATCAACCCTGTGACACATCTTAGTATCATCAGCAAAAAGACATACCTTACCATCAAGACCTTCTGCAATAGCACTAATAAAAATATTAAAGAGAATGGGTCCAAGTACAGATCCCTGAGGTACCCCACTGGTGACAAAACCATGATTTGAGTATACTCCATTGACTACAACCCTCTGTTGCTTGTCACTCAGCCACTGCCTTACCCATTCAACAATATTGGAATCCAAACTTAAAGATTGCAGTTTATTGAAAAGTCTTCTATGTGCAACAGTGTTAAAAGCCTTACTGAAATCTAGGTAAGCAATGTCTACTGCACGCTACCCAATCAAAAAAATCAATAACATTAGTTTGGCATGATCTCCCTGAAGTAAACCCGTGTTGTCTCTGATCTTGAAATCCATGTGTTTTCAGATGTTCAACAATCCTATCCTCCTATCCTTTAACATGGTTTCCATTACTTTCCCCACTACTGAAGTAAGGCTTACTGGTCTATAGTTTCCCGACTCCTCCCTACTAGCTTTCTTGTGAATGGGCACAAGTTTCACTAACTTTTAATCTTCTGGGACTACTCCTGTTAACAATAATTGGTTAAATAAATCTGTTAATGGTTTTGCTAGTACACCACTAAGCTCTTTTAAAAACTTTGGGTGAATTCCATCAGGCCCCATTGACTTATTTGGCTTTACTTTTGACAGTTGAAATAGAACCTCTTACCATACAAAGCACTGACATTATATATACCATTGTAGATTATATGGAGATAGGTACAAATGTAAGTATTTAGAAAGCAAGCCACAGAAATTATAGTATTTATATATTTTCCTTTAGTCACTAACAGGATCCCTGGTCAGCTGCATCGCTGTGAATGAAGAAAACACGCTGATGTTTATTGCGGATGATATGGGTCATGTGTACGCCTATGACATAACAGACTATGGAATGCACGGAACTGAAAAGGAGCCCGCAACAAGTAGGTTAGATGCTCGCTGTAAATAACAGCTTTATTGTGGGAATCACATCTTTATTGGCCTGATCAATGATTCCCAAAGTTTGTAAAAACCAACATGTAAAATCTAATAACACATGACCTAATTCTTATTCTGATGTCATAATGATGCAATAGGGGCTGTTTGTGAATTTATTATAATGAGTTTTATATAGACATGTGCAATTCGTTTCGGTCCGAATGTGAATTCGGACACTCAGGGGTGGGGGCTGGGGGGAGGACATTAGGCCCCCCCAATTGGTATTTAGGGCCCCCACCCACCGCTCAGGGGTGGGGGCCAGGGGGGAGGACATTAGGTCCCCCCTCCTTATTCTAATTTAGGACCCCCACCCACCGCTAAGAGGTGGGGTCAAGGGGGGAGGACAATAGGTCCCGCCCATTCTAATTTAGGGCACCCACCCACTACTCAGGGGTGGGGGCCAGGAGTGAGGACAACAGGTCCCCCCCTTATTGGTATTTAATGCCCCCACCTGCTGCTCAGGGGTAGGGGCGAGAGGGGGCAATAGGGGGTACCCTATTTTATTTTTTTAACAGTGAGCAGCCACTCACTGTTTAATAGACATGTTCCTACTCGCGGTATAGCAAGTAGGGGCAAAATTTACTAATACAAAGTAATTTTTACTTAGTATTAGTAAATTTGGCTGAAAGACCAATTTAGGTCTTTCAGCCTTTTGGTAGATAACTCCCTAATACCGTTGGAATTAGGGAGTTATCTACTAAGCGCTGCAAGAGAAGTCCCGAAGAGCCGAAGTTCTGAAGTGTCGAAGTACTGAAGTTCTGAAGTGTCGAAGTGCCGAAGTTTCGAATTGCTGAAGTCCCGAATTTCGGAATGCCGAACCATACCGAAAATTTTCCCCATGCACATGCCTAATTTTATAATCGCTGACCTGGTTCTCCAAATACTTCTGCACAAGACTTAGTAATTTGGGCCCTATATAATGAATTTTGAATAAATGATCAAAATCATGCCCCGACAGGTTCATCCATTCTGATATTAGCTCCTAAATCAACCCTTAGTTCCCACCTCTCTTGGGCATTGTTGGGCCTTCTTTAGCACACTTTCCCCAAGATACCCATGTGCTTACACTGTTGCCAGAGCACTGGTTTTTGAACAGGACGACAGGGTGGAAAAGGGACCACAGTTTTAAAAACTAAAAAGTTTTTACTTAAACATGTTTTTACTTAATAGATATATAAATTTGCTTGCAGTTCTTCTAGAACAATGTATGGATGAATGTTTATGCTGTCTAATATAATATTACATTATATGTACAATGACAAGTACACTATAAACAAAATGCAAGTGCTAGACTCGTTTTATGGTAATCGTTTCCAGGGTTTTATTTCCTGGACCCTACATACTTGGATGCCAGATGCCTCTTTTATTTGGTGATGCTTATGGACCATGCATACTAGGGTGGGGGCAACATTAAATGGATTGATGTTCCTATAGGACAGGGGTTCCCACCCAATCTTCAAGTCCCCCCTACCAGTCCAAGATTTAGGGATTACTTTGTTGTGTCTAAAGTGTTGTTGATATTTTGCTGGAATCTTACAGTCATTTTTACACCTAAAAAACCCACATGGATAAGACTCCAAGTATGCATTTATAGGGTCTAGTACTCGCTATAATAATTAACATCTGGGGCGATTTTTTAATGGAGAAATCTTAATCTAATAGGCATTGGCATCAAAAAGGAATTGTATTTTTTTTATTTTTTTTTAAATAGGAATTGCTCCAAATAGTTATTTTTCTTACTTATTTAGATCTACAGCATAATACATATGCAAGGCTGAATTTGATGGACTTAAGTCTTATATAACTAAGTATTTATTACTAAATACTATGCATGTATGCAGCAGGCAAGGGGCCCATGTCTAGGGAGATGTTGGTCTCTCCTAAACAATGTCCAGAGCTACATCCTTCGTCTTCTTTTTTTTAAAATTAATTATTGAGATTTTTCAAGTTTATAACAATGACAACAAGATGAAAAAATTACATTGATACAATAAACAGAGATGGTATAAATCCATATTTTATATAAATCACAGATTACTTAATTCTAATTGCTTATACAAGTAAAGAGAGTGTATGACTGATGTTCATTTAAGCCAGGGGTCCTCAAACTCCAGACCCCCAGATGTTGCTGAACTACATCTCCCGTGATTCTTTGAATTACATAGATAGCCAGAGAATCATGGGAGTTGTAGTTCAGCAACATCTGGGGGGCCGGAGTTTGAGGACCCCTGATTTAAGCCTTAAACAGAGCTACATTCTTCTAACATCAAGTAAGGGTTATGTATAATATGGTACCCTGCTATTCACTCGCAGTGATTGGCGTCCAATAATTTGCCAGTAAGTGAGCTGAGGAAAGAAAGATTTGCAGCATTAATGCCACTGATCTTGATTCCTAAGGAATTCTGAGGACAGATTTCCTAACTTCGAGTCATTGATCTAGCAGCATAAAATCATATTGCATATCATTATCACAGTAAGCTAAGTGAAAGTGGTTGCACATACAGAATGATGACATTTACGAAGCCAGCATAGCAGTTTCACATTATTCTTCCAAGCACATACAGGCAAATCCCCTGGAAAGAGTTCAGTAAATGTTAAATAAATACAAATAATGATTTACTTTTCCTAAAGAGAATTATTTTGTATTTACACAGTGGTGAATGACTGGCGTGCTCATGTGGACATGATTACACAGTGAGTATATTGCAGGGTCTGTGTTTTTTGTTTTTACATGCACTAACATTAATATATATGATAACCAGTCCACTGATATACGTTGCCCAGCAATCACTGGGTGTTGGGCTAACACAGTACTCACAGCTTGTTGTCGTAGCTGATTACTGCCAAGGTCGGATAGTTTTGGGCAGATAATATGATAATAAAATGTCTTGTGCCCAGAGATGCCTGCTTTTTTGTCAAACTGCTTGAAATTGTTTGCGACAAAAACACTGGAATTAGCTCAAAAACATGTCTTGCTCCATACCCACTCCCATCACGCTGCAAAGCTTAGCTAAACTGAAAGTAATTAAATTTTATTAAATTATAGGTAATGCAGTCATATGTCAAATTGCAGCATCACCAAAGTGATTATTGTCAGCAACTCAAAGTGAATTCGAAGAGAGTCTCTAATTGTAGACCAAAATAGCCAAACTGGAAGCATTTCTGAATTGGAGAATTCTTTTTAAGTTCAGCTATTTTGACTTTAACATTTGAAATTCACTTAGAATTCCTGGCAATTCTCACTTTTATAAATAACCCTGGATGTGAATTTCAAGTAAATTTAAAATCTAAGGCCAAAGTGACCAAACTGGAAGCATAGCAGACTTGGAGAATTTTTCCAGTTCGGCTATTGCTGCCTTAAATACGAAACCACGTTTAAATTCACTTTAAACTCCCGGCAATTGTTACGTTTGTGAATAACCCTGAATATGATGACATTAGAGCATATGTAACAATTTCTGACAAGTCATTTAGCTCTCCATAAGCAGTTTTGGTTAAAATAAAGGAAACAGTAAATTTTGCATACACAAATGGTACACATACATCGCAGTGCAGTGTGTGACATAATAATCGTGTTACACACACTCTAGTTCTACCAAGAACTATTTTCAATTTCTTGGAGTACAGCCCAGATTATTGTTATTATTATTATAACTGGTTATATGTAGAGCAAAAGTCTGTTATAAACACATCCTACTCAGAAACATGTGAATGTTCCTCTGTTGGCAAATAAGATATTTCTATGACTGTCAGTTCAGGAATGTGTCATTTTCTCTAATTACCTTAATTATATTATCGTACGCAGAGTTTTGTAAGCCATCGAACAATTTCAGCTAACATCAGAACCTCGCAGTGAAAATTTCAGCGTTAGGACATGCCCGATAGGACATTATGACTACAGTATGCAATTAGGGCAGAAGTGGAGGACCAGAAATAGGTTCTCCTTTCCCTGAACATAAGAAGTCTTAAATAAGTTACTTTTTCTTAATTGTGAATTGATTTAATGCCAGGAAGTAGTTCAATATTTAAGAGTTTAAACTACCGTTAGGCTGCACAATTCTACAGGGTCTGAAACCCTTACTCTGCCATGGACTTATGCATTAACCCATTCTGCTTCCCTTGTCTCTATGTATGTTCACTGCAATGAACACTCAATGACCACCCCAGTCATATAAAGTTCAAAAGACAGAGTAGTTGCTTTTTAATGCATGTACATCGTATATATGAAACACACTTTTCTTAGGGGTGTATACAACAGAAGGCAAAATCAACCAATCATAGAAATGTAGTGAATTATTCATTTAACATTACGTATTGCAGTTAGTCTATTGCGCATGTATAGCACGTCTTATCTGAAATATGCAGTCTGAGTTCTCTGTCAGTTTGACCTGTGAGAATAACAAGGGAGTCGCTGCCTGCAACAGATAGCAGACAGGGGAGAAAATTCTTACTTTTAATCCCTGCAGACGTGGTAAGACTTAACTAAGGCAAAGGCTTTCAACCCTTTCTTTAACTTTATTTATAACAAGTCCCCTTTTTCTGGCACTGCAGGAGAGAGGGTGAGGCAAGGTATATCCAGATGTACTAATTACACCTGTGGGACTTTAATTAATCACCTCTATTCCCTTATCCTTTCCCCCCGCCAATAGAACCATCAGAAAGGCCTGTACAGATATTTGTAGATACAGGATAATATATGTTATTAAATCCACGTCTCATTATGCAATACATCCATAGGTTAATATATATATATATTTATTTATATAGCTCTGTATGTCTGTGGGAGTATTCACTAAGCATTGCATAGGTAAAACAATTCATATCCAATCAATTACCAATTAAATGTCATTTGTCTTTGTTTATTTTAGCTTGGAAGTAATTGATGAACACAAAGTCATTTTGACGTCATCTTTGGATTGTGCTGTGCGTCTCTGGAGCTTAAACGGAGAGTTTATTGGTTAGTTTTTGACTATCAACCTTTCTAAATTGTGTGTGATAGAGGAGATTTATGTACTCTTTGCTTACATTTCTTTTCCAGGAACGTTTGGCCAGGTAGACCCATGGGAGGTTTTTACCCCAGCCTCTTGGAAACATCCTATGGTGCCATATGAGATACTTATTGATCCAGAAAGTATGCCTGTCCATCCAATTCTAGAGGAAGAAGCAGACCTTTCAGAAACAAATTCTTCTGAAGTAAAAGAAGAACCTGAAGATACTTCAGATGCAAAGGTCTAACAGCAATAGAATGTCAGCTAACTTATTGCACTACAGTAACTTGTCAGTTTGTCTTCTAGCTAGGATACAACTGATATAATACAGTAACATGTTTTGTCTTGAGGTAGTCACCTGTATCAGGCTATAGAATCATTATAGCAGAAGAAGCAAGCAAAAATGAAACACAGCAATTTTACATTCCTTCACTCCCTCCCAACTTCGGTCTCTCCATGGCCACCACTCCGCCCCAACTGAAATTATCATTAACGATGATCTCAGCAATCCAATATTTCAAAATGAGAAGCACTGGGGACTACTGCTCTACCGCTCAATCAGGATCTCCTCATAGAAATACATTATCTCAAAAGCATCTCTATGGGGAGCATTTGTTGTCTTCATAATGAGTATGAAGATGCCAAACCTCGGTCCTAAAAAAAATTGTGACCGCCACAAAGTTGTTCTAAGGAATCAATGTAAACTCATCCTTTTATCAGAAACGTCAGCGTTTACACTGGTGAGACTGCAAGGTTAGTCTCTTTGCACCAGAACCATTACGTTAGGCTGTATTGGTTCCAGTGCAATGTGTCCCTTTAAAGCAGGCTTCCCCAAACTGCGGCCCTCCAGATGTTGCTGAACTACAACTCCCATGATTCTTTGAATGAAATAAATAGACTGAGAATCATGGGAGTTGTAGTTCAGCAACATCTGGAGGGCTGGGGTTTGAGGGCTTTAAAGAAATCGAATCTGAAAAGAAATATTGCCATGTACACAAAGCACATGTCACATGTCATAAGAATGTAATTTGTAGCCATTATTAATGCTTTCTTTTTTGTAATTTAGTAACCTAATAGCTTCCTCTTAAACCCAGCTGCATATACATGGTGGCTTACTGCATGGACATTCCTATTATGCATCAAGGTGCAGGGGAAGAGATCTGTGTCTCCAGCGCTCTTTCCTGTTTACTGCATGGATTTGCTCGAGCAAACCTAAGAGCAGAGGTTTATGCCATGGCCCCGTGACACAAGTCTCTAAAAGTGCTCAGCATGGATGTGTAGATCAGCTTGTCCCTTGCAAACAACCATTCTATGGAGTCAATTGACCATATATGATAGGTAGCAGAGATAGTAGGTCCCAGCAGACAGTCTTAAGGGAACACTCCAAGCACCATAACTACTACAGCTTTCCCAGAGTAATTTATCAATGGTTTGACAACATACCTGGGTCTCACAGGGCCCATCCGCAGACCTGGTAATAGAATCCAGTTAGTTCCACCAAACTAAGCAAGGTCATTCTCGTTGCCTGAGAGCTTCAGCTGAACACACTCAGTCAATGGGGAAGGTCCTGTATCAGACTTATTTAGCTCAGTGAAGACATCTAGCAGGATCAGCGGATGTGGTGCAAGTGCCTGGGAGCACCAAGGTAACTGGTCAAATCATCTAAAACAGTTTAACAAATTACTCTAATAGGGCACAGGTGACTCCGGGCACCATAATCACTAATTCAAATGCTCATTCTACCTTCTTACACCTCTGTCCTTGGTTTAATGTGTTTAATATGTTACATTACAAATGCCAATATGTATTTAAACACAAATAACATTGTATAATACTAAAATAAGTCATTAATCTATAATTGTCACTTGTTGCGATATAATCCTTACAGAATGAAGAAAACAATAATACAAAAGCCTTAGTGCTCAGACTTACAGAAGAAGATATCAAAGAAGAAATCAAAAAGAAGGAATTGTCATATGTCCTCGGAAAAAGGTAAGTCAGAGTTAAAGTTTTTTTTAAAAAAAACCAGTTCACAATATAATATGTCTGATCGTTCATCTGTCAGTGGCTACTCTCCTTCCACAAGAAATCAGGGCCATTGAGCATTTCCAGAGTCCCCAAAGCCGCCAACAAACCCCTTTTACTATCTATATAGGGCATAGTCAACCTTCGGCACTGCAGATGTTTTGGACTACACCTCCCATGATGCTTATTATGTGTGTAAGAGCATTATAGAGGATGTAGTGCACAACATCTGGAGTGCCGAAGGTTGCCTATCCCTGATCTATACTATTAGTTTAGATAGGTCTATTCAATAAACTCCAGATCCTCCAACTTTGCTATTATTAGGTTTAGTGGAAAAAAAAATCACAATAGCAAAATTGTACCCCCATAAACAGCCATATTCTCCCACCATAAAACCACACCACTATATTGTGTAGCCAAGTACATGGTGGTTAACTGGTTCCGTTTGCACGAGGGAGCTGATCTGTATATATCATTCTGTTGCACAGAACAGCTGCTTCGCTGTTCTGTGTGTGAGTGGTAGCCTAATGATGAAGAAGACGTTATGATATCATATCCCTAAGCATGCTGTCCCAGAAAGCCCCCTCTAACACACAGCATCATGAGGGACCAGTGTTGTGCTATGTGCTGGAGAATGTACACAGCCAGATTGTCAGTGTTCTCTCACTGTACGCTGCCAAAGATGAAAAAAAGGAAAAGCAAAATGTTGAGTGGCTTCCAGGCTGTCCTGCTGGTGTCAAAATAGGAACTTGAACACACACTGAATGTCCCTCTGTATTGTCTCTAGCCCTGCTAACAAACACTCTGACTACCTTGGTTAGATGGTGTGTGGGGAGAATGTTAGCCTTTTTTGGCAATACAGGGCCACTAACACAGCTGGGCCCCTTATGACATGCCATGCTGAACCCTAGCTACAAACCAAGCCCTTCAACTGTCCCACTTCATAATTAGTATTGGTTACCAGAAGTAGATTATATAAATATAGAGAGGGAGTGAGGCAGAGATACCTGTATGCTGATATACATCTTGCATTTTTTCCCTCTGATGTCATCGTAATAATTTGTCATTTAATCTTGTAGGTTACGTCATGAGAAAAACAAGATCTTACATAAACCTTTGAATCATGGTGGGCCAACAGCGTTTCACACACTAAAGTACTTTGAGCTAGAGAATGGCTCTATATCCTTTAAAAAGCCGGATATTTCTGTTGCTGGTGTCGACCCTTCGCTGAGCTATATGTTCTCTTGATAAAAGAAAGAGAACCGAAGCATGGGAACTTTTAATTATTTACAGAAATGTTTAATTATTTACAGGTTTTTGGATTTAATATAAAAAAATAAAAAAAAGATTATTCATACTTCAGACATAGAACTCATCATGTGATTCCGAGTTATACCTAAAGGGACACTATAGTCACCAAAACAACTTTAGCTTAATGAAGCAGTTATGGTGTACAGATCATGTCTCTGAAGTCTCACTGCTCAATTCTCTGCCATTTAGGAGTTAAGTAACTTTTGTTTTTGTCCATGCAGCTCTAGTCACACCTCCCCTGGCTGTGACTGACACAGCCTGCATCAAATCAAAATGGTCTCATTTTCCAACACACCTTACTTACTTCAGAAGATTTTTTTTCTCCTGCACTGTAAAATTAACTTTAAATCACACACAGAAGGTTCCTGTATGGTCTAGAACAGGGAATTACCCATTTGTGTCTAAAGTTTTTTTTTTCTTCTTCTTCTAAAACTACCTTAGACACAACTGGTAATCCCTAAATCATGGACTATTAGGGGGTACCTGAGGACTGGGTTGGGAACCACTGGTTTAGGCGGCTACTAACAGAGCAGGAGATAAGAAAATGTAAATTAAACAGACTGTGCAATAAGGAAGTGTAAACATTGCAAGTAACATGCAGGGAGGTATGGCTAGGGTGCATAAACAAAGTGATTTAATTCCTAAATGGCAGAGTTTTGACTAGTGAGACTGCAGACACATGATCTATATGCCAAAACTGCTTCATTAAGCTAAAGTTGCTTTGGTGACTATATCATCCCTTTAACTAATTTCCCATTTTTTTCCAACTTGAAAATTCAACCTTAACGGAAGATACATAGTAAGTAAATTCCATAACTGATTTACTACTCATTTTAAAGAGTTTAAAAGAGAATGGGATTTTTGTTTGAAACATGACTGAAAATATGTTCTAAAAAATTAGTGTAAAGTAATAAAAGTGGAGCTATCACTATGGAAACCAGCAAATCCAGCAGACGCAATCAATCCGTGGCTGCCATTTTTAGCTATCTGCACTTCTTTTCAAAAGACGACACTTTTTAATCATAACCCACAACATTTCAGAAAGAAAATCGCCTCTAAATTTACCTCCAAAGCAGCAAATAATAGCGGGGCCAAAAAAATCCTCTTCAAACATGAGAGGTCTGAAATCCAATTCGGCATCTCCAATAGGCATCTATGGGAGAGCTGTACGTCTCCATTAGCCCCTGCAGTGAAACTTATTTACTAAAGTGAGAACTCACAGTGAATTAAAAATCTATTTGAAATTTAAAGGCCAGAGTTGAACTGAAAGCATTGCTCACGTAGACATGTTTTCCGCGAATTTGATCTTAAATTTGAAATTCACTTTAATATTTATACAGATAAAGGCACATTTATGTGGGTTGTTGAACCTAGAAAGCTTGGTGGAAACTCCAAATAAACACGTGTGAATTGTTGGTTTGGCAACATTTATTAAAGGAACACTCCAAACAATATAATTAATACACCATGCTTTAGCGTTTAAGATACCAGGAGTGCCCTTGTGTCCATTACATTAGAAGTAAAACCATTTGCAAATAACTTGAAAACTTACCTGGTGCCCACCAGACGCCGGTCACCTCCTTTGTAAGATCTGGAATCGCTCTTCATTGCAAGTAGCCCTGTGGTGCAAGGCTTAGCTTATTGGCTTAGAGCAATCCGCTGATGTGATGAGCAAATGAGCTGGCTGTACAGAAGAGTTTAGCGCAGAAGAACAGTTCTAAGATCCTTAGCAATTTGACTACTTACATTGGGGGTACGATGACCGGGAACTTCTGGCACGCATAGTGGTTATGGTGCATGAAGCAGGTTCCTCATCAACCGATTGTTATGGAAATATTTTGTAATTATCTCAAATTATTGTTACATTTCCCCCTTCATAATATTGTAAAGCGCTGTGTAATATGTTGGTGCTATATAAGTGCCAATAATAGTGTAGATCTATCCCGAAATGCCTTGTAGCTCTTCAAATTAGAGGTTCAAAATAGTATTTAAAAAATAAAATAAACAAACTACCTAATAGCTTGATCTGGGTAGTACTTTGTTTCCTTAACTTGGTGATGAAAGGCAGTTACGTTGTAACATTGCACAAATACATGACAGGCAAGATAGTAGATACATAGTATAGTGCTCCAGCCTAAAGGGTAATGCAGTGAAAGAATGGAGTCCTCTGGGGAGCAGACTGAATGGGCAATTGGTCCTCATCTGCCATCTAAAATGTTGTTCTTGCATAACATTCCGTAACTTTATACTGTGCATTTCCTTCACAACAAATTAAAGTGTTCACAAAATGAAACAGTTTTAATAAATTGTGACCCTTGCAGCATATAAAACAGGATTTTTTTATTTTTATAATTAAATGTATAAATTTGCATAGTGGTTGTAATATCCCATCGGTGGATTACCTGCTTAGTGCTAAAGTATGTGGATGTTTCCTTTTTTCTAATTAGGACTGTCTGTAAACACAGATAATGGTTTTAGAAGTTTTTTTGTTTTTTTTCAATAAGCAAGGTTTGTTTTTTTTAAACCGAAACCTATTTGTGCAGCATTGAGCAACCATAAGATTGATATCTGTTCATTTTTTTACATCTCCCCCCCTCGGTTGGGTAACTTAAAATTAGTAATCTAGGCACTATAACCATTACACACCAATGTGATAGTTATAAATAGATACAATAAGATCATAGCAATGAATGGACAGCAGCAGCAATGACAAAGGACACTGGATGTCACGTCCAGCAACTGCATATTGCAAGTCATGTGACATGCACCATTAAAACTGGAGGTCTCCAAAATGCTGCCAGTAATAGACCTACAATTGCTGTGCAAGCCGTACTAGCGAGGAAACATCCTGAAATGGTCTCTATGGTTGATCTAAAAACAGCTTTTTAAAAGGCACGTCTGGACAAGGATGTGCAGAGCATCTTTGCATCACAATTACATTGAGCTGTTGAGTTCCCCTTTAATCCAATAATATGCTTGAGAAGAATACACTTATTGACGGTGACAAATTGAAATCAAACAAATAACTTGACAACTTTGAAAGAAGGACGGTAGATAGGGAAAACTTAGATTTTTCGAAAGAGAGGCTCATCCTAAAAGAGATGAATTGAGAATAATCGAGAAGGTCTTCACTAATTGACACATACAAATCATTTATTGTATTTAAGAACTTTATTATCAAAGTTCGATAAAAGATCCACAAGTCACGATACCAGCATCACATGTTTCGGTTGAAGCAAGAAAAAACAAAATAGTTGGAACAAGTTACAGAATTAGCTTTCAACATCACTTAAAAGAAAATTCTGCATTCCTAATTTAAAAAAAAAAAAAAAAAGCCCAACGTAGCACCTTGCCAACAATTATATATTTGCTTGCTCACCTGTCAGATCAAGTGGTTAACGTAAAACCAAACCTGCAAGTCATAAGCAAAAAAACAAAACAAACATTCTCCAACTTTGCTATATAGTTTTCAGAGCACCATTTAGTGAATAAATCCCTAGTTTACTTTAAGGTATACAAAAAATAAATAAAAATTGCTGAATAAGCTGTTCCTCAAGTAAATAAAGCTCAGACCTCTAAGAAAGCAGAACTTTGAGATGCCATCTGTGCTTTGAAAGGTTAGCTCAGCTTGATATGAGATCATAATTCCACAGGAATTTGTTTTTTTTCTTTATGTTGTTATCAAGGAAATATATTAATCTATCAATGTGCCATGTAATACAGTCAAGGGAAACACATAGAAACCGAACGTTTAATCAAAAAAAAAAATAAAAAAAAATTTAAGTCAAAAGTCATAATAAGTAGTCCCTTAGACAGTGTTTGGTCACATCTTACAGAAATATTGAAACAAAAGACTCTGCAATAAATCTTCATTTACAATTTTCACAACTAGAGATCCAGGTAAAAGAACAGATCCTGACAGACTCTCACAAAATTAGTCCTTTAATTACATTCCATTGCATTTGTGTAACAATCTCCGTTTTGCTGAGGAGGGACTGTATTCTCTTTGTCCTTGTCATTTTTGAGATTGTCCTCTTTTTGATTTATACCATTTACTGGTTTATCCTTCTTGGGGGATTCAGCTTTTGGTTGTGGTTGTGAAACTATTCCATGGCAGGTGTTGTCCAATAACTAAAAGAAAATAAATAAAATTTACATTTTTTCCATAGCAACATGGCTCTGAAATGCTCATAACCGAATCCCTTTCCTATAACCATTTAAACTTTTGGACCTTTAATTTAGATATTTTACATACAATGATAAATCGTCATCATTCCACATTATTGGGTGAAAAAAAGAATATGGTGTAGTGATCCTTACCGGATTAAGAATGCCTCTACTCTGGTACTGCAAAAAATTGGTAGTAACAGAAACAAAAAAAAATACAACCAGCAGAAATCTACAAGCTGTAGGCACCTATGATTTGATGGTTTGTTACTTTTTTTACCACATTGTAGTTTGACATACTGCAAGCACATTAACGGAGTTTAATTTGCTCACACGCAGTTACAGCTAGCCACTTTCTGGTTCATATTCAGAAATGGTATACTTACAGAATTCTTTGCTTTGATTTCATCCACATGAACAACCGGGTCCTGATCCAGAGGTTGCTTAGACTGAGCATTCATTGCATTGCTCATCCAATCCATGGTTTCTCTTACACACTTTTCTACTTTTTCCATATCGAGACTGCTAATGTGCTGGTAAGTCTCACTCTGTGGTGAAACATGCAAAGGTTTATTAAATTCTACTCAAATTATATAAGTTAAAAGGAAGTAACACTGCACTATAGCCAACCCCTACTGCCATTTAATAGTTATTATTGCTAATGTAACTACCTTATTTGATCATTTCAAATTCCACACCTTCAACTCAAGAATGTTAGACATACAGTCTATAATATAAACTAAGTTAGCTACAGAAAGGACAATGGACTATGAATCAAGGCTAATGATTTAAGACGGTCAATAAAAATGCAGAGGGAAACCAAAGAACAAAAAACACATACATACACTTCCAAGGATGGTTTGCACTCAGAGTACTTACTTTATGTTAAAAGTTAGCTTTTATTGCACAGTCTGTCAACGTTTCAGTTTAAAAACAAAAGTTTTTTTAGGTTTTTAAACTAAAATGTTGATAGACATTTCAAATGAAGCCAAGTTTTAACAGAAACCAAGTCCTCTGAGTGTTGACAAATCATTGGAAGTTTAAATGGGATTACTGCAGGTTACAACACCAGGCATAAGATTTCTGGACTTCCATGAGTGCAGGCCTTTTTTGAGATTGATAATGAGATATATAGATAGAGATATACACACACACCATCCACCTACCTGATTCCTGTATTCTTCTACAATTTTTGCATAATGTTGAAGTCTTTGTCCTAGCGCTTCAAATGTTTTTGGCCGCTGTTCTGCCTCCTTAAATCTTCTCTGAATTGGAGCACCGAGTTTCTAGACAAAATACGAAGACAAGAAAAAAACAAAGTTAGTCTAAATACTTAGAACAAAGCATTGATAATGTATGCAGCACTATCTGCAATTTACTCCAAGTGTAGTAAACATACAGATCTGGAGTGAAGATTTCAGATTCGAGTTATTATCATAGGTTTACAAGTTCTGAAAGGAGCACTACAGCAAAAGTTCAAATTCTAACAGCAATGGAAGCAAGCTTTAGAAATATGCACAGGACAATCTAAAGAGTATAAAGTTTTCAACTGCTTACAGGACACTCTGGGTTAGCTATGCAAGCATAATCATAGTTGATGCATATAGGGCAAGTATTTAATCCCACCTAAAGGAACACCTAAAACACACAGTGCTTTATCTGTGAAGATAAAGTTGTCAGATAACTTCCTGGTTGTTTAGCTTAGTGTAGCTAAACTCAAGAGGCAGCAATTGCTCAGAACACCTGCCCTGCAAATACATCAAAGTCTGGCGTGGGAAAGTAAGGGAGGGCTTGCAAGCTCTGCAGACAAGAAATGTGCAGCTTTTGAAAGCTGTTTTTAGATCTAACCCCCCCCCCCCAAAAAAAACACGCATAACTAAAGGCATGCATGTTTTCATTGTGGGCATATTGATAAAAGAGTGATTTTTTTGTATTTGGGTAGTGGAGTGCCCTTTCAGCTATGTAGGTTACACTTTAGAATACTGTTTATTGGTGGTGGAAGAGGGTAGTATTGTGCAGGTAGCAAATAAGCAGCTTTGTTTGCCATTGTGGACAATAGATCCGCCCCATTGTGTGGGCAACATCTCCTGTCAAAATGAAGATGTGGGTTACTGATGGTTAAGGGACAGCCACTAGGTGTTGATTTTATTCACAGTTTAAGTGAGGATCTATCGTGTTTTACACGCTTGCAGTACCTTTGTAGGAGTGGGAGATAGCCTGTGTCATTAATCCTAACTGCAGTAACCCAGCCATATTGATATTGCCTAGACTTTTGGCTGGGCAATATTTTAGCCACTTTTGCTTTGCTGCAGACCAATAGGTGCATTTTGCACTGTGTTTGTTAGTCTGAATCACTTTTCCCCAAAAAGAAAGCATGGAAGAAATTCATCAAAACCAAAATTTCTAGTGTTAAACACCCAAAAGGTTTATTAATGAGAGACATTTTCTAGAGAAAAGCAGTACTTCTCAGTTTCCAGAATGGCAAGATCTGACTTGTATTTAATATTTGGTTTTATAATTTCATACTCAATTAACATGTTTTCTGCATAAGAGAGATTTACCTTGAGTTCATCAAGCTTTTCTATGTACACTGACTTGGACTGATCTTCCCCATCTTCGTACAACCAATCCTCAGTTTCTGTGAGAAGCTCTAGAAATCGGCTTAAATCCTGTGCAAGAGAGCAGATTTTAATAGTCTTTAGAACAGGGCTGCACATTTAGATTTTACATTAAAAACAACAACAAAAAAACAAAAAACTGTGGATAAAAAGAATAATGTAACTAACCATATTTCTACCCACCATTAAAATAGGAAGAAAAAAAACAAACCAAAAACAGACTTTGGCTCTGTCACTTTCTGCACAATTTGTGATGGTGACTTTATCACTTTTTTTTTTTAAATTTACTTTGAATTCTCACCATAGCGAATAACCCTGAAAGTAATGTTAAGGGGTCGAGATGACAAAGTTATGAGCACACAGATAATTCAACAGGTTCAAAGGATAGCTGCTATGGAACAGTTTTGCAACCTCTGACTCCAACGAAAAGCATTAACAATCTAGAGTCAACTCACCTTTTCACACACGAACCTCCCATATGGTCCAGAGAGTTTATCTCTAAACTCATAGACATATTCTTCTACTGCATTTTTTGCATCGTTCCGCTCTTTTTCCAGCTTATCTTGGAGTATCATTTTCCCCTGAATATTTGGAAATACAAAAATCAGTTAAAATCCTATGTAAATTATTAAGATAAACAAATCTAATCCAATTCATTTTAAATATAGGTTTTTAGAATGATGAAAAGAAATCAACTTGCCCATTTCCCAGAAGAGTTAGTTGGCATTCCTGGTGTTTTCTACAAAAAAGTGGCAGTGTCTCCCACTGAAAGCAGCTTTATTAAATACCTTACCAGAAGGCTACATTCTGAAGAATTCCAGATATTCCACATTACATTTAGCATTTTTAATATAACTTCGAGATCTTAAAAAACAAAACAAAAACAAAAAAAACAAAAAAAAAAACAAAAACACACACAAAAAAAATAAATAAAAATACACTCACCTCATTCTCAATGTACATATTAAGAAGGTCCTTCCCTAGTTGCCATACTAAATTTGCCTCAATAGGCAGTTCAATATTCTTGACCTTTATCTTTGGTTTCTTAGCCTCTGGTGGCTGGTCGCTTTTCTTTTCAGGTACCTAGAAGATTAGGAATTTGAGTTATATGCACAATTTGTTTATTTTTTTATTTTATTTTTTTTTTAAATAAACAGCACTATGATCTAACCCTAATCAGTGCCAGGCCTGAATTTTTTGTTGAAATTCGTAGTTTCCATCAGCAAAATAAAAGCTTTACACCCCAGAGCATGTTTGCTACATTGATATGTGAACATATTAAAATTCATATATAGAGGCCAACTTTATGCATTCTAAAAGTTATCCACAATTACAGAGTACACAGATAACATGCCTCAACACACATCTCCATGTCCTCCCGAGGCTCAATAAGGAACCTTTTGTAAGCAGCAACATTAAGATCATGGTAATTCATAAAAGGACAGACGTGTAAAATAAAAACAAAAAGATCACTCACTTTTTCAGTGTCGGCCATTTTGTGTTCCCCACTGGCAGGCTCGGGTGGAGGAGGAGAGGGTGAATCATCAGTTTGTACCTGGGACTGTGTTCCAGCGGCACTGTTTTCTTGCTGGATAGATTTCTGAAATTAAAACCCAGGCACAAAAAGATGTAGATGGGGGTTTACAGCAAAGCAACAATGTTACAGTTAATCTAGAGTCTCATCTTAAAGTTGGTCTTTCTATAAATTTGAGTGTTTAAATATGGGAAAAAAAAAACAAAAAAAAAACACTTTATCCTTGTAAACATTTCCAGGTCTATCTAAACGAGTAACAAAAAATAAAAAAGTAAAAATGAAAGATAGACCTGTGTTATAGTGATGATTAATAAAAAACCCAGAAAGTCATGAACACTTTTTGAACAAAGATGATTTGTGAAAGTGTTAATAATATAAAGTTTTCATTTAATGCTTGGGGCACGGATGGGTACTCTGATCCTCTGTCGGCAGACAGCTGTATTTCCCTCCCCCCCTAAGGAAAAGGATTATTTTTAAAAAGAAAACATCTACATATATGTTTATCTATATATATGTTTATCGAGGACCAAGTAGTGCATAGGGAATACATTATGGTCAATTCAAATTCCTCCATTTAACCGTTTCAAAAGTGTAGAATAACTTGCCGAAGGAAAGATCAATCAATTAACCAAAAACTTACTTCAGCTTCTGTGTTTGCAGTGCCCTGGTTCTTTAATTCCAAGTCAGTATCAGACTGCTCTTCACTCCCATCTACCTCTATCCGCTCCACCACAGAGGCAGTGGACACGCTAAAGATCCCATGTGTGTTAACTCGAACTTTCACCTTCACTTTTGACTTTTCCCCATCTTTAGCAGGAGAAATATTCTGCACAATAAATTGACCTAAAGTAAAAAAAGAATGAAATAAGTTGTGTCAGTCATATTTGTTACAGGGTAAATAACACCCCCACTGTAAACTAACCCTTTACTACTTAATGAGCATTACCTTTTAAGGGTTTGTTAAGATAACATAATGTTCTCCTTTGTAAACATAAAAAAAACAAAAAAAACTAACGTACCAATCTTCATTTCCGGATAAGGAACTGTGTCGGGATGAGAATAAAATGCATCTAGTTGGAAAGGATTCTTTCTGTAGAAGGTTAGGACTTTAGAAAAAGGAGCTGCGTGATTTTTACAGAAGACTTCATGTACTCTAAAAAGACAAAACAAAATTATAAATATAAAAAGGTTGTCACAAAGCTCATAATGATCATTAACATGTATAAAAACCATAAAACTTACCCTTCAGCCTCATCTTCTGCAGTAATCCATCTCAAAGATATAGCATAAGGAACCACATCAGTAACGGAGAACTCTCGTACTTTAAAGGCTGGCGACAGAATTGCACACTACAAACAGAAAAGTTCTCATTAAAACCAAGGTAACTGCTGGTTTGAGACAAAATGCCCATCTGAACAATTAAGGGGCACTGCAAGCCACTCTCAAAACATTTTAAAGCTATTGGTTTAAATTAGCTGCCCCACCTCCTTTTTCTAAAATACTTCTTTCTTGCTAGTTGCACAGAAATGTTTTTGTAGAAACTACAAGTCCCAGAAACCTCGGTTAAGTGCAGAAACGAGGCTGTGCAAAGAGAGCTATGAAGTCTGCCAGTCCGTCCGTCTACCTGGCACATTGTGCATAAACAGGGAGATCTGGATTACAGAGTTATAGGTGAACCAGATGCATTTTCTATCTGGGTGTAGACTGTGACAAACGTTGTAAGCAGATACTGCCTCACTTGCCCTTAAACTACTGCAGTCCTGCATTAAATTTACTTAGCAGTCTGGTTTGCACAACAAGCAGGAACTGTTTACATTTTAGTAACTGTTAGAAGTTCATTCCTACTTGGAGTGCCCCATTAAGCAACACATTATAATTTAGCAGTATGTTTTAAAGCAATCTGATGAATCTTCCAAGATCTTCTATGCAGTCTAAAAATAGTCCGTTTTGCATAGTCAATGCACTTTTCCCCTTTAACACATTACCTGCAAAGCACATCCTCTTGCTACAGCTTCATCTGCATTTAGCGTTGTGCTGACATCTTTCCCAAAGAACTTGGCTACTCTCTCCTTTACAGCTGGAATTCTGGTAGCTCCTCCAATGATCTCCACTGCACTCACATCTTCAACCTGTAGCTGAATCTGTTCCATCAATGACCCAAGTGGAGCATCTATTCTTTGCAAGAGGTCAGAGCACATGCTTTCAAAATCAGACCTGCAAGATTTCAAACCGTGCACATGTTGAATAAAACAAGTAATGTAATCCAAGTGCTCCAGATAGTGCAATGACAAATCTTCAGTTTTAGAATTAGAGGTTTATAGTCAACTATAAGACTCCTAACCAGATTTCTAGATTAGTTTACAAAAGAACAGAACCAGTTAACAAAGCTTCTTAAAGTGAAATGAGCAAAAAACAAAACAAAAAAAAATTAAATAATCCATTCCTTTAAATGTCAGCAGCAGAAATTGCTTACATGAGTCAACCATAAAAAGTCCTAGTAATACACCAATGTTGCAGAAAGTTGTGAAAGTAGAGGTATACTGCAAGAATCAGTGATACTTTACAAAAGGAAGTTTAAGAACTGGTACAGAGATTTGTTTAATCTTTCGGATGCATTTCATTGTTTAATTGAACCAACAATAAGCATCTCCAAAGAGGTAACAGGCAATTTTTCAATGTGCAGGTAGATACAAAAACCTGCCACATGCTGCAGTTTAACGCGGTGGCTATTGTTGGATTTCTATAAAAGTGAACCCATCAAAACACGTTAACATACATTGGATGAACAGAATGATAACATTTCCTTGCCAAAACCTCTTTGACTAACATTTCAGAGTAGCGCAGATTCTGGATTAGGATAGGTTCAGCTTAGCTCTTGAAACACTAAAAGCACCCCTTTTAAACAACTTATTTTATAGAACGAGTCACACAGGTAAATGTTTAACACTGTTAAACGGCTCCTGCCACATGGACTAAAAAATATCAATACTGCAACCTCTCTTACAGAAGTTATAGTTAAAGGGACACTATAGTCACCAGAACAACTACAGCTTATTGCATTTGTTCTGGTGAATATAATCATTACCTTCAGGCTTTTTGCTGTAAACACTGTCTTTTCAGAGACAATGCAGTGTTTACATTACAGCCTAGTGATAACTTCACTGGCCACTCAGACGGCTTCTAGAGATCCTTCCTGGGTCATGGCTGTCGAAAATGCATCCAAAAATTCAGTGTCTCCTCCCTCTGCATGCAGACACTGAACTTCCCTCAGAGATTCATTGATTCAATTCAATGAGGAGATGCTGATTTGCCAGGGCTGTGTTTGAATTGTGCTGGCTCTGCCCCTGATCTGCCTCTTTGTCAGTCTCAGCCAATCCTATGGGGGAAGCATTGTGATTGGATCAGGCTACCACTTCTAATGATGTCAGCAGGCAGGTCTAAAGGAAACAGGGACAAACTAAGCAGCTGCAGACTTGAATAAAAGTAAGATTTTACTATATTTAGGGAGGCAGGAGGGGACCAGGGTGGCTAGATGGTGGTTTTAACCCTATAGGGTCAGAAATACATGTTTGTGGTCCTGACCATATAGTGCTCCTTTAAGTATGGTAAAGTAATCAGAGGAGCTTGATTGATGATAGATTTAAAGAAACCCCTGCATATATTATGTGAACAGAGCAGTGAAAACAAAACATATATTTCAATTACCTTGCCAATAATCCATGAGAATAGTACACTCACCTATTCATGCGTCCAGATACATCTATATCATTCATAAAGCATTCAATGTTAAGAGGAAGGTCTGTGCTATTGCTGCTCATTAGTTTCTTCAGCTTTTCACATTCTTGGTGAAGGCGCAGAAGGGCTCTGATTTTTGATTTCACATTAAGCTTATATTTGGTTTGAAATTCTTTGCAGAAATGTTCCACTAGTCTTTCATCAAAACTTCTTCCTCCAAGGTATGGGTCAGAAGCACTTCCTAGAACCTAAAATGGGGAAGGAATGATTATGCAAAACACTTTGAACTACCAATTAGAATATTTAGTGGAACACAAATGTTTAACTGCCCAAGTCCATTATGATTATTTCACTACTTCGAAATATTAACCATAGCAAGTACAGTTGAAGCAGGCTTATTCATCCACCTCATACAGTGGCACCAACGTATATTTCTCTGCAAAAGCTAGTTTGGATGTTCAAAGCCCATTAAATTATATCTAATGGGTATAACAAATGCGTTTTGAAGCACACTTAAAAGATACATGGCTCAACGCACATTGAGACAAAAAGTGCAAAGTAAATAGAATATTCAGGTTATTCAAACATGAGAATTAAATATTTAGCCCACACTTAACGCTTTATATCATAAGCAATAATAGCAATATTAAGAGAGCAGCAAGAGGAACATCAATGTACCTTTAGTTTGCCTTTGTTAAAGGCACAGGCTGAGACTTGGAAAGAAGCATGACCCATATCTACAAAAACCACAATTTTTGGTTTCTCTTCAGGACCTGGAAGATCTTGCTTATAAATTCCATAGTTTAGTGCAACTGAAATACAGAACAAAATGAATTAAAACTTAAAGCAACCAATCAGGTAAACTAAATAGAAGCAACTTACATAATAGGTAAATAGATTTGATAAGTCTTAGAATTAAGAGAAGCCCATACATTTTCCATTCAACTACTCGTCTAATGTTTTTTTCATTTTTTTTTGAAGATAGTCACAGAAGAAGTAAGTCAACCTTAACCCCTTAAGGACCAAACTTCTGGAATAAAAGGGAATCATGACATGTCACACGTGTCATGTGTCCTTAAGGGGTTAAAATAGCATGACAAGCACCAAAACAACTATAGCCCATTGGAGAGGTTATGGTGCCAGGGCTTCCCTGGCATCATCCCACAGTACGATGTTAAGCCATTCTAGTTTGGCATCACATTAACCTTGTTTCTTCTATGCACCCACCCCTCCTACAAACCATACAATCTTACTCTGGGGCTGTGGGACAAAATTGTTAATAAAATCTATTTGTTTACCTTTTTGGGTGTGCAGACAATCTTGAGAAGATTGAGGGTGCAAGTGACAATTACCCAAGTTATCTTGATGAGATTGACAGGTCAAATGCACACATCACACCCCAGTAGACAATCAAAGTGGTAAAACCGAACTGTTAACAATATACTTTTGGGGCTACAAATACAGTCTTTATCAAAACTTAGATTACACAGTAGAGACCACTGAGATGTCACCCTTTAAAGGTCACTTGTCACACAGACAATGATTTGCCTAACTCATTGACTTTAAATAGATTAAAAGTGATGGGGCTAAACATATTTGAGGATGATATTCACTTTAAAGGGACACTATAGTCACCAAAACAACTTTAGCTTAATTAAGCAGTTTTGGTGTATAGAACATGCCCCTGCAGTCTCGCTGCTCAATTCTTTGCCATTTAGTAGTTAAATCACTTTTGTTTCTGTTTATGCAGCCCTAGCCACACCTCCACTGGTTGTGATTGAAACAGCCTGCATGAAATTATTTTTTCCCATTTTCAAATCAGACAGAACTTACTTTAAAAGTTTGTATCTTCTGCTCTGTAAATTGAACTCTAATTATATACAGGAGGCTCTTCTAGGGTCTAGCAAACTATTAACACAGCGAAAGATAATAAATTATATATGAAACAGAATTTGAAATAAAGGAAGTATAAACATTAGATGAATTTTTACAGGAAGTGTTTAGGAAGGCTGTGTAAGTCACATGCAGGAAGGAGTGTCCAGGGCTGCATAAACAAAGTGATTTAACTCCTAAATGGCAGATAATTAAGCAACAAGACTGCAAGGGGCATGATCTATACATGAAAACTTCTTAATGAAGCTCAAGTTGTTTTGGGACTATAGTGTGTCTTTAATTAAAAAGTCATCTTCCATACCTGCAGTCATGTCATTCATCAATTTTAAACAGTTCAATCCAACAATCTGAGCAGCATGCAATACTGATCTCCTCTCTGCATCGGTGAAGAATGATGGAACCTGGAGAACAAAACATTGTTACTCTGAAACATATCCAGAAACACACACAAAAGACAAAAGGTTTTGAGGTGCTAGGATGCCAATGTGACCATTAAGTCACCGGTGCTTTGAGAAAGCTGCAATAAAGCCAATAGGGTTTGTTGGCTGCTTCATGTTAACTTATCACTACAATAAAAGTGGAGGGTGGCCAGCATCACTGCTACATATGTAAGACTATGCAGTGGATTTACAGATACTCTTCTTTTAAGTGACCTTGTCAGCCACAAATCATGTGGATTGTCAGGTTTACATTAAAGTAGATATAGTGTCCAGATTAAAAGCTGTACTGACCAGCAGACTCCATACATAGCATGTGTGGACCCTGGACTGAATGGATGCAGTCTCTGCCCCCCAAAAATATAAGTCAACCTACAATTCATTAGTAAAATAATAGGGGTCCAGGCACTCCTTGGTTCAAGACAGGCACATTATTGAGAACCACAACAGCTGCTGTTGTGGTTCTCAATAAAATGCCTGTCTTGAACCAAGGAGTGCCCGGACCCCTATTATTTTACTAATGTTTGGAAATCTGGTGTTTGATTCCGGCTCAACAAGCACCCTGGCTCAGATTTGTGGGAGTGAGTGCAGTTCCACATATACTATTCAACCTAAAATTCATGGCTATTTCATTTTAATTAGGTGATTCTTGCCTCGGCTTTTTCCCTGCTGTGCGGCAAGGTAAAGAAATCGCATTTAGTGGCTGTTGGACTTCGAGTCACTACAGGCGCTTTCTCATTGAAGACTTTCTATTACATGTTCAGCAATTTAATGCATTGCCCAATGCTGCTGAACACTGAATGTTTCTCCAATATGGGTAGGCAACAGTCGGCATTCCAGATGTTGCGGACTGCATCTCCCATAATGCTCTTACTGACAAAATGCTGGCAATGCATCATGGTAGATGTAGTACAAAACATCTGGAGTGCCGAAGGTTGCCTAGCCCAGCATCTAAAAGAAGCATCCAAATGGCTGAGTGTAGCAATTACCACGCACGGCCAGTAGGTTGAAAATGCTTCTCTACGAGAAGCACTAAAACAGGTCCTGTGCCTGGATGATCTCAGCATAGGAGGGAGGAGTGACTGCCTGGCTGAAACTGCCTGGTGCTGGATTACCAGAGAGTTTAATGGTGATATTTGGTTAAAAAAGCAGAGGGTTCATACTCTAGAAGAAGTCCACAGAAAGACAAACATTAAACATGTTTATTTTACTTAAAAAAATTGTATGTAATTTGAAGTGATACCAAAATGATGGGCAGTACACATGAACAGACAGTGTTGGTAAACAAAGCCTTGTCTTCTCACTGCAGTGAAGTTTTTCTACATGTTCACTTTAGTAATAAAACCTGGCATGTTTCCCCGGTAATGAGGCAAACCGCATGAACAGTGGTTTGCCCTCTTATCTGGACTTGCGCCAGGTTCAGAGGCTCTCTGGTGGTCCAGTGATGCGCTTCTGCAGAGAGTCAAAAGCAGGAAGCTCCATCAGTAGAGATTCATTGGCTGAGAGAGTCAACTGACCAATCTCAGCCAATGACTCACCATATGCAACGAAAGTTGCACAGAATTGAAATTAGCCTGTTTGGAATTCAAGTTCTGGGATGGCTGATCACAACCCTATGATTCTGCCTGAGGTGGAGTTACACCTCTGCTAGTGAAGGAGTTAAATTCAAAGCAAATGGCACATACAGTATTCAGGCACCATGACCACTTCAATTCACGGAGGTGATCATGGTGCGTGGAGTAACAATCTAATTGTACAGATTTCCAATTAAACACTTACAGAAATGACACAATCTGTCACAGGTTTCTTAAGATTGTTCTCAGCGGTCTCTTTCAGTTTTGTGAGCAGCATGGCTGTTATTTGTTCCACACTGAAGAGGTGTTCATTTTCCATGTACATCACCTGAAAGCAACACATGCACATTTGGTCATTTATTTTTTAAATTAAGAGGCATTACAACATTCCAACACATTTTCATGTATGCTATACTACACTTCAATGTGGAATCCAAAGCAAATAACCTTAAAGTCCTTAAGTGCTGAAGACATGGTGTTCCATATAGACTATGAGGTCCTTACTCTCTACTTCCCTTTAGTCACCAATGACATATCATATATGCCTTGATGTAATGGAATTTACAGCTTATACAGACATGTGGTAATCTTGTAGTGCAGAAAAACCTGACATTATTAGCCTCCTTTGCCCCTCTCCCCATCTGCTTGGAATTACGTTTGTGATTTTATGTCATATATAGAAGTTTAAACACTGCTCAAAGACAGCTTGGATTGTAGATGTTCTAGGACCTCCAATCCCAACAAATTCACAATTATTAACTGTGAAGAGGGTGCTCACTATTGCAAAAATGTAAAACTAAAGTTCAATTTCAGTTAGGAATACTAAGACTTTATAAAAAAACATTTAGGTTTATTTCATGATAGACTACATATTCACCTTAACTCCAACACCACCATTACTCATCATGACCAGCTCATATGGCAAGTTGTTTTTCTCTCTCTGAACAAAAGCATCATTAAATGCACGGCCATGAAACCTCTTGAAACTTGATACAGTATTGTTTGCATTGGTGACCATCTGTAAAAAAAAAAAAAAAAAAAAAAAATGATTTCAATATGTTGAATATGAATGTTGTCAGTTCACAAGTAGTTTGGCTTTAGAACTGAATATAAATACATCAGTATTACTGCCAAATAAGATAAATGAAGGTAACAGTTAATAAAGTTAATAAACTGAGCGTAAAGTAAAAGTGGGGAAATGATTCAAAGCCAAACAATTCTTCATTTATTTAGTGTCTATGAATGTCTTTTACCAAACATTTGAAATATCCGTCAAAAACAAATACAAACATACCTGGTTTTTAGCTGCAACACCGATTGTTCTGTTTTTTGTCCCAAAGGATATCACAGCCCTAATAAAGAATAAAATAAAGAACTATAGGGTTTACACATATCATTTGATGATAAGGAGAAGGTGAGAACACATGAAAGCAGAACAGTTACTAACTGTAAATGTGCCAATTACTCTATGCTAAAATGGATTTGGACAGCTTGACACTTCCATGAAACATTCATTTAGACTGAGTAGTTACTTCTCACTCACATGGAGACTAGTGTCTTCCTCGGACACGTGAGACTCACTTACACACTTACAGATCAGTTACGGTTGAACACACTCTACAACAATTTCAGTATTAAAATGTACTGTTAGCGATCCCATACGGCAGTTGGAAAAAGGCCTCTGTAATATCTCCATCTATTCCAGAAATGCCTCAGTTATTTTTTAATATAAAGGAAAACTCAAAGTAACATAACCACACTGTGCTGTAGTGATTTTAGTACAAGGAGTTCCCCGAAGCAACCCCCAAACTTCAATCTCAGTCTGAAGTGATAAAGGTCGAGGAGCAATGCCCTGTGAACCCCAGTTAAAAGGACACACTCCAGGCACAAAAACAACCTCATCTAAATTAAGTTGTTATGGTGCCATTAGGCCCCCGGAGGCACTCTTACCTGATGGGTTTAATCCGTTCAGGAAGCAGGTTGCTCTCAACCAATCAGCGATTCCCCTGCGCATCTAAGAGTTCAGAAACTGGATGCCGCACAGGAGGGGGATGGGGCTTTTAGGTGAGTGTGCCTCCAGTGACGACCTATAACCACAACAACTTAATTTGGTGCCTGGAATGTAACTTTAGGAAGTCACACCATTCTAGAACAATCTAACTATATACAATGGTGAGGGGACTTTCCTGGCACCATAACCTCTACAGCACGTTGCAGCAGCTAAAGGCACACTAATGTCAACCAGACCACTGCAGCGTAATAAAGTGTTCTTGGTGCAGTGATCCTGCGATGTAAAACACTGCAGTTTTATTTCTTTTTTTAACATAAACTCCATCTCTAGTGGCTGTCATACTGACAACCACTAGAGGCACTTCCGTTGCAACGATCAAGTAACGATCACGTGGAAGTTCACTGGAAAGCATTGAAAATGACACGGGTTTGCATTCCTAACACTATAGAGTTCCTTTAAGGTACTTAAGAGTGTCTCTTTAAATCAATTATTTAAAGGATCACTATAGTGTCAGGAAAACAAATCGGTTTTCCTGACAGTATAGTACCCTGAGGGTGCCCCCACCCTCAGGGCCCCCCTCCCGTGGTGCTGAAGGGGTTAAAACCCCTTCAGTTACTCACCTTATTCCACCTTACCTCTCCTCCCCCGCCGTCAGCGGAGCGGAATGTGCATGCATTACAGCAGGCAGGGTTAACCCTAGAGGGACCTGGCAGTGGTCTGGGTGACTATAGTGGCCCTTTAATCATTATAGAAACATAATTGACCTTACAAAGTACCTTAATGTTTTTGACTCCTTGTGTCATTTTATTTAATTATACTGAGCAGTTGTAGAGAAAGTTCTAGACATAGAGCAATCAACTTGCAGATTGGCTTAAACTAAAAAAAAGCAGTCATGCAGTTTTTGGAGGTAGAAAAATATATTCAAATAATTTTATTGAAGATTTTTCAAATAAATAATGTTAAAAAAAAAAAATGGCTATCATGACTACCATAAATTAAGATGCCTTACAAAATATATAGCGGTCTTTATGACTACAGCTTAATGGTTTTCTTACATGTATAAATACCGTATGTCTACAGCATTTGACTATTTTACAAGGCATTCTGGGAGTTACATGAACATTTTTTTTAGAAAGATCTGCTGAGATTAGGTACTACATGACAGCAGATTATGGGACTACATGACAAACGTACACCTGAAAATGTCACTTGGACTTGTGAAAAAAATTGAATTAAAAGTTACATTGAGAATTTAAAATAAAAAGAAACTTTATTTTTAAGGCAGTGTTGGTTTTTTGATTCTTGTTTTGACGAAAATACCCCTAAAAATAAAATAACTCTTTAGATGGAGTAAATATTTTTTGCCCCCCAATTTCATATTTTATCTGAAATGCCAAATATTTGATCGAAAAAGAACGTTATCAAAAGCTACCATTTCTTTAATATAAAAGGAATATGCCTAATAGTGTGCTAGTGGTATTGTTACAGGAAATATACACAAATATATATCAAGCCATATATTGCATGATTCATGCTGCCATTGACAGGCAGCCAGGAAGCACTGATGATATGGAACATTCCAGAAACTTCTGGCACCGTGACATCACACCGGTAGGTAAAATCTGCCGGCAGCACAGAGAATGTTACGTTACCAAGGAGATTAAACTCCCACCAGAGAATACTGTATCAGTGCCATTCCACCCCCATCCCCAGCAAACACTGAGCATCTCTAACAACGGTTCGCACTCACAGTGCACTCTCCATCAATTCTACATCATTACAGATTTAAAGCATCCTATCATTTTTATTTATTATAAGAATCAAAAGCAATTTCTACTGCCAGACAAATAGACATAAATACTAAATTAAAAATATATTTGGGTAAAGGTTCTTTTTTTTTTTTAAATGTATGCATGGGGGCGGGCTGGGGAGTACAATATTAAAGTAAATATTTATTTTGTCCTATTGAAGCTTGGTCCTGTGACAGACCAAAATATTATTACAGCAGTCAACGTGCATTGATGGATGTGGGTCAAAACGTTTTCAATGATGGAGAAACGTGGTCCTCAACTGGCTGAATGAGCCTCGCTAGACTACAATGCCCACTGCCACTGCAACTCCTATCATCATTGCTGGAATCGAAAAGGATGGGTTAACATGAAATTTAAAAAAAATAATATAAATTAAATTATTCTTATTATTTTTAATAAGGAGTTTGGACCGTAAGATATTAAGTGCTTCCATTCCTCTTGTTTTTTTATAATAATTGGCAATCGATAAGTCTCCAATAATCGATGTATCGGTGTGATTGACAGGTCTGTCTCCGGTACTCACGGGGTGCAGCGGTCACTGAATTCATTGGCCACGGTCTCAATGCCACCAGCCCGGGCGATGGCCACGTGACAGTTCTGGTAGCCCAGGTCGAAACCGACCACCGACATGGCGACAGAGGGGGCGAGTGATGGAGGGCTGCAGGCGGGGAAGGCAGACAGGCTGGCAAGCTAGCTGGGCTGTGTCCGGTGCTGAGCGCCGCTCTCCTGTGTCACTGAGTATCTGAGTCTGGGAGGAGGAGGCGGTCCCGCTACATATACACTCCCGTGGAAGATTCCAGAAACTGCGGCTTTTGCATCACTCGCCGGCTCCATGTGCCACATCCGCTTCCGCATTCTGGACCCTTCTCGAGAGCTCCACGAAGGCGGCCAATCAGAGCGCGAGAAGCCGCTCGTCTCCAGGCAACCTGGACGCCGCGTTGCTAGGATACTCCTAGGGAGGGAGGAGTTTGGCAGCATGATGGCTTTGTCAGACACGTGCTCTCTGGGCAGCAAAATTGGCTTTTTTTTTTTTTGTATGTCTGTAACTTTATTGTATATTACAATTTATTTTTCCATATGTCAAATTTTTTATACATTTTTTTTTTTGTGGTATATTTTGTATATGTAAATTATAATTTTAACTCTAGAATGTAAGCTCATTGAGCAGGGCCCTCCACCTCTATGTACCTGTACGCCCAGTTGTCTGGTTACAATTACATGTCTGTTAGTCCACCCACTGTACAGCGCTACGGAATCTGACGTCGATATATAAATAATAACAATAATAATAGTGATTTTTTTTTTATATTCCTTGAAATGTGGATTTTTTTTTTAGATATGTAAAGTAGAATTTTATATTGATTTTTGTATTTGTGAAATGTGAGGTTTTGATTCTTTATTTCAGGCATCTTATAAAGCACCAACATATTCCGCAGAGCCGTACAATTGGAAAAAAGAGACAGTACCATATAAACAAACCGATACAAAAGGTAAAGAGGTCCCTGATCGGAGATCTTGCCCCTGAAGACCTTTATACATTGTAATTTGCTAAATAGCCCGTGAGTTTATAATCCAAAGGTATATGTAAATTAACATTTTATATTGATTTTTGTATTTGTGAAATGTGGATTTTTATATATGTAAATGACCACTTCATGTGTTTTTTTTTAAATATAAAAAAATATTTTGTAGAGCAAGTCTTCGGCAAAAGATGATCATAGATCAAGTAATAAGGAATACAGTGAAAAAAATGGTTTAGTATAAAACTGAAATTACACTGGATGGCTGTTGGATAAGTGCATGAAAATACACATCAGAAGAAAAAAATTAAAGGATAAACCTTTTAAAGCTGGATTCTATACTAACTGTTCAGATAATTCATGGGTTAGCATATTAATCCTGGACATACCAATTAGATTAGTATTGAAAACTAATGGGTTCAAAATGTTTAATAATAATAATTTAATAAACACTGTAATTTTGCTGCATTTATTAAAACATATTATCAATTTATCTACATTCATAATGACAATTTTATATACATTACGATTAGGGAGTACTTACAGTTAAAGGGATACTTTAGTGCCAGGAATTCAAAGCTGTATTCCTGGCACTACCGATCCCTCTGCCTGCCCCCTCCTGCGCCCCCTCCTGGGTAAATAAAGGGTCGATGTCCCTCAGCGCTGGGTCAAAGCTATGCCCCTCCGATGCTCTACGACGAGCGGGGTCTAATGCGCATGCTGCGCGCACATTAGATCTCCAAGCATTGAATCAAGGCTTTCCTATGGGGAAAAATCTGACACTGGAGGTCCTCATGCAGAGCGTGAGGACGCTCAGCGTCAGATAATGGACCAAAAGTTCATTATGATTCAGGAAGCGCCCCTAGTGGTTATCTGGTAGACAGCCACAGAGGGCAGAATTAGTGCTGCAATGTAAACATGTCTAACATTGCAGCACTAGGTGCAAAAGGGACACAGTATCCAGACCATCTCAATGAGCTGAAGTGGTCTGGGGGCCTACAGTGTCTCTTTTAAAGCAAACCTCTCTCAAACACACAGGTGGTCTTTTTTATCAATAAATTCTTTCAATGCTCCTACCAGTGGCGGATCCAGGGGAGGCAACGGGGCAATTGCCTCCCCCGAGAAAACCGACAGTCTTCCTCTCCCCTGCCAGCACATGCAGGCGCCAGCCCTGCAATGTGCCTTCGCGGACCGGAGGGGAGATCAGAGACTCAGCCTGCAGCTCCTCCGGGTCCTACTCCCGCGAGCATGGAGCGTTGCCGCGGTTACCATGGCAACGCTCCAAATCGCGTGAGAGTGAGCTCTAGCCCTGGAGCTATGGGCTAGAGTTCACTCTCCCCACTGGGCCACCAGGGATCAAGAAATGTCCCCCTTCCTCCCAGTAAAGGTAAGAAGGGAGGGGGGACATAATGAATATTTATTTAAATTAAATAAAAAACATATATATTATTTTAAAAAAAATCCCCCCTACCCTTCTTATCACACACACACACACACACACACACACACACACTCTACACACATACACTACCCCCATACACCCACACTGCCCCCCATACACACACACTGCCCCCATACACATACTGCCTCCCATACTGCCCCCCATACACACACACTGCCCCATACACATACTGCCCCCATTCACACAGACACTGCCCCCCATACACACATACTGCCCCCCATACACATACTACCCCCATACACACACACTGCCCCCATACACACATTGCCCTACACATACACTGCCACCCCATACACACACATTGGCCACACTCACACATACACTGAAATACTCACACACACACACTGCAACTGTTACATACACATACTGTCCCACACATACACTGCATCCCTGACATACACTGCCACCCTCACTCACTACAACCTTCACACACACACACACACTGCTCACACACTGTCCCCCTCACACACACACACACACACACACTGCACCCATTACACATTGCACCACTCACACACACCTCTGCTCCTATGCCCTACCTCAGCCCCATTTCCCAGCAGACCTCAGGTAAGTTGTTAAACTGTTCTTAAATGGTTTGACTACTTACTCTGGGAGGGGATCCCAGCACTATTGACACCATAACCACTACACTGAGCTGTAGTGGTTATTGTGTCTGGATTATTTCTTTAAATAATCTACAAGTGCCCCTCCCGAGATCAGCCTCTGGATCCGCCACTGGCTCCTACTGGGGTAAGTAGTACAGTGGTGATATGCAAAAAAAAGTGGAAGTAGCTGATCTTGCCTAGGGTGCAAAATAGTAAAATAGTCTTGCACCTACCATGGTGGGAAAGAAAAGGCATCAGCAATGTTTGAGGCCTTACACAAGTTTGCTGTGTCAGGAGTTGTTTCAGCTGAGAGACAGAAACTCATGCCAGACTAGCTCAGGAGAGACCATTGGCTTAGTGCCTTGAGGTTACACAGTGCATCACAAACAGATCTAATGATGTGCTCGTTCTGCGCTGATTAGGGACATTTCACTGTTACAGAACTGCCATCTGAAATCTATGGGCCCCTTACTGAACCTTTGGCTGGGCCCTCTAACTATTTACCCACTAAATAACTGTCTAGGCAACTCATTTATCCACCTTACCTGAGAAACATCTCCCAAGCTTACTAAAATCCCCCTTCATTATTTTATTTTACTTTTCTGTAATCCTCCTCTCCTGCACACTCCTCTCTGCCGGAAACACTGAGTGCGCCAGGCACGACAGCAGACACAAGTGGGCACTGGGGTTGGGGGCTGTCACACTCTGATGGTGCCCCTTCACTGGTGTGATGCAGAACACCAGGGCATCAGGACAGGACTACTCACTTAAATTCTCTCATCGCTATTCTAAACAATTTTAATTCCCTTTACACACTTTGTCATTTTAACCTATTTTTCTATTTCAACATTCTTAGAAAATAACCCTCCCCATTTGAACCTCCATAATTTCTACTCTATTTTAACCTTCCTCCCCTTTAGTGATTGTAGAGCGAGAATACACATCTTTTCTCAAAGGCTGAATACAGATCCCTCTCTGTGTGCGTTTTGTGATCTACTATTATCCTATGGCTTTCAATATCACCTGTACACTGATGTAACCTCTCCGCACCTGATCTATCTCTTTGTCTTCAGGAATATGTCACTGACTGCCAATCCTCTGCTTCTGACTTTACGATTCTTAAAACTCAACATTTCCAAGACTGAGCGCTTAGTCTTTCCATGTCTTGTCTTCCTTATCTTTTCTCTCCCTAAATCTGCATCTGTGCCTGTTTCCCTTAAGATCAACAGAGCTATCATAACCTTTGACCTGTAGGCTCTTTGCCTTCGTGTGCTCTTCGACTCTGAACTTTCTTTCACCCTTACATAAAATTTATCGCCAAATCCTGTCGCTTTCTTAAAAAAATGCTCCAGCCCAGCCTCTTCATTCCACTAATGACCTGTTACTGTCCGGATCTCACACCTGCACCCAAGCCCGTCGCCAGCAGGACTTCTCAAGGGATGCCCCCTCCCTATGGAATGCCCTATCATGGCACAGTTTACTCTACCAGTCTCTGCAGCCCTTCAAAAAAACACACTTCTTTGTAGAAGCCTACCGATTCCCCTTAACTCCTCATTACTTATAACCTTCCTCTGTCATCTCCCATCTACTGTGTTCCCTCCTCCCTAACAACCCATCCTTCAGGAACATACAAATCACTTGATTTGCTTTGTGTATTTCTCTCAGGGGTAGGCAACTTTCGGCACTACAGATGGTATGGACTACATCTGCCATTAAGCTCCTAGAGACATGATGCTGGCACAGCATCATGGGAAATGTAGTTAACAACATCTGGAGTACCTGGGGTTGCCTACCCCTTTAGATTGTAAGCTCGTTTGGGCAGGGCCCTCTTCACCTACTGTTCCAGTATGTAATTCGTCTTCTGGTAAAACAAAATGTTTCTCTTAATGTACATTGCTCCAGAATGTGTTGGCACTATATAAATAATTGTAATTGTATATTGCACCATACAGAAAATCATAGGGAAATCACAGAACTCTAAAGAAAGCCTCAGACATGCATATTAAAAGGTCATGGTGAGAGAGCGTAATGGCATAATTAAGTGTCATAAACAAGAGCATAGAATGCACTTTGAGACACTATGTATTGTATCTAGTAAATGCTTTTAAATCATGAGGTAGGGTGAACAAGCGATGATATAATTTTTTTATTAAAAAAACAACCATAAAACCATTTCACAAAAATATAGAGATATAAAAGAACAACGCAGAGTTTCAGATCATTGCATTCTTATCTGGTGTAAGCCTTTGAGAAATAAATATGGTAATTTTCCCAGGGTCCAATTGGTAGGGTAGGTTATTAGGCACCAGTGGCAGTG